AGTGGTTGGAGGGGAGGTCAGAGTTTTGGAGGTTCGTGCCCTTCAGAAAGGGCACAACACATGGACATTGAGTGATATGAGTGAAGGAAGAACCAACTTGGGTTGGAACCATCCTGGGTTCGGCTTAGGGACTTTTAGCTTCGGGTGCGTTGGTTGGTTGGGTGGGGCTGGCTTAAGAGTGGGGGGCTTGCTTGTTTGCTTTTCTTTCTTTTGGGGGGGTTTGGGGGGTTGGGGGGTTTGGGCGAGAGGAAAGCCAACCGTTTGTCTTTGAAAGGAACTCTTCCTAAAGGCTTCCTCGGACATCAAGGGGGTCCCTGTCGGCGCTGGGTTTTCGGCGCTGGGTTTGGCATGTGAACGTCCAGAACATTGCCGGACCAAAGGCCTGCCCTTTGAACTTGTTACCCTTTTGACGGACAACCAGCAACGAGTCATAACTGTTTGCTGGTCAGATCAGTCTGGTCAAGGGAAGGGGTTACGTGGGCGATCAGCCTTTGTTCCCTCGGGTTCTGGCTTGCGCCCGTTGGCGAAGGCGGGGCCCCCAAGGGCGTCATTTGTCAAGCTTTCCCTCTCGTTCATCTTCTCACATCCTTCCCTCAAAAGGGTACCAACTCCAACGATCGGCCAAATTGGGAACCCTGCAGCAAAATTACGGCCCACCACATAGGATGTTTCAATCTTTTTCCAGTTATGACTATTTCCCTCTATCACCAGGAATCAGTCCGGACATACCCATGCCAAAGACACTTTTTTTGGATGTTGCTCCATCATTTCAGTTTCAGGGTGCTCAACTCATGTTTTTCGAGGTTCGGTTTTTCCCCCCAGCTACCCATCAGGCGTTTTTGGTTTTCCCCCCAGGTACCCATCAGGCGTTCCCCCCCCGCTTTTTTCGCGGTAGGTTTTGTGCAACGACGCGGGCTACGTGCAGACGGTGGCCTACCTTTGTGCCAAGACCTGCGATGCGTGCGTGGACGAGGCGAACATTCGGGCGGCGGTCAGCGCCTTCAACGCTTCGAGCGGGGGGTGCGTGGACACGGACCCCGCGGTGTGCGGGTTTTTGGCGCCGTGGGCCGCACTGGGGGACGGGTGTATGACTTGGCGGTTCCCAGCCGGCCCCCCCTTGATCTTTTGGGTTTTTGGGGTATGGTAGGGGGGTTTCCATGTAACCCACTAAAAGTTAAACTGTTGGCATCTGAGAACAGTCCAGATTAAAGAAAAGAGGAGGAGCCGTCAGTTACAAGCCAAGTGGAAAACTCAATATGGTGGGCTGTTGTTTCGCAACTCCCCAAGTGTTGCAAAAAGGATCCTCGGGTCTTGGGCTCACGAATGGGGTCAAAAGACCTGCCGGATGGCCCACTCCGAGAGCTGAGGGATCTCGGGGTTGTGACACCTGCTAAGACTGGCGATCCCAGGTGTTCTTGGAGATCCCAAGCCGGTCATTTGGCTATAGGGAACCACTTCACAAACGATAAAGCACGACTCCCCACCTGTCCACCAAAGGGTCCCATATGCCGATAATATGGATGTGTCCTTTTCTCAGGGTATCCCTTCTTGTGGTTTAAAGGGACACCATGAGGAGAACCACCATTTTTAAGGGTTCCCCCAAAAAGAAGAGCTCCTATTGAATTCACACCTCTTTAAATTCTGCAGCACCAAGGAGGACTTCTGCCCGGGCCGCGTGGCCGGTATGGAGGAGTACATGACCCGGCACTGCCGCCAGACCTGCTGCCTGCCCGAGGCGCGCTGGCCGGCACGGGTTCGGTTTTCAATTTTCAGGCGTGGAAGTTTCCGCTGCCCCCGGCAACTGGGATACCTCAAGAAATCGCTGAAGAAGTAAATCCTTCTCCGTCCCCGCAAGTTTCTTTTGAAATACATCGGTGTGTGTTTTTGAGTTGGTACCCATCTTGGGTTGTTGTGTTGGAACCAAACGAAACACCATCAATTTTGGAACCGTTTTGAGACAACCCCGTGTGCATGCGTTTCTAAATCCAACTTAAAGTGGTTGCAGTTTCAGGGCATCTCAGAATCACCTTGGTGCGTCCCATTAAAACCACAATTTGCATGTCATATCACTTTATATACCAGGGTTGGGAAACATGTGGGGGTGTCTTGTTTTGAGGGTGCCCCTTTTTTGGTGGTTTTGAAGGGACACCAAAGCAAAACCACCCATTCTGCGGGCTCTCCTAGTTTGAGACACATCCGTTTGTTATGCGAAATCACCTGTACGGTGGATGCCCAAAGTGGCAGGTGTGGCTGGAAGTGGTCGCTTGCTATAGGCATCCACCACAGTTCTCGATTGACCAGAAGAATCCAGAAGAATCCACCAGAAATCTCTCTGAATTCTTCTCATTTTCCTTTAAGGCAGCCGGAGCGGGACTTTTTTCTCACTGGCTGTTCAGCATTTGTCGAGTTGTGAGAATGGTCAATGGGTGTCCCCTTTGAGCTCGGCAGAATGGAATCCGCCCATTTTCTACGAGCATGTTGGGTCTGGTACTGTAAATGGATTTCCATGACGGGAATCCCCTGAAAGTGGATGGACTTCAAACGCCAAGTGGTGCGAAGATTCGAACGAAACTGCAACAAGTGATACAGCATTTTCAGTGCGACATAGCTTTTGAGAAGCCGCCAGGTCTGCAGCAACTGCGCGGAAAAGTCGACCAAGGAGAACGCTGAAACTCCGGAGGGCGCAGAGGCGCCCAAACAGATCGATTCAACCCTTGGTTTTGACTGTGGTTAAAGCCAACAAACTGCTCGCACCATGTCCTTTTTGAGCTTTGGCTTTTCGGGGAATAAGACTTTAGTGGAATAGGACCAGGGGTTGGTTGTGTGAACAAATTTTGCTCAACACCGGTTAGGTGACCCTGGTAGAGGTAGACAAAGGGAGCCCGTTTTGTCAAAGGGAAAACGGGCTGAACGGCTGAGATTGCTGTACGCAGCTTCTCCACAAACAACAAAGCATCTCGAAAAGCAAGCAACGAGGGTGTGAGCGTAAAGCGACACAAGCGAAGAAAAGGGCAAAGGGCTGCAGCTTTCCCATCCCCTCTCTTTTGTGCAAGTCGTTGGGCACTTTTGTCAACCAACCGAAACCAAATAAGCGATTTGGCGGTGCTCTCCCTTGACCCGTGGGAGCCAAGGTCTTCTGTCAGTTTTTCCTTTCTCAAGGCCGTACGTCCTACGAGAGGGCACCCAAGGGGAACAGTTGGGGAAGGGCCTTTCGTTATGAGGCGACAACCATTAAAACTTGGGGGCAACGCAACCAGACTTTCCTATATAGAGACTCACCTGGGTGCCAAAAAAAACCCTTTGGCCATTTGTTTTGGTGGTTCCAAGTTCTACTAGCTGGTTAAACATGGGGTATCGTAAGGCCCTTATGAGACACAAACAAAACGCGGGCCACGTGAAGGTTTTCTTGGTAGCCCATGCACCTGGTTTTGGTTCTGACTCACATGGGTCTGGCTTGTTTTTTTGAGAGGCTGAAACCAAAAAGGGACCGAAGCGAGAATGGGGGTCCCCTTAAAAAAGACGGGACCCAGATAAACTCCAACCACACACCCCAACACACCTCCAAACACACTGGTCTATTCCAAGGGGTTGGTTTGGGGCGGGGTGTTCTTTGGGGAGGGGGGTTCTTTCGGGGGGGGGGGGGTCCTTTTCAAAGATCGCCATGTTAGACCCAACGTCCCAGGGATGAAACGTGCGAACGGCAGGTGGTGTCTATGACGGTGACCTTTAGCTCGGTGAACTTTGAAAGCGCCAAGCAGCTGGAGAAGAAGCTGCGGCTGCGCTTCTCGGTTTCGGGCGCTTGTAAAAAGGGGTTGGTTTGGGTGTGGGACAGAGTTGCTCCGGGAAATGAGGCTTGGCCCGAATTGGCCCAATATTATGTTTGGCTGTGGGGCAAAAGCGGCAGTGGCGACTTTCTGAGTGGGTTGAACATCTAGAGAACCAGCAACAAGTCGCGATTTGTTTACCTTTCTGGCAATAGTCATGGAGTTAAGTTGGAGCTTTGGATTTTAAGACAAGTATTGAAGGCTTTACCAAGAGGGAATTCCCATCTTGTCCTGGTCCGTGCTAAAGCGATCGCCCAAAAAACCCGCGCTGAGACTACGCGGCGTCTCTGGGCGCGACATCGGTAAAGCTGCTGCAAGCGCCCAGCTGCCGAGAGGGCCTCTGCTCCAACGGCAAGGCCCGTGGGTCGCGAGAACGAAGCATGCATCGCATCGAGCTTCTTTGGGCCAGGAGTGGTTTTCCAATGAAGCATTTTTTGTGTTTTGGTGCCCTTTCATTTCTGTGTCCGGTTTGCTCTTAGCTGCTTGTTTTCTTGTGTTGGCTTGGTTCTTGCTCGTTTTTTTGACGTGCTTTTCCTGTGTTGTCATTCTTTGTTCTCTAAATCCAAGGTCCTACCAACGGGGTGGGGCTGATGAGACACACGGATCCCATCACCGAATCTTCCTCCCCACAGCAAGCCTCGCTGTAAGCCACGCAGGTCTCGGTGAACAAAGTCTGCGGCTGTCAGGAGTGCGACGTCGCGGGTGGGAAATGCGCTTGGTGTTTAGTGTGGGTCTGTGTCGAAATGGAGACTTGGAGACCCCACAAAACTGTGGGTCAAGAACACACACAGCGAAAAGCTTGTGTGATTCTGTTTGCACTTCTTTTAACAGATGTCGCAAGAGGCTTTCCTTGCCCCATTGCCTTGTCGTGCTTGCCTGAACGAATGCTTTGAGTGGCCGCCCTGAAATTTGGTCAACAATTCTGGTGAACATTTTGGGTAGTCTTGAGGATGTCCGTTTGATCCCAATCTTGGGGTTGAGAGAGGCCAACACCACATTTGGAGATGAGGGGTGCCCCAAAATCAGAGGCAAGTCATCGCTTGCGGGTCAGCCTAGTTCTAGACACATACCCATGTGGATCTGCCGCAGGCGGGGAATGGAAGTGGAGAGATATGAAGTTGGGTCAGCCATGCCCACGGTCGATGGGACATTTGGCATCCACGCCCCCCCCCCCCCCCCATTTTTGCAGGAAAGTCAAGCTTATGCCAAGTTGGGAAATCAGCTTCTTTGAGCTGGCACAACTGCACTCCAAGGTTCCAGGACCGGATGTTTTGGAAGGCCATGGTCTGGGCAACCCATTCAAAGAGTGAGACCAAACAGGGGGTCCCTCAGATTTCATTGCAGGCAACAGGATGGCTTGGCCGCTTTCTTGACCTGTCTTGGCACATGAAAGGGATCGGGCAAACAGGGGCCCAAATGCAAAGACTACCCGTTTCTTAGCACAGAGACACACACACACACACCAAGAAAAAGCCGCAAAGACGCAGCTCAAACCTTTAAAAACAAAAGAACGCTGCCAACAAACACGTTTTTTAGAAAACGTCACAATCTATCAAACCCATTTTCTAACCAAGCAGACGTTGGACTACATGAGCCGCGAAAAAAGTTCATCGCACTCGTTGTTTACAAGCAAGATGCTGCCGGAGAGGCTGAAGATGCCAAGGAGATGGAGTGCTAGAGGGGACAAGAGGCCTAGCCCGTGTTCTTTTGTTTTGCGTGCTCCACAAGGAGTGCGTAGACAAAGCTCTTGTTTCGTTCATGATGCCTGGTTGGCCCTTGCAATTTTGCAATGCATTGCCTCTTAGATGTCCAAGAGAGGGAAGAGGCACCCATGGTCGCAGGCAGATGTGAAAGCGTTGCCAGGACGGCTATGACCCAGATGCGCCAGCCAAGGGTACTTGTCATTTGTCAAGCACGATCACGGGCGCTTAGATTTCTGCAGGCTCTTGGGGCACTCTGTGCCCTGTGTGTGGAGATATGTTCATCCTTGGCATGGGTCTTTCGGGGCTGAGCAAGAGTATGTGTACTGGGAGAGGAGCAAGCGCCAGTAGGAGTGCTGCGCAAGCGCCGTGCGTCACGACGCGTCACGCCGACGGAGGTTTGAAGACACGGCGTAGGGGTCCGTTTGAGGGGGCCTTTTGTCCAGTGGCGCGCCGTCGCTTCCTTCACCAGCTTCCTCCCCAACGTTTCCAGGCAACTCCTGCTCGGCTTTCGGCCTTGGCTCGCCTGTGCTTGCGGAACGTCTCCTTTTCTGCCACGCAGATGCCATCGAGCAAAGGGGCATCCGCCGCCGCTGCAGGCGCGCATAGCTCGCAAGGGCACCTGCCACATCGACGAGGTGTGCTCGGTTTTCATGACGTTCGCGGATGCAGCGAGCGCTGACACCGTCAGGATGGCGCTTGCTGGGCGTGTGGTCGCCGGCGTCCCAGGAAGCCTTTGGAGGCAGACATGTCAGACAAGACACGGCCGCCGCCTCTGTCAGTGTTCAGAAAGTCTGCGTGCTGGTCAGCGCATGGCCAAGGGCCTGGGAATCATCAAGGACCTTGAGGGCAAGGGCCAGATTGATTTGGGTTCCTGGCCCAACCGCCAGCAAACAAGTGTGAGGCAGCGCTCTTGCACCGCACTTTCAAGGCAGGTTATCTAAAGATTTACCACAAAACGCCTCTCGCAATCCCCGTACCCCCAAGGTTTCTCGCATGGTGTCTCTCAAGGTTTCACTCAGGGCCTCTCTCAAGGTATCTCTCAAGGCTGTACAAAAAACAGGCCGACAAAGGAAAGAAACAAGCAACAGTTTGATCGCCAAAAGGCTTTGAAGGACGCTTTCAGGCTAATATCAAGGGGTACTAAGACATCTCTGCGCCCCATTCCTAGCTCAGCCCCCCAAAAATTCCCGTCAAAGTACACCTATCCTGGGCCCGTCCTCATTGCTGTCATAGCGTCCCGCGACACGCCTCCCCAAGTTTTTTGAGATGTGTCAAGCATCCTTCACCCTCAAAGTTTCCTTCAAAAGTGCTGCTGTGTGCAGGCCAAGGTAAGTCTCCTCAAAGCTGTCACGGCGCTTCCGCTTGCCCGGCTTCTTCTTCTTGTGTTCTCCTCCTATTGCTTCTTGTTCTTGTTCTTCTTCTTTTTCCTTTTCCTCTCATGCTGGGCGCTTCACCCTGCGCCGGCGCTCCGTCGCCACCGTGTGCTTCCTCGTGATCCGCCTCCATCATGCGCTCGTGCTCCGCCTTTGCCGTATGCCCGCCACCGTCTTCTCGTGATCCGCCTCCACCGTGTGCACGGTGTTCCCGCCATCGCTCGGTGCTCTCGCTCCGCCACCACTCTCGCTCCGCCACCACCGCGTGCTCGCGCCTCACTGTGTGCTCGCGCTCTCGCGTGCTCCCGACCTGCCTCCGCCGCGCGTCGTGCTTTGGGCGCTGGGTCCAGCCACAAGACCTTGGTTGCCTTTGGGCGAGGAGCTTGCTGACATGCGCCACTTCTTCTACCCAGGGGCAGGCCACGCCGAGCAGGGCATGGACTTCCGTGGCCTCAGTTAAAGCTCCACAAGCGCAACCACACACATGCAACCGCACACATGCAACCACAACCGCAACCGCAACCAACCGCATATCAACAGCTGCAGCAAGTGCAGTAGCAGTTTGGTTTGTTGTTATATTTTGTTTGCTGTTGTTTATGAGCTTTTCTTGCTCGTTCTGTATTTATGTCATGTCATTCTTTTGTTCCTGACTTTCCTTATTGTTTTCTTTTTTCTTCCATCCTTTTTGTTCCCTCCTTCCTTGCTTTCTTTATGTATTATTTTCCTTTTCCTTTCTGTTCTTTTGTTTCTTTCTCTTTTTGTTGCTTCCTTTTTCCTTTGCTGATTCTTGAATATTTCTTTCTTTATGTCTTTCCTTTCTTTCTTTTTTACCTGCAGGTGTTCTTTGTTTTTTGTTCTCTTTATTCCTGTTTCTGTCTTTCTTTTCTTTTGTTTCTTCTTTCTTGTGTCTCTTCTTTCTTTCTGTTTCTATGTTACTTTCTTTCTTTCCTTTATTTCTTTCTTTATGAGTTTTCTTTTCTTTTCTTTGCTTTCTGTCTGTCTTTTGTTCTTTTGTTATTTCTTTATTTCTTTCTTTCTTTGCTTCTTTCTTTCTTTCTTTCTTTCTTTCTTTGTTTCTTTCTTTCTTTCTGTCTTTCGTTCATTCATGCATTCATGCATTCATACACTCATTCACTTCCTTCATTCCTTCATCCCTTCATTCCTTCATTCCTTCATTCTTCATTCCTTCCTTCCTTCCTTCCTTCCTTCTTTCATTCATTCATTCATCCATCCATCCGTTCATTCATTGATTCATTGCTTCATTGCTTCATTGATTCATTGATTCATTGATTCATTGATTTATTGATTCATTGATTCATTGGTTTATTGATTCGTTGATTCATTGATTCATTGATTCATTGATTCATTGATTCATTGATTCATTGATTCATTGATTCATTGAGTGATTGATTCATTGATTCATTGATTCATTGATTCATTGATTCATTGATTCATTGATTCATTGATTCATTGATTCATTGATTCATTGATTCATTGATTCATTCATTCATTCATTCATTCATTCATTCATTCATTCATTCATTCATTCATTCATTCATTCATTCATTCATTCATTCATTCATTCATTCATTCATTCATTCATTCATTCATTCATTCATTCATTCATTCATTCATTCATTCATTCATTCATTCATTCATTCATTCATTCCATCCATCCATCCATCCATTCATTCATTCATTCATTCATTCATTCATTCATTCATTCATTCATTCATTCATTGTCAGTTGTGTTCTGTTCTGTCCTTTTTTTGTTCTTTCTTTCTTTCTTTCTTTCTTTCTTTCTTTCTTTCTTTCTTTCATTCATTCATTCTTTCATTCTTGCCGTAGTTTCTTTTCATTTCTTTTGTGGCGGTCAAAAACAGGTACCCCACATGGACCCCTGGAAAATGAACACAAGTTGACTAAGCCTGCGGTCCCCTGGTCATTGTTTTGTTTGCCGCATACACACAGTTCCGGGACCGAGCGAGAGGAGATCGGCCCGTGCTCAGAGAGCTGCGCAGCCCTGCGCCTGCAGATGCTTGGATTTGCAAGCGGAAGCCCGGGGATTCGGCGACCAGAGGGTCTCAGTTGTTCAAAGCCGAGCTTTTGACTTTTTTGTTTTCCCATTGAGTTTTAATTGGTTTTTCTGGCTTTCCTTTTGACCTTTTGATCTTTTGTCCATATTTTGTCATGACCCCAAAAGGTGATCACCTTTTCGCTCCAGGCCGCTGCCCAAAAAAGACCACCCCATGTGTTGGAAATGGCCAATCTTCCTGGGTCCAGGTAAATCCTTCTCAGAAGAATGGCCAAGAATCAAGGGTACTGTCCGAGTCAGACACAAAGCAGAACCGGCGACTTCTTTTCAGCAACAAGAATCCGCCATTGCAGGTTTTAACACATTGGGTTGGGTTTTAGAACCCCGCACTTTTTTGAGGGGACCCGTTTTGGGCCGGCTTAAAGGAGAACCCAAAATGCATTTTTCAATTCGGTTTGCCCTTGGAGCTAAGTTTAGAAACAAGTTTCGGCTTACTCACCAACACGGGGTTTGCCACTACCTTTGTTTGGTTGAAGATCCATTTGGGGACGGGTTGGATGAGGAGTGGGGTTACATCCCGTCTGGTCGATTTAAACACGAGTCAAGCGGAGTTTGAGCTGCCCCCCAGACACAAACCTAAGTTGAGTCCCGGAAATTTTGACCCCGGATTAGTCAACCTGAGATTTTCTTTTGGATTCTGTTTCCTCCAAAAGTGAAGGCACCCCTCTCAAATGGGACCCAATTAGGCAACCAGGGGTTTATTCATCCCGGCTTCATATTGCAATGTGGGAGCAAACAGTCAAGCTTTTAGCATAGGGGGTTGAGTCACCCGGCCAACATTTCAACTTGAGGTGGGTGTTGTTGGAGCCCAAGAAGCTGACGCAAGACTTTGCGGCCTCAGGCGATTGGCGAAGCGGTTCTTGACCCGGTTCAGCTCTCGCGACTGTTTGCTTCATCACACGCGCAGGGCTTTTAGTTGCCCTCAATGGTTTCACCGAGAGTTGGCTTTTCGGTTCCCGTTTGGTTTGTTTGAAATGAGTGGTTGTTGTTTGGTTTCCTCAATATGAAGTTTGGGTTCCCTGTCTGCTTTCCCTTCAACTGAACCGCCAAGAGTTGTGGGGTTGGGTTCCCTTTAGTTGCCTTCAAGCAGTTGCTTGTCACGTCTTCTAAGATTCCTCCTCCCAGTACTTCGGAGCCTTTTTCTTGCTGGTTCTCAGCCGGGAATGGGTTCCCAGAAAACCATATCTTGTGGCTTTCTTCCATACCCAATGTGGCAACAAATAGGACCCAAGCTTACCTTGTAACATCCAAAGCGGCTAATGTTGACCCCTGATTATTCCCCCCCCCCCCCAGTTATTAATCGGGGTGCCCTGGAAGACAGTATCCCCACTCAAAAGGGGACCCGCTGGTTATTCATCAGGGGTCAACATCACCCTGTTGATTCCCTACCTGCTTGGGTGTTCCGGCAAGTTGGTATGTTGTTGGTAGCCACCCACTTTAGCCTTGTTATTAGGGGCTGAACAACCCCAATTGGCAAGCCACAGACACGAACTCGGCCGAACATCCAAGTCCTCACAAAGCCATTCTAGTTTTAGACTTTGTTCAGGGGCTTCCGGGGGTTGATTCATCAAAAGTGAACATCGCCCTGTGAATTCCCCACCGAACTCAGAAGTTTTTCCGCCCCCCGGGCCGCCAGGGGAGCTAGAGACGATCCAGAGTGTGGAGGTGGACGTGCCGCTAAGCTTCGCCAACTTCTCGGCGCTGGCCATGAAGTACAGGCCCTGTAGGTATGTCATAGGGATGCCCGGAGGTGGTTCTGAACATGGCCGGGGTCCCGTTCTCGTGGCTTTTAAGGAGACCAGAAGGAAGCCCTTGCCACCCGGGAAAGCCCTCTTGAGCAGCACGCCACAAAACCATGGGTAAATCGTGGTCAGATGTGCGTTCTTTTAAAAACCTGCTTTCGGCCTTCGACCTGGTAAGGACCCAATCTTCTCCCCTCACGCCAGCCACTGAACAAGGGAGTACTGGAAATAGAACGCGGGCCCATGCTCTTGTGGTTTCTTTTCGGGCACCGTCCCATAAGAATCTTCCTCTCACACCCCCCCCGCTGAGGGGTGGGGATGTTTCGAAAAGCTTCTGCCCAGTCAGGGGCTTCAAGTACCTGGCGGCGGGTCTCTTCGCCTGCGCGCTGCTGGCTGTCGTCATCGCCTGCGTCTTGCACCGCTGGTGGACCACCCGCTTCCAGCGCCTCGGGGAGCCGGGTGGGTCCTTTGCACTGGACCCGTGGGACCTTTCAAAAAGGGCGATGCCCGGTGTTTCTTTTGGCTTCCCCCCTTTTCACACCCCAAAAATTGGGGGGACCATTACACGCCCATACAAGTGTGGATATAAACCTTCAAGATTGGGTTTATGGGGTTTATAAGGCTATTTGGTTGTGAATTTGGAGGGTACTCGATTTACCTTGGTTTGTATTTTTTGTGTGCTTTCCCTTTATAAACCATCTTGAATGTTATTTTGAGGATGTCTCTTGGATTGGAAATGGGTGTAGGGTTGCCTTGAAGAGGCAAAACTGCAACCAAATCAGAAAATCCACCTGTGTGGGTCCCTATCCTACCCGCTGAGTTGGGTGTGGCTGTCCTACGGGCGACCCTAAAACTGGGGTTCCCTTCAAGTCTCAAAACATTGGTGGTTGCGCTGTCGTTGTTCCCACTGCCTGTGTTGGGGTTGTTTTACATACTATCAACCCAGGATAGGCAAACTGGTCATGAAGGAGTTTCCGGAGGTGCAAGAGCGATCTTGACTTTCTGGTCAATATGAAAACGGGGTGGACAAGGCAAATCTGTGGATCGGCCCCGGAGAGCTGGTGAATCGGTGTCTTTGTCCATATCGGAACCTCACAAATGGCTGGCTTTTCCTCGTTTTCCTGAAGCGATCAGCCGCAAAAGGTGCCACCAAACAAGACACTGCAAGGGAAACCAAGAGCAACCCACCAATCTCGGGGGTTCCGCAGACATGTTTTACATTCTTCTGTTTCTTGCAAGCCTGCCAAACAGTGGTTGTGACAATGGCTACGCACATTTATGCCCTCACATTCTATGTTATTCTGTGTGCTTTTTTGTTTAAGGACTTGTTCTGCAACATCTTGGGTTTCGAAATATTCACCGGTGGCCCACTGTGTGCGCCGCCCCGAGGATGGCGGAGCAAGGCGTCGCCCTCACACCCACCGCCCAAGAGACCAAGATCCTCTTCCATGCGCGCCTTGGGGGGGGGGGTCCACCAGAGGCGTGTTTCAGCATAGAGGGAGTGCAACCACCTCTTCAAGGCACCCTCTGCTTTGCTGCATATAGGGAACGCGACCCTTGGATCAGGGCACTAGTTACTTGAAGTACTCTGCATATATGTGGCCATCTGGAAGGTGGTTGCGAAATGAAATTCTAAACGCCCACCAGCAGGCGGGTTTGGGGCGAGGGAGGTGTGGGGGCATAGAACCTGTACTTGAGGATGACGGATGGGGGGTCGTCCCGAGACTATCACATCACACTAAACTCAACCCAACTTTGTGTTTTCTTGTTTCTTTGGAGGTCTGATTCTGTCAATTTTCTGGCTGTGAGCGGGCTCAGGCAATGCATCCCCTGCATTTCCTGGACCATGCACCTGTGCTTCCTGTCCCTTGCTTTCCCTTTGCTTTCCCTTTGCTTTCCCTTTGCTTTCCCTTTGCTTTCCCTTTGCTTTCCCTTTGCTTTCCCTTTGCTTTCCCTTTGCTTTCCCTTTGCTTTCCCTTTGCTTTCCCTTTGCTTTCCCTTTGCTTTCCCTTTGCTTTCCCTAACTTGCTTCCCTTGTTTTCCCTTGATTCGCCACAGATCAGGGCAGATGTTGGGTCGCCTTGAAACAAGCCAAGTGAGCAGGTGATCAACCAACCCACACGCCAGGAAGCAAGTAGCCAACAATTTCTTTTTGGATTCCTCTCAACTCCAGCGAAGAAGGGGCTATAACACAATTGTATGGCAGCGGTTCGAGTCCTGCTGGTCCTATTGCAAAGGAAAGATGCGGAAAGTGGCTCCGAAATTGAATTCATGACTTGCGGCCAATCCCGTGTCAGTTCTGTGCGGCACAAGTCCTTGCCTGGCTGTTGTTTGAAAAACAGGGAAGGTTTGCTCTGATTTCGCCGCACAAGGTTCACCTCACCTCAACCTGCTTGGGGGATGAAATGAGAAGGGTGAAATGAGGCATGGTGTGTCCAACACTAGAGACCTTCAACAATCAAATGACAGGAAGGCATTGGAAGACTATCCTTTTGGGGTAGCCCCCTGCATACTTCCACGATTCTTGCAAAAACAGTAGGCCCCTGCAACACTGTTTCGTCTCCTTTTTGCTTCCCTTCAAACCCCAACAAATTTCAGCGGCTTCCAGCGATTGGAAACGGAACGTGAGTCCTTCCAAAGCTTTCAAACAAGAGACAGGGTGGAAGGGCAAGTACAATGGTCGATGAGGCTTACCGAAGGCTTGAGCGGTCCAGTTAAGGGAGTGTGTTTGTTTTAACGATGTATCTAGGCTGTCCTTGAAGAGCCAATTGGTGGGCCTTGTTGGTTTGGGTGGTGCAAGCAAGCCAGGGTGAGGATGGAGACAGGAAGGAGACAAGGCGCGCGTTCCATGGCATTGAAGAAGAAGAAGCAGAAGAAGAAGAAGAAGAGGAAGCAGAAGAAGAAGAAGAAGAAGAAGAAGAAGAAGAAGAAGAAGAAGAAGAAGAAGAAGAAGAACCAGCGCCAGATGACACCACTTCTTGGTCGCCACACCCACTAGGGTCTGCATACAAACTTGGGAAGACCACTTTGGTGGCAAACAAACAGTCTGGACTTCTTTTGGCCAATCCACTCAGGAAGAGAGCATCACCTGGAATGAATCTTCTCGTTTAGCACTTTTTGTCTTCCATCTTCTTGGCCGACATTTTTTTGAAGGGCCTTGATATATGTCCACCGAACGTGGGTATAACCAGCTTGTACTTGGAGATCGTGTTCGTCACAAATTGGGCTTTGTGAGTGGCCAAGGATTCGTATCCCCAGGAAGATAGAGTCGATTCGCCACTTCGGTATCACAGGAAAGGGCCTGTGCATCCACCGGGGATCCCTCCTTTTTTCCCACTTGAATTACACGAATTCACAAATGGCCAACCACTCAACCTATTGTTCCTATCCCTGCAAATTGCAAGCTCACCGATCGCGGATGAAACGAGCACGACTTTCATGACGGATGTGCATTTGTTTGATTCAATCCAGATTTTCGGTTGGTGAATCAGATGGTGCTAGTAGCACCGCAATACGCGGCCATCAAGACACAGGGGCTTCTGCAAAGGCGGAAGAAAGAAAGAAAGAAAGAAAGAAAGAAAGAAAGAAAGAAAGAAAGAAAAGAAAAGAAAAGAAAAGAAAAGAAAGAAAGAAAGAAAGAAAGAAAGAAAGAAAGAAAGAAAGAAAGAAAGAAAGAAAGAAAGAAAGAACGAAAGAAAGAGAGAGAGAGAGAGAGAAATAAAGAGAGAGAGAGAGAGAGAAAAGAAAGAAATAAATAAAGAAATAAAGAAATAAATAAAAGAAAAGAAAGAAAGGAATAAACAAAGAAAGAAAGACGGAAATGAATAAATATATGAATAAATAGATGAACAAAGAACGCACAAAAGTGCGAAAGAGCGAAGGAACGACAGAGCGAAGGAACGAAAAGAAAGATTGAGCGAGCGACAGAACGAAAGAACGAAAGAACAACAGAGCGACAGAACGAAAGAACGAAAGAACGACAGAGCGAAAGAGCGAAAGAACGACAGAGCGACAGAACGAAAGAACGAAATAACAACAGAGCGAAAGAACGAAAGAACGAAAGAACGACAGAGCGAAAGAACGAAAGAACGACAGAGCGACACAACGAAAGAACGAAAGAACGACGGAGCGACAGAACGAAAGAACGAAAGAACGACAGAGCGAAAGAGCGAAATAATGAAAGAACGAAAGAACGAAAGACAGAAAAAAGACAAACAGGTTGAGTCGGCAACCATGGGAGCAATGCTTGCCTCGCGTCAGGATCTCGCCGGAAGACCTGCAGGTTCTCATAGACATGACACACCAGGCAGGCGCCTATGGGTCCTCCAGGCATTGAAGTTCAAGCTTGCCGAAGAAGGAGTTTCCCTTGGAAACAAAGCACAAGGCTTTGTTTGACCAACAAGTTGTAGGCATGTTACATTGCAAGGATTGAACTGCCCAAGCCTGTTCAGTCAGAAGAATGTTCTTGGATGAAGCTTGTCCAGTTCCTAGCCCCAAACCTTGGGAAACCCGAGGTAAGGCTTGCAATGGGAGCCGTTTGAGCAGTCTCGGGATCGGGGAGTCGTGGTTGGATCTTGGATCCTTTTGTATTCCTTCTCTAGTGTTCCTTTTCTGTCCAAATGTCCCCCCAAAGTACCCTTGAGCATTTTTGGTCAGGACTCGTGGCTGGAGCAGAACTGGTTCCTAGGGCAGAGGAGAAAGGTCTTCCTGCTGGTCTTCTGCGTCTTGCTGGCTCTGCTTTGCGCCGCCTTCATGATCTACGTGCCTCGGCAAGGAGCAAAAGCACACCCAAGTCTTGACGTGCGTGCGTGTTTTTGCGTATTTCTTGACGGCACCCTTTTTCACCTTGGTGGAAAGGGAACCCAAGAGGAGAAATTTGCATTTTCGGGGGGCTTTTGATGCATGCCCATCATTCATCAACCTGATGGGTTGTTGGGGGTGTGTTGCCCCAGGAAGCGAACAATTCCATCTTAAATTGTTTCGGTGACTTCCCACAGCGTTTTTTTTGTCACACAGAAAGTTGTGCATTCTTTGGGCAGTGGTGATGCTGGCAATGCTCGTGATGCAGGCAAGTGATGCTCATGATGCAGGTTTTTGACGTCTTGTGCTTATTTCAATCGCCAGAATCTGAGCTTCAGAAGCCAAAACCACAGATTGGCCCTGCACCAGAAGATAGGGAAGCAAAGCCATGGAACCGTCTTGGCTCTCAGGCGTCGATTGGACCATTGAACCCAATACATGGCGGTTTTTTTCCTGCCCCGTTTTTGGCAAAGAGCAATGCTAACATCCTACATCAGGTTGTGAACTGCAAGATTTTCCGTGATACGGAATCTGGGTAGGGAATCCCACTTATTGTGAATGAGCAGGGGAATCCCCTTCAAGCCGCTACAGTCAAGCAAATCAGCCACTTTCTCACGGAAGCCATTTGCCTCAAGATGCCAAACCCCCAGCCCCAGAATTTCCCTGAATTCCTTGAAACGAGCCCCGAGGAGTCCCTTGTCTTATTTCAAGGCGGCTTTGCCGAAAGTTCGGCATCCGCCTGAGCGGGCGTGTTAGACCGATTCCCAGTTTGACGGTAAGTTAGACCCCCCTTTGATGTAGAAATCGTCCAGGGGGGTCCAACTCGATTTCCCACCAAAAGTGCCAAAAAGGCAAAGTCTCTTGATTCTCAGCCATAGGTGTCCTTTTAAGGTTGGTTTGGCTGCTCCTTTGGCCGTGGTTTCAGTTCGGTTCTGATGATTTACATGTTGGTGTTTTCCAAACCGACACCCAAGGCAACCACCTACCTGACTCCCAAGTTGAGACATGGGGATGCGGCAGTATGGAGGTTGTACCAGTCGTAAATGGGGTCACCGCGTTGTAATGTTCGGATGAATCTGGAGGCCGATTTTCGTGCGAAAAGGGTTCTGGATTAGTACGGTCCCCTGGATGAATTCGAAGTTGACTTTACTTTTTTCCTCTCTCACCCGAAGGTCTTTTTCTCACCTGAAGGTCTTTTTTGGGGGATGCCTCAAGCTCCTGGGACGACGAATGATGCCATGATGCCATGTTCCGCTTGATTGAGGTGGACATGGTCCAGGCCCCCGAGGAGTTGGTTCAGGCAGCGCGGGAGAGAGGTCTGGAAAATTGGTCCTCTTAGCTCTTGGGGGGTTTCTGCACAAGCTGTGCCGGCACCACTATGCAAAAAAACAATGCACATGCCGTGGTTTGATGGAGTTTGTGTTTTTGGTTTTCTTGATGAACGGGAAGCTCCGTCAAACACATCTCTAGTAGCTAATTTGGTTTTCGGGACATAGGGGGACGACTACATGTCCAGCAAAACCGCGGGTAAGGAGGCTTGACTGTTTCGTAGGCAACCAATGGCATAGTTTGACCGTGGCTTGTAGTTCAGCCGTGTCTTTTGAGCCATCATTTTAAATTGGCAGGGTTCCGCTACTCGACCCTGAGGTCACCCCTTGAGTATGGCCCAAACATGGCCGTACTCAGAATGCCTCAGTCAACCATGCAAGGGCGCTCATGGGCACCCCGCATCTCATGAAAGCAGACAGCACCCGTGGGTTTGTGCGACGCCGCAAATTGATGCGACTGATGCCGGTGATTCTTCGCACAGCCTTCCCTCTCCCCGTCTCTCCCGTTTTTTATTTTTGTGTTTTCGAGATAAGACCCTAGTTCATGGCGGTTTGGGGGACCTGAAGAGAGCATCTTCAGACTCCAGTTCTGAGGACAGCATGATCCTGGTTGAGCAAGGAGTTAGTGCCCTGTTCCATTTCCGTGCGAAGCAAAGGGTATGCCACACGTATGGAACCGCCATGCTGCACATACCATGTTCCATGCCCCAAGTTACACCATGAACCACGTGAGTGGTTGACAAAATGATTGGCAGTCTACTGTTGCTTTGGGGAGGACGAGAAGGTGGGGCAACCCAAGCTCCTGCAACAAACAAAAGGCAAAGGCCATGCAACATTCCCACGTCTTGTTCCGCTTGTATGTCCAAGTCATTCTTCTCACTTTTGATGCCATTGCAAGGGCTATTGTCCACATGTTTCATTTTGGTACTTCAGAAAGACAGGGTCATTGGTGCCTCAGCACAGTCTTCTGTAGGTAAAAAAATATATGCGCAACTAACTCACCCATGAGAAAGAGCTTAGAAATTCAAGTCGTATAAGTGAACAAGTGTCCTATTTCCAGGCGGCGAGTGAGTGGCCTTTGGGTTTCTGCCACTGGCCGCGGCAAAAACAACAACAACACGGCCCTTCTTGTGCTACCAACCTGGGCTAATCCCATCACGGAACGTGGGAACACCAACCCCAAAAGTCCCCACCACTGCTGGCTGGACAAACTCCATTTCGCACCGGTTGGGATGGATGAACCCCTATGCTGGGATAAAACACTTACCAATTGGTGCGAAGTGGTTTGTGCCCACCCACAGTATGTGTCCTTCTTCGGTTTGCTTTCTGGATGACACGAAGTGCTTGTGGTGAGTTGCTTTCAGGGTTGGTTGCGAAGTTTGTTGAAACAAACAAGGTGTTGAATTGCCCAACCAGGGTTGGTTCCTTTCACGAAAGGCCTTTTTTTTTAACGAATTCCGCAGCGCGAGCCGAAGGCAAGTTTCTGGACTTGATGCTTTTTGTCGGTAAGTATGCAGTTTGAACTCTTTTTGCCAATCCAGCATGATCTCCGCAACTTCGCCTGTGCTCAAATAAGAAGGCGCTCAAACGTGTGGTCGTGTCCAGAAAGAATGGTGAGGTACGGCTAACGTCGACCAGGGATTAGTCAACCTGGTGGATTTTTTGGGGGCGTGTTGCCCCCCAAGTGCAGGTTGCCCCCCCCCCCCTCCCCGCGTGAGGAGTCAGTGCTTCCCTTGAAGGACAATACCGCGCCCTGACTCGAGCCCTTTTTCTTGCGGATGTCGCTGGCCAAAAGCGAATTGACCTGAGCTGCCCTTTTGGCTTTGCCAGTTTGGTACAGATTCCTGATAAGACGAGCTTACTGAGGGTGGGGAGAAGTTCTACTCCAACGACACACATTGACTCCCCAAACGAGCGGCAGGATCCCCAAACGGCCAAGATTTGTCCAAAAGTGGATTGTGGATTACTGCTGTTCATCTTCAGGAGATGTCTCAAAATCTGGCATTCCCCTTTGCTCAAGGTGACTTCGTATATTGCCCTTTTGGTTGTACCACACTCGTGTTGCTGTTGAAGGGAACACATCCCATGGGTCTCCAACTGCGAACCCCAACAGCTCACTCCCTCAGATCCTTGGGCTTGATACCTTCTGAGGCAATCTTCGAATCAAAAGTTCGGACTTGTTCGGTCCAGCGTGTCATGTCCACTGCCTTGAGACCTCTGAGTGGCCAAGGGAGTTCGGGAGAACCTAACAAATAAGGAAATGCCCATACCCACAAAAGACCCATCGCTTGCAAAGGAACCTCCTTTTCAACGAGTCTGTTTTTCTTTCTGAAGTTGCAAGGGAGTATCGCAGAAATGCCCTTGTTTCAGGTTTCGAGACTTCCTGGAAGTGAGTCGTTGCGGTCACGGAATCCCGTGGAGGGCCCTTTTTCCCTGGTTCCCAGAGAAGCCAGGCCAAAACGGGGGCCTTAACACAAAAGGCCCATGTGGGGTCAAAATTTCACGACCAGCTGATTTAGAAAGAGAGACAGAGCCGTACACCGGCCAGACGAAAGTTGCGCTTCTTGAAGGCCCGAGCGAGTACAACCCTTTCCCCCTAGAATCCTTCGGGAAAAGACCTACGGGGGTGTGCGCGGTCAATTTTGGACCTGGAAAGTCTTATATTATTCTAAATTTAAAACAGGGTGACAACTGACCGTCCCACGCCTGCCGCACAAAAGTGGACTTGTTAATTTGATCCGTGGCTGACCCGAAAACGTCTTTTCAAAGTAGGCAAGAAGCATACACTTTTGTCTCACTGAAGGGCAGTACGCAAAATTTCGTGGCTCTCGAGTATGTTCACCTCTGCCGTGCGCATTGACTTTTGGCGACAAAAGGTAAGTCAGCTTGAACTCAATGCAAAAGCCCTGCCGTAACGCAGGGCAGTACGCATAATTTCTTGGCACTCGCGTATGTTCAACCTCTGCTGTGCACATTGACTTTTGGCGACAAAATGCAAGTCAGCTTGAACTCAATGCAACGGCCCTGCAGTAACGCAGGGCAGTACGTGTACTTTCGTGGCACTCGCGTATGTTCAACCTCTGCTGTGCACATTGACTTTTGGCGACAAAAGGCAAGTCAGCTTGAACTCGATGCAACAGCCCTGCCGTAGCGCAGGGCAGTACGCATAATTTCGTGGCACTCGCGTATGTTCAACAACCTCTGCCGTGCACATTGGCTTTTTGCGACAAAAGGTAAGTCAGCTTGAACTCAATGCCGTAACGCAGGGCAGTACGCATAATTTCGTGGCATTCGCGTATGTTCAACCTCTGCTGTGCACATTGACTTTTGGGGACAAAAGGCAAGTCAGCTTGAACTCAATTCAACTTCCTGCCGTGACGCGCTGGCCAGACGAAAGTCTTGAAGGTCCGAGATTACAACCCATTCTCCCTAGAATCCTTCAGGAAAAGACCTACGGGGGTGTGCGCTGCCAATTTTGGACCGTCCCACGCCTGCCGCACAAAATGCGCTTGTTAATTCGATCCGTGGCTGACCTGAAAAGTCGGCAAGACGCATAAACTTTTGTCTGACTGAAGCATGAGAGACGTCACCAACTTGCGAAGCAGGTGGTCTTTTCGATGTATCCTTTAAGGGCACCCTGAAACAGATGAGGTGTCCTTCCAGTACGTGGGCTGCTTTCCGGTTCGTCGCGCAGCGGGCAACGAGCTCTATGACACGGGCTGCATGCAGAGGCGGGGCGATTGGCTCTGAGGTCCGGGGTCCAGCAAGGTTGGGCGAGTTGGGGCGCCCTTTTCACCTCGTTTTTTTTTCTTTCTTCTTCTTTTTCTCCCCGGCTTTTTTGGACAAGTTCCTGCACACTGGCATGGTGGGGGCCGCTTTGCAAGGAGGACTGCCTTCTGTCAGATTCCATGAGCTATGGGATAAAGCAGGAACCGACTGGCAACGAGGCTTGCGGATTTGGTCAAACAGTCGGATCTGGACGCAGGTTGGTTGACTTGTTTCGGCTCCGGACACAGCTCCTTGGGGCCCTTTGGACCGTTTAAACATCACCTTGCGGGTAGCCAGTTTTTATGTCGAATTTCCTCGTGCAGTGATGCGTCAGGGGGACATTTGGGAGCGGAAAGAGGGACTGCGACCCTCCTTGTGGAAGACAAGCTTAAGCCTCCACTCAAGCTAGCCTCAAACATGGGATAGCACTCTGACATCTCAGGGACCCGTTCCATTTTTGATGCTTGATGGTTCCAGGTATAGTCTGTTTTAAACCTAGGGCTTGATTGCGCCCTTTTCGTGGATTCAGCCTCTTCTCCCCTTGCTTGGTACACTTTCAGCAGTGGCTGAGTTTTCGGGAAGAGGGTGGGGCCGCCTGTTGCTCATCCGAACCGTACCCTGCATGTAAAAGGGTGGTTTTGATTAGGGCATCAGCTTTATGCCAAGTTCTTGTGGTGTACTGCTTCTCTTATTGGCCAACACGTGTGAATCAACATGCAATCCCTCTGATTGCTGAACAAGGGGTTAAATTTGTTTTACAATGGGATTCACCATGCATTCCACGTTGCATGGGGGGTTTTTGCCCTCAGACACTTGGACAACAATTCTGACAACAACACTTGCCTCCATTTAAAGGAGAACGTCTACTCCCCAGTCCACTAACCTGGAACCTGACTGAAAAATATGTTTCTTCAATGTTAGACAGGAATGGTTTTCCTCAAGTCAGTCTCTGCTCGTAATGACATCCCGGGTTTTCAAGTCCAGCTTTCTGTGAAGCTATATCCCCAATGAGTATGCCCACCCACAAAGAGTCAAAGGCACTGAGAATCGAAGGGCACTTGAAAAGACGTGCTCTTTGATTCGTTTGCCTGGCCCACCCTCAAACCCTCAAACCCTCAAACATGGAAATTCACCCTCGTTGTTTCTTCCCGAGCCCCCCACCCCTTTCCCCCCTCCCTGTCAGTGCAAGGGAACCCCGTTTACTTGGCTTTCAAACAAAACCAGCCGGAAACCACGAGAGAGACCAACAGGAGCCAGGCATTTTTTGGGGACCAGAACATAATGTTAACCACAGAACATTTTTTGGAGGGAACACCCCCCTAATAATGGGACGGGTTTATTAATCCTGGGTCAACATTCGCCGATGCCGGTCCTGTGCAGGGGGGATGCCGCGTGCCTCCACGGGCTTCCCTTCTACCGCCTGCAGCACAGCGACCCCGCGGGCTGCGCGGAGTTCTGCCGCGCGGAAAGGCTCAGCTCGCGGATGGAGTTTTCGGGGACTGTCCCCTGAACGAGGTCCGGAGGGTTTTTGATGCAGATTCATAGCGTTCATAGCCAACTGGCAGTGGGAAACCAGATAAAGAAGTGCTAAGCATGGCCAACTCGGCAGCACGGAACGGGCGATGTTCCACAATCACGAGGGCCACTAACCATATTGCTAACTTCCCAGCCACACTATCAGGGAGCCGCTTCAAGCTTCTAGATAGACAGATAGATAGACATGCATGTACCGATAGATGTATGGCAGATAGACATGCCACGGTATAGTTTGGACTGTATTTGGCCAATCCTCTCAGGAAGTGAGACCGTCCCAAAAAGGGATCCTGTTTGAGACACCCCCCCCCCCCCCCAAATCCATGTTTTTTGGCGTACCCACACCCCCTCCAAAAAAGTGGTGTTCCTTTGGTTTCCCTTTGTGTGGCCTTTTGACCTCACCTTTTGGTCGTGGACTTTCTGCGGATTTCTTTCGCTGGGACGAAAAATCCGAGCTCCGAGGCCTCGGGAAGGGCCTCGACATCAGTGGCCTCGTGGACGGCGCCGAGTGCCGCTGCGGGGCCTCCGCGAAGAACGGGACCGAAGCCCCGCGGCGTCGGCTTCGGGCGTTGGCGCGGGGTTCGGACGTTTTCGTGTTTGTGCGAGCGGCGCGAGAGATGCAGGGAAGGAGAGATGGAGTCTGACCCGGAAGGGGATTCCCTCGGAAACCATTAGTTGGATGAGGGAATGACCCCGAGATAAACCATCCGACTGCTGGTTTCCTGTAATGGAATCCCCTTCCGGTTCATTCCCACATCCCGACTGAGCACCAGCGAGTTTGGGGCTTCGACGGAGTCTCGAGGTTAACCAAAAACGGGATAGACTCCCCTGTTTTTGGTTTCTCTGTGGATTTGTTTTATCGTTCCCTTTTGTTTTATTCTCTGTGGATCTGTGCGTGTTGTTTGTGGTTGGTTTCTCCAAATCTTTGGATGTGGATAGAAGCCCAAGGCGATGACGATTTTGGGGGTTTGACTCTCCGCATTCCCTTTCAATCTGCATCAAGTCGGGAAGTAGGAACGCCCTGCACAAGTTTGCCACAGTTTACCCATGTGAGTAAGTGACAAGACTGTTGGCAGTCTGCTGTAGGGACCTTTGAGTGGGCGAGTTCGTCTTCTTTTTTGGTCTTGTACACTGAATGCTTTTGGGGTGTAGAATATACAGTACCAGTTCTTTACACCCAGTGATTCGGCTTCCTTGTGCAGTAGGTAGCCAAGGGAGGCCAGCCCTGAAAAACCTGACAGACAATGGCTAGTTTCCTACCATAGTGCCACTAGGACCCACTGGGCGTGCTGATTTGATTGTGATGCTTATGTTGCTTTGGGGGTCCCATTTTGGGGGTCCACATCCCTTGACACATGCCCATGGTGCGTGCTGGCGCGGCCAGGATTTGGGATCTCTGGAACAAGCTTGGCGCCAGTCGCCCTGACTTGCCTCTCGGATCTCAGAAGGGTGCCTTTATGTGGCCGGGCCAAAGCGGGCCCAAACTGAGTCTTAGTACTTTTGCACCAAAGGCGCTGTATGTGTTTTTGGAACATTTAGCAGCACAGGGCCACGTTTGCTTTTGGGGGGCGATGTCCTAGTTGCCACCATGTCAAGGCAGAGTTCAGGAAGTGTCAGTCTGCAACTAGCAGGCGTGGCCTGTGACCAGTTGGATTGGCGAGCGCGGCCGCATGTTCCTGTATCATGCTCACCTGTTGAGTTGACAAGCTCCGCACTTTTGTCGGAAGGTTTGTTCATTGTTGTCAAGGCCTAAATATTTCATTTTTTCCCGGGTCTGTACTGCACATCCGGGTTTTGGGGTTTGGGTTTGATCGGCAGGCTTGCTCCGACAGTTCAAGGTGGGCATTTGATCCGTGTTTGATGGTCGCCTTCGGTTTTCCCCAAGCAGGTTGCGGGGAGCGATGGGAGCGACCCTGATTTGAAGTGGGCGTGGCTCCTGTTTTCCAGGGGACCGTTTTAAAGGTTGGTTCAAAGGGAAACCAAAGAGCAACTAATCACTTTGGAGGTTCACACCCTATTTTGACACACCCAAGTAGATTTTGCCAATCATCGGATAGAAAACTTAGTTGGCCCCCCTGCGGAAAACGCATCGAATCGCGGCTTCGTCATCCTTCAGGGCCTGCTCCTTAATCAAACCACAAGCGCATATATTTGGTTGGGTGTCCTGCTTTGATTTGCGACCAAATTTGCATAAGCCATGGTCTTTGGAGCAACCTAAGATTGATCTGCCCCCTCAACCCGGACCCCTCCCCTATTTTTCACATGTGTGGTCAAAATACCCTTTCACAAGGGATGTAGGATCTAGACCACAAGGTTTTCTTGTAGCCATGACCATGACCCACATTTTAGGAGTTGTGACCCTTCCCCACATGCCCAGGCTCCTGCCCGAGGAGGCTATAGATACTATAGATGATCATACATAGTTAAATTACTTTAGAGCCTCCGGCTCCGTCCGCCGACATTGGCATCTAGCTTGTCTCCTTCTTCCTCTCGCCCGTGTCCCCCTAGTATGCTCTTCTGTCCTCTCTGGTTCCCCCATCCTCCCCGACACGCCGAGCAATGTCGGCGGAGTGTTGAGTGCCACCAAGAGGGTGCTCCCAAAAAGGGCGCCGAACCATGCCTCCAAGTAAAATGTTGGGAAAGGGTGGCGACCAAACAGGGCGTACAATTGCGAACAGGAAGGCTCGCCGTTTAGGGCACCTTAGTGCTGGGTGGTATGTCATGGCCACTGCATGTCATTTTGGCGGGGTGCGCGGATAAGCTGATTTCTGAGGGGTGTTGAGGTTGCCCCTTGTACGGCATTCTTGCTTGCGAGAAGCGTGGCTTAGCATGGCCCAAGTATCCGACACGAAGGACATTGGGGGCGACACTTGGAAGGAAGCTGGGGTTGGGGAATTTGCCAGGACATTTGGGGGAAACTGGGGGGGAAATTGGGGGGAAGTCGGATGGAAATTGAAAGGAAAGTGGGAGGGAATTGGTGAGAAAGTAAGGCGCAATTTGCGGGGAAGCATTGGGGGAAATTAGGGGAAATTGGGGGAAATTGGTGCCAATTGTCAAGGAAATCGGAAAACACAATGTTTTTTTCAATGGTGTCAGCAAAGGAAATCAAAGTTTTCCGCAAAAGGCAGCACAAAACCTCAGCCGGCAGAAAGAGGCGGCGGGAGGATTCGAGCCTGGGACCCCCGTTTCTCCAGACCCGCTCCCCGAAGACTGGTGGCGACCGAAAAACCATGCGTATTTGACGTGTCCCGGGGGGGGACTAAGGGGGGGGTTATCCTCTATCCTCTCTTAGGTATCCAATAGTCCTCTCTTAGGTATCCGACACGCCGAACAATGTCGGCGGACATATTGTGTACGTTACATAACAAGTACTCAAGCGGGGTTCCACTACCCCACAACCACCCCTGTGACCCGGGTGAGGGAACTACGGTGATGGTCAACTGTTCAAGAACCAATTAGGAATGATCCCATGCGCCGCCTTTTTTCTTCTTCTGCGAATTAAATAGTTTTTCCACCGTGAGTTTGGCTTAGTTCAACAAGAACTCCAGCGGTTTACTCAAGGGGTCACACCAAACATGGAAACCACCTGGGCCCTTTCGGAGGATCGCTCTCCTGTTTGGCATGTGAACCTCCGTGGTTGTTGGTGACCCGGGGTAGCTCTCTGCCTCCTAAGGGTGTGGCGCCTTGGCTGCGGTTTGACCTGGGCGGCAAGTTGTCATGGGCGAAGGAACTTCGGGTTTAAGGATAGCCGTCCACGGGAATCAAACCACACCATTTGTTGGTATTTGCAGGGGAATCACCATTCCAGGGTTTCTGGACGGTGCTGCAGGATTTCGCCCGTCCACAGTAGGGCGGCGGACTGTGTTTTTTGGTTTTGTTGTTTTGTTCGTTTACATTATGTATATATATATATGTTACAAACAAACACTGGTTGCAAGTGAGCAAGACCGACCGCGAGTAGTCAATTGACACCAACCCTGTTTTTAGTCCCCGTGAACATCAACGTGTTTTGATTATTGTTTTGTTTTGTTGGGAGATTGAACAGTTTCCACCCCCCATCCTAAAGTCGTTCTTTTTAGTTACATTAGATACACTTGGTAACGACGGAAGGGAGAACCTGATGTAGAAAGCTTGTGGCTCATTCCCCTCCATCAGGTCGTTTCTCATGTCCAACCTTCCCATCACCAGGGAGGGAGGGATGTGATGATATGATGGATGATGAAAGGGAAATGGCTCACGGACAAGCCATCCAATCATCCAGAATCTCATTCTCCTTTCCTCACCACTTTATTCTTGGTGGTGAGAGAAAGGGATGGGGCTGGAAGGGTTATTATGCCAGCCAAAGGCAACAGAGAATAGAACTCGCCAGTGGCGTGCACAGGGTGGCTTCCTCTTTGAACATTATCATGTTGCGGGGCAACACAAGCTCACTGAATACAGTTCCTTCCTTGGGGACTCCTGATTTGTTATAAGCAATTTGCATAGATTCCTATGTGGCTATGGATGTTAAGAGCATGGATCCCCGCCTAAATGATGTCCATCAAAGGTCCACTATGAACATTCACACACACACACACATTCTCCACAGATTTGACCAGTCTTTCGCGCATGATCCACGTAGAAATGACAAAGTTAGTCATATAGATGGCCCGCTTTGGCATGGTACTTCTGGTTTGATCCCGGACAATGATCTTTTGAGCCAGCGCAGAGGATGTCTCACGCAAGATGTGTCTGTTCAGTTTTGTTTGTCAGGGGGCCTGTTGTGCGGTCCCCTGAATTTTTATCAAGGGTGGCTTTGCCAATTTCAGATGAGTGTCCTCCTGTTGGAAAGGACAACTAGTGACCCCGGTCCAAGTTGGACAGATCATGCATGCTTACCCCTTTCTCTTTAGGCATCCACCGTTGCGAATCATTTGCCTCGGCCGTTATTTCAGGAAAACTGGGGGATGTTTTGATTGAACTTCCGACCTCAAAGGAGTAATTTGGCTGTACCCTCCGCATTCTCTCCAGGATCCATTGATTTAATGGGTGTAAAGCTGGGACATCCGGTGGTTTCTGAAAGTATGGGTGAAGAGACTGGTAATTGACGCTTGCCACAACAGTTGTTTTTGTAGCATCTTCAGGACAAATCAGGATTTTGGGGTGGCACACCCGTATTTGCAACACATGATGAAAACAAAAACGGGTCCCCGCTTTTGGGCCTCCCATAAGCGTCCGGCTCGCCAGGTCTGCGGAGGGGGCGGTGGCCGATAGCAGCCCTCTGTGCCGCACGGACGTCTCGAAGCTCGTGGGAGTTGGCGCGCCTCGGCGAAATCGACGCGGTTGCCACTCGAATCCCGAGAAAGCGCGACCGCCGGGTGGACGGAGCGCTGTGGAAGGTCGTTCAGGTGTCGTTTTGCCCTGTGCCTGCTCTCCCGCATGTTTCCAGCAATCTCCGCTTGTGTTTCTGTGTTCTCTCCGCGTTTGTTTTTTTTTCTTCTTGTCTCCGTTGCGATTCCCGTTTTGGGGTGGTCGATGTTTCTGAAATGTGGAGAGGTGGCCTCTATAGAGAAATCAAGCAAACGGAGCTCGGATAGATTCGTTTTGGAGGTATGCCAATCGGACTTTGGCACACAGACAGGCCATGTTGCTCCACGTCCAAGGGACTGCCCCTAGTGACGACGTTGATCTAGAGATACTTCAGTTTGGCACAGAGCCCTTCTGCTCCGAGCTTGATGATCACCTCGGTTGGGTAGATGTTGCCAACTTTCTACTCAAACGTTCCAGGGTGGCACGGGAGCAACGCAGACAGGGGCGGTTTGCTTCATGAATTCTAGGCCTGCGCAATGGTGCTCTCTTTGCCAAGTTAGTCACAAGGGCCAACCAAAGGTGCTTGCATCCCTGCTCTTTAAGGCACGGTCTCGCAATCATGTGAATATGGGACTTTCGCCCTTTCCAAAGGGTCCTTTGGCGCTGACCGGCGGAAAATTGAGATTCCCCAGTTCAGATTGGTGCATTGCAGACCATACGAGGCAAAGCCTACTCTTCTTCAGTTTTGTTATATGTAAGAGTAAGCCAATGCAATCAAGGAGGCATAGTCAGTCTAACGCTTTGAGCCATTGCAATTTGATTTCAGAGGATTTTGGCTCCCCCTGTTATTTTCCCGTGAGAACCCAACCCGCGCGGATGCCAATCATTTGGGCGCAGCACATTTTGCCAACGAGGGTTCCAAGAGGCATGGAGCGAAGGCAATCCACAATAGGATCACTCCCTGGTTTCCTCCAAATAAAACCGGACATAGGGGTGGGCTTGTGGGTTTTTGAGTGTCTGCTTTGGGACGCACAGGACATGCTTGATCAAGGGGCAGGTTGAGATGTGGAGGCATGGAGAGAACATATACCGCGGTAGCAGTGGTATATGAGACGCTAGCTTTTATTGGTGTATAAGCATACCTCCAAAACCCCTGTCTAGAAATTCCCAATCGATTTGACCAATCCTTTTTCTCCCGATACGCAGGATCTGTGGAGCACGCTGAATGCGAATCGGGACCTCTACGAGATGGACCTGCGGTACCTCGCCGGCTTTATGAGGCGGGGTTGGGGGGGGGGGGGGGAAATCATGCGGCTCAGATTGAGCTTGTGGCAAACCCCTGGAAGGAAGAGGTCTGCCAAAGGGGAGAGTTTTTTTTCTTTTTCTTTTTCTTCTGCAGCCAGCAACCAGGGTTGCTTGAAGGATACATCTTGGCCATAAGACTCTCACATCCCGCCTTGGCGGATTTCATTGCATCAGGCGGGGTTTGGTGTTGCCCTTCGAAAAACAAACATGGTCTTTCAGAGCATCCCCTCTTTCCAAAAAGGTCCGCCGCAGATGCCCTTTTTGCAAGTCCTCACTTCTCATTGAACGACTTCAACTTTGGTTAACCTTTGGTAACCTTCTTGCCCCTTTCCCTTCTTCCGGACTATTTGGCGCCAGCAACAGGTGAGCAATGCCCCAAGTCTCCAGGGGCCGTCCCCCGCCACCCGTCGGGGGTCCTCATCTTCCCTGCGGGTGGTGGTTCACATTTCGCTCGGTTGATGAAGTTCCCTTTTTTTTTCCGGGGATGTTTAAAGGGGAGAATAAAGGAACTGGCGCAATTCATGGCCCACATGTAGCACTTGGGAGCAAGTTATGTTCACAGCTCAGATTCTTTTTCTTCTTCCGGATACATGTTTAGCAGTATCCGCGCCTATAGGAGCTCCAGCTTTTTGGGCGGCTTTTTCTTGTAAGTCAGTACAACACTAAAACGTCATTAACATAGAGCGGGTACCGACAACATGCGCAGAGCACACTTTTTCCATTCCTAAGCAACATGGAGGGACAACCTTGCTTTGGCGCGCGAAGTGCTGGTGCATAGATGGTCCACTGCATAGATGGCCCATCAAGGTTTGCCAGCACGCTAGGCAAGTTGCATTTGCAATGCTTGCAAGTCCTTTATTGCCTTTGCACACAACAAGCTACAGCTTTCCACCTTGTAATTCTGAGCATCGAAGACAGGTAGAAAGCCTTTTTTTTCCAATATTTGGGGCGCAGTAGGCGCAGCATTGCCCCTCAAAATGTTGCGAACGGAAGACCGGCAAATGCCAAACGCTGACGCAGATAGGCGCAGATGGCAGCGTGTCGCGTTTTTGGTTTTTGTTTTTTGCAAGATCTGCGTGTTTTACCATGGCTTTGCGCGACAGCGCGACAGCTGCTCCCAGCTGTTTTTTGCCGACGAGCAGAATCGCAGGGTGCGAGGGTTTTGTGTTGAGCTTGTTTTCGAGGAGAAGCAAACTGAAACCTATCCATTTGGAGGCAATGTCCTTCAAACACCCACACATTCTTCAAAGTTCACCCATATAGTTTGTTTTTTGAGGGTGCCATTGTGCGGGTTCTATTTGGTGAAACCATGCTCTCAGGCTGAAGTATGAGGCTTGGAAAGCTCAAGGCCTTTGGCTTCAATCTGCTCGAGTACAACTCAGGCTGTGCGCAAAAGAACTTGCCGGTTCCCCGTTAAGCCATCCACCCTATGGTTTCCTTTCGGGACTCCCCAAAACCGGTTCACTCCCAACACCCGGGCTCGAGCAAGTCGAAGCTTTCCGCACGGCTTCCTTTGAGCTTCGAAGCTTCCTGGGACCCAAGCTGATCCCTCTGGACCTACGGCTTCAGTTCCTTGCGCCAGGGGCCAAAAGGTGCCCCCGCCTGCGGTGCCGGTGGCGGTGCTGGCGGCGCCGCCGGCAAAAGGCGAGTGCTCGAACCTCGACTCAACTCCCTGAGTCCCTGGACTTGAGTCACTTTTTGGGAAGGCCAGTTTAATTGGAAGAGCAAGTTTGGACATTTTTGTTGGCCAATCCACACAGGGAGTCAGTCAAGTCAAACCACCGAACAACTGGTGACGTTCGTTTCATTTCCTGCTGAAATTCCTTGTTCAGCTCGTTTTCATGACTTGTGGGTAGAACATTGGTGGTCCAGACAAGACCAAACAAGACTTTCTACCTTGATGATCGATTCGATCGAATGGGAGGAATCTGGCGAATGTTGGAACCTCTTGGGTTTTTGGTGAAGGGACAACCAAGCAGAGGCCAACCAGCTGGAGGGGTCAACTCTACCAACAATGTTGTTTGATTAAAAGCCGCCCCCCAATTATCAAGCGGTGGCGCCCCTCTAAAAGAACACCAAACATCTACGTAAGAAGAAGTGCGGGGGTATGAAGCTCCGGGGTCAACATTGCACGTGTCTTCCATGTTCCCTTTCTTGTCACACCTGTTTGTGGGTCGTGGCGCGAATCCCAACCAACCAATTTATGTTTCATTGAACTGGAATCAGTGGCGGCTGAGCTTTATTTCCTCTTGTTCTCACGAAATGAAGAAAAAGGACCCGCACTGAAGGCTGGGAAAGGCAAGCCCTGCCACACAAGGAAGGGGGAGCTGTCCTTGACTGCTATTGGGTTGGATCTTGAGACTTTAACTGTTTGGTTGAAATCAAGTGGGGTTTTCCACTAAACCCCCAACAAGTTATTCACTTTTTGCAGAGGAGTCCTTGCAGCAACCACTTCCCCTGTAGTTCTCCCCTGCTGTGGACATCCATGCAGCCCATCGCCAGGTGGGCTGCCGAGCTGTGCGCAGTCCTGCACGGCAGGAAGAAGGTGGCCTGACAAGGCGAGGGGTTGATTGGAGTTAGGACATTAGGGTTGTTGCAGGGATGCCTATGTATATATTATATATATATATACATATATATATATATAGATTATATAATTTATACATATATATATATATACAAGTATTGTCGTTTTTGGTTCTCTCTCTCGCTCTCCCTCCCTCCCTCTCGCGCTCTCTCCCTCTCTCTTTCTCTACATGGGTTCCCCCAACAAATCTCCCAGTTGGTCCTTTGCCACTCAGGTTTACCTCTGGTCGGTTAGGCTCCTAAACCCTGTGCCCCCATGTGGGGTGGTGCAAGACGCCATAGCCTGAACCCCATGTAAAACATGGATTTTGATTAGGGCTTTGGACATTTAGATGGGGGTCATGTCCATCAACCGCTTTTGAGGCTTGTTAAAACATCACAGCCATACTAACAATGTTGCTCTGATATTTTCCGCCCCTAGCCCTTCCCTCCCCGTTTTTCACCTCCCCTCGAAGCGACTTCGGCGGAAGCGCCTTCGGCGGAAAAGCGGCAGAAGCCTTCGGCGGCTTGACTCACTTCCTGAGTTCATGAACTTGACACTTCTTGGGAAGACAACTTTAGTGGTAAAAAGTTCGGACTTGGGAATTTTCAAGTGATACACTTTTAGTGGTACATATAAAGTTTGGACTTTGTTTGGGCCATCCACTCAGCCGGCGGCGAATGAGGCGGTGCCCTTCTTCTTCTCCGTGGGCCTCTCGGAGGACGCCGCGGCGGTCTTCAGCGCGGCTTCGGAGGCCATCTCGAGGACGCCCGCGCGCGTCACGCGCGCGAGCGCGCTGGAGCCGCAGATGTCTCAGGGCGGGGCTCGCAGACCGTTTGGGTGACCATGGCCCTTTTTTTTCTGGGGTCCTCTGCTTTTGGAGAAGCCTTAAAATGAAGTGTCGAGCTGTTTTGGCCCCTTCGACGTGATTCAGGAATATAGTACTTTGTGGATCCCAGGCGTTTCGCCACCGTAGGTAACCCTTCGCCATTGTTGTTCATTATGTTTGTAAGGGTTCCCTCGATGATTTGCTATACGGACACAGAATCACCTGGAGTTGAACCTTCTGATTCTACTACTTTCCAAAGAGCACCCGGGGAATCGGCGTATGGAAGTGAGGTCTGTGTAGCGAAGCAAGCGGAATCCATGAACTTGTTTTCACCCACAGAAAGTTAGAGGTGGACTCAAACCCAGAAATGTCTACCCTCAACAGGGGTCCAAGTCCAAGTTTCTGGGGTAGAACGTACTTTATAGATGAAGGTTGACTAGATTTTATGTTTGAGTTGGTGTTGGAACTTCGTCCTGGCCACAGGAAGCGAGAGGTAGACTCAAACCGATGGGGAAACCATTTTTTCATGAATCCATTCTGGGGTCTCTTTAGAATATTTGATACGTGAAGGTTGACTACATATGACATTGTATATACCCTTTGGGTCGGCCATATGACTAGGGGTCCAAATCCAACTCGTCTCACATGGATTACTCCCAGGAGTCATCCAGTTTGTTCTGCGGTTATGGAAACCCATTGAGTTTGCATTTCCAGAAATCGGTTCAGATGCGGCTTTTGTGGATCCACTCCCGCACACTATGAAAGGAGTATGAAAAGAGTACCGAACAAACACCAACAGCGGGAAGAACAGCCGAAATCCACCAGAAGCGCATCCAAGCCCCCTTTTCTTCTAGAGCATTTAAAACTGTTGGATTGGATTTTATGGGGTTTTCCAAATTTAAACCCGCGGGATTTTTTCTTCGCGCTTCGCGCGCCGCATATTCGCCGACGAAGTCGTCGGGGCCGAAGCTGTTGGTTCTAGGAGCACCTGCGTGAGCTTCCACCAGGTGCTCAGCGCCGCGGATTGGAAGGGGTCGAACCGAACACGGGGATTCACACATATATACAGATATATATATATATATATATATATATATAAAGATGTTTTTTTTTGGTTTTTAATTCATGTGAAATGTTTTTGTTGTTTTTCCTATATGCATAATGTAGACATTCATACTTATTGATTTCTTTGTACACATGTTAGTTGCACGCTCATTCATTTGTTCATTGTGTTCTTATTTATATCTCCTTTAGGGTGTGAACCACCTGTAGGGAGTTCAAACTTGAACTCAGGGTATGCGGTCGACCTCACGAAGGCATTTGTAAGCGACCGATTTCGAGCGTGATGAAGGTTCCGGGATTTTGCTCTTGTTGCTGAAAGGAAAGAAAGAGGGAATCTCTAATCTAGGCTTTAGAAGGACGGTTTCCTTGCACTTTCCCTTTAACATCTCAAGCAAACTTTTTGTCAAGCCAAAATCCAAAAACAACGTATTGCTGGTTGAAAGGAGTTGGAAGGAGAGCCCAAAAGGGGCAAACAGTTGGTCTGTCAATGTTGAATGAGTTTGCCTTGAAAGTTAAGAGCTTCCCATCAACAACTTCTGCAAAGAGTCTCTTGAGCCTAAAGGTTTCCGACAACGTCACCCCGAAGTGAGCATTGCAAGCCAGTTGCCAAGAAGCAAGCTGGCGAGGGGATTTCTCAAAATTGGAGTCCCGTTTGGTTGGTCGTTTAAAGAGAAGCCAAAAGGAGACCAACAAGTTTAGGCAGCTTTGAGAAACACCCAAGTGGACATTTGTTCTGTTGGTGGGAGGGTCACTTAAGGATCCCCCCCCCCCGAGATGCTCATGGTCATGTTTCTCGAGGGATATCGACATCCCCTCGCTTGCTCCGAGGTCCGCAGGGTGCGCTGCGGGTGAAAGAGGGCCAGGGCTGCTGGGGTAGCCTGGGCTGGACGGAAGGAGGCGGGTGACGAAGTCTTCGTTTTGTGTTTTGGGCCACTTTGGCGACCCTAAAGGATGCAAGATTTGGGGCCAGCCAAGGCCAAGCATCACCCAAATACCAGCTGTTTTAGGGGATCCGGTTGTAAGGCAGGTGGTTTTGGGAGATATCCCATCCCGTTTTGTCTCTTTGTTGGATGGGGGGGGGAGCGCGGAGGCTTGGGGATGCAAAGAAGCAAAGTGAGATATTGCTATAGGGTTTTGCATGTTCGCACAACCATGACTACCATCCGACTTTCTACGGCCCCCTTTGGGGTGACAAAAAACAGTTGCTAGCTCCCTGTTCTTTTTGCTTGACCCAGTTCCAGGCAAGCTACTGCAGTAGGCAACCAGGTAGTTGTACCTCAAGGTTTTGCTTTTGGGGTCCGAATCCCTGTATCGCCACGTGGATGTGTCTTTTGAGGTATTTTTTTTGGGGTCGTGGGGGGAAAACCTCCAGGGTCGCCTTTTTGGGACAAACGCACAGTAGGGAACAAGGACCCCCCCCCGAAATGGGTGTCCTTTTGCCCCAACAGCTGAAAAACACGGGGCCTTTCCCCAGATGGTTTGGGGGGGGGTCGTTCCAGGCTGCGGGGCTGTTTGGGATCCCACCTGGCTTCTGTTTCCCTCGGCTTCGCTCGGATCACCTGAGAGGTGCAGACCTGGAGCTGGGCTGGTGCGGCTCTTTGTGGGCCATCGGAGCGGTGCTGCACGAGCTGGGGCGCCTCGCTGCGGATTCCGCCCGGGCAAGAGGAACAAGTGGCATAGGTGGAACAAGCGGCGACTCTATTGGACCAAGTGTGTCCTTTAAAGGCTACCCTTGCTGAGATATGTTTCCTTTTAGGGCAACCCAGCTGAAGGAATTGTTAGTCCTCTTCTGATTGGTGTGTGTGTGTGTGTGGGTGTGGGTGTTTCCCTCAGGCGATTGAGGTATTGGTTCTGTTTAGGACACCCTTATTCTAGTGTTGCTCTTCTTGCGACTGTGCCAGCGTCATTCGATTCACTGGACCTTTCTTCTTCAAGGCCAAGGGGTTCCATGGAATATACAGCCACTGTACTGCAGGATTTCTACCCCATATTTCTCTGGGACTGAGTCAGAGCTTTGGGGGTAGTGGACACCATCTTAGAGCCCCCCCCCAATGTCAGGGGTCAACACAAGTTGCTGCCAATTTGCGGCAAAGACGGCAACAGCTGAGGTCTCCTTGGTCTTCTTTATATATATATATATATATACATATTTCGGGGGAGGACCCCGAAAAGGCACGGACGCCGCGCGGCGTTGAGGCACGTGCTGGGCCTGGCCAACGAGGAGCAAAGAAGCGAGCCTGAGCCAGACGTGAGGGGGGTTGCAACCTTGAAGGGTGGCTTCCCGGTTTTGGATCAATATTTATGTGTGCGCTTGGCGGTTCCCAGCCGTCTGGGTCCTTAGCTTTTTAGGTGTGTGTGTGTGTGTGTGAAACCTCCTCGTGCACGGAGGCATGGCGTCACTGTGATACGTACTGAATTCTGTCGGGTACCCTGACACTGGGTTCCCATGGTTGCACTGCGTGTCAAACAAGCCCTCCACTACTGTTGTAGTTGGCTGGGATGGCCATGAAGTGCTTAAACAGGGATTTGGAGAACCATGACACGTGTTCTCATGGGGACTGCGGGAGGCAGGGAACCCAAATAAGTCCGAGATAAGGCCTTGTTCAGGGCTTAATAAGGGCTTGGAGGTTCCTCTCAAGGGGACCATAGCCCGCGGCCCACATCATTGGGAGTTTTGACTTCGAATTTCTTTGAGATTGATGACATCACTCTCCATATTCATATTCGAACAAATTGCTTGTTTGGATTCCACAAAAGACCATCATCCCGTTCTTTTGTAAATCCCCCCCCCTGAATTCCACTGCATCCTGCTCAGCGCCCTTTCATCCTGCCTGAATTCAGGATTTGCAATCTTATTGGGCAGAACAAATTCACCCCCCCCCCCCCCCAATCGAGCTGCGTGCTTAGTAAACCGAGTCATGACCACTTGGAAGACTTTCAACCATGGTAAGTGGTTACAACAAAAGCCACCAAGTACTCTGCCCAAAGTAGGGGTTCGCCACTTCAACACAGACATTTGAACCCTCAAACTGCCGACAAAAACTGGGTGATTGCCCGCCCCAAATGTGAATTGATAGGTTTCCCAAACACACAGAGGCGTGTCTTTTCTTGAGACGACCCCTCACAATGCCTTCCTTTTTCCTTTTGTTTTCTTGTCCACAGCCCACCAAGCAAATTTGGGGGGGTGCCCTCAAGAAAGCCGCGCCGCCCAAAATATATGTCCCGGACCCTCCGGCCCCACGTCCGCGCCCCAAGGACCGGGACTTCTTCGTGACGGGCGCGTCCGACGCTTCCGCCGCGGCGCTGCCGCCCGAGGCGGAGGCCGCGTTTCGGGGCTCCGCGGAGCTGGGGCCCGCGGACTACGACTTCGGCGCCTCGTTTGTGCGGCGAAGCGGTGAAGCGGGCGGCGCGCGGGGGAGGGCCATGGGAGGCGCGTTTTTTGGGGAGTGTTTTGGACCCTCAAACCCATAAAAAGGAAGAAGCCCCGTAATTTTGGATGCAACAACCCAATTCTATGGATAGTTTCAGGGTTTAGGTCCCGATTTGGGGTTGGTTTGAAGGAGAGCTTGAAGGACACCAACCATGTAAGGGGTAGTAGCGGGGTGTCACCCAGAAAAATGAAGGGTTGCACACCCCCTTATTCATCAACCAGGGGTTGATTGGGGTTAACATTACTGTGAAGTTCGCACATGTTAGTGGTAAACAGCCAGTTTGGCGTCCTGGACATGTCGTTTTACATGTTTGATCTCACATCTTGACTTCGCATTTTAACGAGTACTAGTCAGGGGCGGTAAAACCTCTTTTGCAAGGGAGTTGTTTTTTTGGGGGGTCCTCTCAGGGTCCAGAGGTTAGCATTTCAAGGTTGGAGCTTCTATCCGGACCTCTATCGCGGGAGACGATCAGGACCGCTGAGTCAACACCCCCTCCTGCCTAAATCCTATTGCAAGGTTACCAGGCATTTGGGGATGTGTCAAAATGGGGGCATCCCAAAAAGAGCTTGCTTTCTTTGGTTGCCTGTAAGCCAACCCGACAAAGTATCCGGAGGATGGCTCTCATCCAAGAAATTCCACCACAAAACGGATCAATCCTCCGCTATTCCTGACAGGTTGATTAATCCAGCAGCTGAGATCAGCTTCGTCTCAGGAAACCAGCTGGTTTGACTAGATGTTTTTGGCCAGCGTGTTTCACCCTTTTTGTCTCTCTCTTTTCCCACTTGGTTTGCGTTTTGGCAAAAAGGAGCACATACGTGCGTGTTTCTTTTTCCGGGCTGGTTTGCCTTCTTTTGCTTCCTCTTGAAGTCAACTGACCGGCTTCTTTCCACGGCCGCTGCGCAAGTGAGTCCAGGTGATTCTGCCGGTCTTCCCTGCTTCCCTCTAGTCCGGTTGCAGGTGGCACTCGGAATGCTTCCCTGAACTCATCCGACAGACAAGTTGGCCCCGAATCCACATTGGCCTTGGGCTTCATCCAATGTCCATCCCGAGTCTGAAAATCCGGCCGAGGCTCTATCATGCACGGGGGCAGCGTGACCTCCCTCCCGCTGGAGGGGAATCGGGGTGTGCACGACCCGCACGTAGGAGCGGGCAGATGTCGGCGCTCCGAAGGCTCAAAGCCCGAAAGAAGACCGGCCAAGCTTCTGGACCTTAAGTACTTTTGATCTTTTTGGGAAGGCCATTTCGGCAAACAAAAAGTTCTCCAATTTGCACAGGTGAGAGACCACCTCAAGGATTGCGGGCTTAAGAACGCCCTCTCAAATCCACCCAGGGCTCTGTTGGACCTTTGAGTTGGCTGCTTCCCTGCATTTTGGATGTCTTGGCGCTGCATCTCCCAAAGCGTTTGGCTGGGCACCCCAAGACCCCAAACTAAATCTTTTGAGGTGGAGGCAAAATCACAACATAGGTTGCCCTTGGACCCCCCATTTAGTGCGTGACATTTTGCCCATGTCACTTGAATGGGCCCAGTTTGACGCGCTCGGGGGCCTTCCAGCGGGCCAGCAGGCCTGGTGGCTTGCGCCATCCACCTGACTGAGTGTGGTTGAACGCCCGAGTACCTCAATAGAAAGAGCAACACCTTCTAGCAAGGCGGGCTCCAGTTTCTTTGCCCGTTCAGTTCGGGGTAGGGATTTGGGCATTGGGCATTGGGTGAATTTTGGGAAATGCCTTCCCCACTGTCTTCTGGGATCCTGCTCTTCAATGAATGGGCCAGTCTCGTGGGGAAAACGGGTGGCTAAAGAGAATGGCGGCTGAATACAATGGGAAATCAACGGTTGTTGAGAGGATATCACCCAACCCCGAAGGGTCCAAGTACCTTGTAAGCCCTGGTAGCAAATGCCCAACATGCGCGTCGCCGCATTTTCCTCCAGGGGGCCCGCGGCCAAACGACATTTGGCCGGGTGTTGTTTTGTATATTTTGAGACCGACTCATTCACAGATTCATGTGTGTTTTGAGTTCAGGGCAACCTTTTTGGCTTGATTTGAAGGCAATCCAAAAGGAAAGTCGTATTTTGGGTCTGCCTATCTTGACAAAATCCCAATTGGGTTGAGCACAGTTTCGATGCGTTGGTCAAGGCCTTCCTTACTGTTTCACCACTCATTCCCAACCCTAGACCCTGCAGAAGTTGGGCTAAGGTCATCCTCAACCCCAATCCCAGGATCTCTTGAGAAATCGGATCACAAAATCAAGAGGCCGAAGATGTTTCAAAAGGTTTGACACGTAAACCTCTGCTCATCCTACCGTGTTCAATCCCAGCCCCGTTGCTTCCAACACATCCGCGGAAATGATTGACAAACCCATGGGAGACTCATGGGAAATTCATGAGAAACCCACAAGAACCCCGCGTGAAACCTCTGGCAAACCCTTCGGAAACCCACGGGCAACCCATGGCGAACTAATGGCAAACCCACCTCTACCTAGGATCTCGGCCAGCTCCCAAGGCCATGGTGTCTCTTTCGGTTTCAGGACAGCGGAACCGCTTGTCCGCCGGGGACATCCTCAAGCTGCAGGCGCCTTGGTGCGGTGAGGTCAAACTTCGATATGCCCCATCACACATTTAATAACGCATATATATATATATATATATCGGTGTGTCCCAAAATGAGGTAACCCTCAACATGGCAACAGTTTCCTTTTGGTTCCCCTGAACCAGCCGAAAGACATTGTTCCCAAAGGCAGACCCATGTGCACTCGCGAGCGGCCCTAGTAACATGGAAACGAGTCAGCAGAGGGTGCCTGGAGGATGTTTTTGTCAACCCTCATTCAGTGAGGTTCAAACAGGCAACGTGGGTGAGAAGATGTGTATCAACCTTGATGGTTCTGATAGACATGTTCACTTTGATAAAATACACACATTTAAGACACACGCCGCACCAGTCGAGCCGAGGAATCCTACCAGTGCGGCCCGCCCGCAGCGCAGATCAAGGAGCATTTTGGGCAGGCCTGTCTGAGCTTTGCTAACCTAAGGGGGTTGCAACCCAACTTGGCGGCTATTTGGTTGGATCTTTGGACTTTAGCTTTGTCGGGAAGGCGCCTGACCATTACTTTTATGGGCAACCAGGCAAACCTCTACGCTTGCCCAAAGAATCAAGCATACAAATATAACACACTACGAGAAGCCAAAAGTACACCCAGAGGACCACCCAGAATTCCAAATACACTTTGAAGTGCAGTGACATGCTGCCCTGCAACCCGATTTTGATGCAACCCCAACATGCACCGGCAGGACTTGACTCGGGTTCAACATTGCTTGTCAGCCAAACACTGTAAAGCTAGTTTTACCAAAACACAAGATTTACCCGGCGATACAAATGAGAACTACAACTCCGAATGCAGCAACAAGCTGCCCAATCAAAGCCTGTTGGCTGCCAATGAAAGCAACATCAGCCCATGCAAGGCCAAATGCAAGGCCAACTCACCCTTGAACACGCACGTGTTCTGCTACACAAACCCACTTGAATCATCTGCCATGGCTTGGGATCACCCCCGCAACCAAAACACAAACACTTTGTGCCCGAACAAGAACATGGCTACTTCCGCGCGTCACCGTCCAGTCACGCCCTGAACCCAATCAGCCTCCACCATTCGCAGGATCCGCCTGCACCACAAGTAAGCGGCGGCCTGTTTGTCACACGGCTTGTCTTTCTTTGTCGTCTTGATTGCTGCGCACAGCGCATCGTGCAGTGGTAACTGCAGTAGCAGAGCAGGCTGCAGGCTGTGAATGGATCACAGTCTCGAGTCACGTCGAGCCACTCAAAAGCTGATAGTCGCAATGAACCAATTGCACGCCGCAGTCACAATAGTGAGTAACGACTAGGATTGCCCACCATAACATTCCCCTGTCAGACCCCCGTCAGGTTCCAGGGTACAAGGGGTACCGATTGGGTTTGACCTCTTGGTTCTGAAAAAAGAAGGTGAAAGGGAGTTCCCCTCACCCGTTTAGAAGTGCGTTGTTTGCAGTCAACAGGTTTTGGCGCAAAGGTCTGGAAGAAGTGTCCAGTTTCGCTTCTTCTGGGTTCGGAGGCATGTGGATGCGTCTTTTTCAGGGAAACATTCCTTTTGTTGAAAGCATCAGAGCCAACAGGTCCTATTTCTTTTGGACGCCCAAGCCCTTTGCCTTTGGATCCAATCTTTTCGGGAATTTCAGCATTTGCAGTTTGGTGATTTGGATTGGTTTCGAACCGTTGAAGCGACTTGGAAGCTTCTCCAACTCGAACTAAGGATTATGCGCTAATCGTCGCAAGCCCCTAAGCCTTCGATGGAAATACCCACGAACTTGTCTTGGAGGTTGCGTGGGTCGCTTGGTTTCCGTTGTTGGACCCTGCTTGCTCCCACGGAAAGCTGTGGATTTGCGCATTTGCGGACCCCCGCCAAAATTGTGGTGACTGGCAACGTGTTTGGGGGGTCCAAGCAGCATGCTGGGGTCATGATTTTGACTGGCTTTTGGTTATCAATGTCAGCTGGGGGTGTTTCCAACTCAACCTACGTTGGCCTGTAGTGCCTTAACACAGTCAGACTAACTATCAAGGTGACTTGGTAGCAAAATGGCTTCGTCTCAAAATAGGAATCGCACCCCCCACACGTTGGGTGGTTTCCGTTTGTTTTTCCTTGAAACACAATTTGGAAAAGGGCACTAACTCAAAAAGAGTCGCAACTACACCCAAGCACGTGTTTTTCCCCCCCAGGCCCTTGAGCGGAGGTGTCCTGTCTGTGTCTTACATGCGTAAGCTTGACCTGGCACCCAAAAAATGGCCGGAGCCTTCACCAGGAGACCATGTGCCTTCAGAGCGCCTACCGCTGCCCGGCCAAGTTGGAGGCCCCGAAGCCTGGCATGGCGCCTCGGCGAGCCGGTTGGATCGGGGCGAGCTGGTGGCAGCGTCAATCTTGTTTAAGGCTACCCTTTTCATTGACAGGCTTACCCTGCTCACATATGGTTCGCTTTTTTTCAGTGTCCATCATATTTTGCCTTACCCACTTTTTTTTGGGGGGGGGTGTCCATCATTTGCCAGCAAAGCATGTTTTTGAGTTGTTGCAGGGGTTCTAAGTCTGGTCAAGTTTTTGGGTCGCTCCAAAGGACAACCAGAGGAGCTACCATTGCTTCAGGGGATCCCCTATTTTAGGACATGTGTGAAAATCAAGCAAAAAAGGTCTCAAACATCACACGCATATCATATCTTCTTTTGGGTGGTGTAGATTCCCTATTTGGGGTCGTGGACATTGTTCGATATTTTAAGGCTGGAACGGAATCCGAACATGGGCCAATCCTCTGAACCCAAAGGCGAGCCCAGGGACCCTCACCTCTCCCCTCAAACGTGTCATAAGAGCTGAACATGGAGGGGTTCCTTTCGGTTTCCTCGTTTCTCAAAAACAGTTCCTCCTCAAAAACGGAATACCTGGACCCTCAAACCACCGGATCTTGGACCAACATCTCGGATTTCGGGGTGATTTCCGCGGTTTCCCATGTTAGACCGGCGTGTTTTTTGCTTCGGGTACCCGTATTTTGCTGCTTCTCATAGGGGGACCCAAAAATCGGAGGTTGCCTTGCTTCCCTTCAAAGCCAGCCCCGGGTCGCCCACAAATTTGGGAGAAAAATCGGTGCGAGCCGAGGAGGCGTGGATGGCGGAGCACTGCGAGCACACCTGCCGGATCGGCTCAGGATTTCGCATCGCAGCCGGGTTAAACCCCAGGCCAAGGGCGCCAAATGGAGTCAGTGGATTCAGTGGATTTTTTTAGTGGAATATTCTTGTTTTTATTAAAAGGCGAGCCAACAGGGAAGCCGCCGTTTTGACCCACGTCTGAGAGTTTTGACAGCGGCGCGCAGGTCGTTGTGACCCTGGACCCATCGATGAGGGGGAGAGACAAACGGGCCCCAGACCTGTATCCCTGCCCTTCAGAAAGGCTCGCTGGCCCCTTGATCTCTTTTGGGGAGTGAGATGCCAAGGAGCGTCCTCCCCTTGTTGGATTAAAGGAGGTTGAGATCAAATCATTTGACTTTTCGCATGTTTGGGTTTCCCCCATTTTCCTTAGAACAAGTTATCACTTTTTGCAGGCCTGAGTTGGCCCGGGCTTCTCGTTGGCAGAGGGCAAAAGGCCACCCACCCATCTTGTTTGGCTGGCAGCTAATGTTCACCACGCGGCTGAAACAGTGGTATGTTTCAAAATAGATTGCGCGAGAAACATCAAATAAAATAAATAAGTAGAAGGGCCAAAATGCTTGGTTTCCTTTCGGTGTTCCTGAAGATCATCATCGACATCTGCAAGAAATGATTAGGAAGGTGGATGTAGTTTGATGCGGTTTGCCTGGAGGCTGGTGGCTCTTCTGGTCTGCTGACACAAAGATATGTCCTGGATTTTCCCTGCAAGGACCAACGGCAGAATCTCAAGGTCGGTTTATGCAAATGTCCTCTGACTTTTCTTGGATTCGGTTTCCAAGCAAAATTGCATAGGTCCGTGACGATGTTCAAGCGATCTACTTGACACAGAGAAATGTTTGGAGGGAGCTGATTACATTTGTTTGGCCGCGTGTTCTTTTGGTACGGCAAGGGTGGTGTTCAAGGGAAGCTAAAAGCAAACCAACTATTTTTTGGGGCTTCCCTTATTGCAACATACACCCGAAGGGTGCATGTTTTTAAAGACTTCTGGAAACAAGCGCTTGCCTGGAAAAAGCTAACCTCCATGACGCACCAATGTTTGTTCATTTTTTCCCGCCTGTGGGGGGGGGGGGGAACGACTCATGACCTGACCCAACCGCCACTCTGCCTCTCGCCGGTCGAAGCTCCACGAGCCTAGGCCGGCAGAGCGAGCAGAGCCGGAGCTTTAAGTTCTGGTTCGAAATGCCAGGAGAGGCTGGTCGGTCAAGTCAGCTCTATCAGGTTACCTTTTTTGGACTGGTGGTTTGAGGATTTGAACCCTTTCTTGTAGAGGGTAAATGGGAACCCCCCCTGTGAATCGCCAAACCACCAATCCAAACCACCAACTAAGAGGAAGCTGACTCTGAGAGGGTTCCAAGGGAAAGCAGCTTATAGATTCCCTAAGCAATACATGAGGGCCACATATCCCGTTGTGGTAGTGCTTTGGGGTTAGTGGTTGTGGGGTGGTGGGAACCTTGTTAGATCAGCGGGTTGGGTTTCGGCCTGGAGGGGGTTGACTGGGGGAACTGATGAACTGAGCTGGTTGTAGAGTCTTCGGGTCAGACCCAGGTGTGATAGTGGATGTCAATCCTAGATAAATCCTCAACATTACCCAGCAAATTGTGTGGTGTGCCATGGAATGTGTCTAAAACCAGACCAATTCGGCCACCAACAAAAGCGGAGGAGATGGTTGGCTCAACCCAGCGCCCTACTCGGAAATCGCAACCAGTTCTAGTGGATATCTCACTCTTTTGCTGATACAAATCGAGCTTGAGCATAAATTGGGGTCTCCTCCCAAACTTGCGTCATATTTTAAATGGGCGTGTCTCTTTGTTAGGGAACCCTTAAAACCAACCAAAAGGTGGATCCCCCCAAAACGACACCTAAAGATGGAACAGATTGTGTGTAGCAACGTAAAGGCCTGCATTGGGGTTGCCGATGGAGACCACCTCAGCATTTTCCAGCCCGCAGGGAACCATGGCAAGGCCGCGGCATATTTTGCGGGAGTTGTCACATCACGGCCCAGGTTCGGAGAACTGCCCAAAGCCGACCTTTTGACCTTTTGGTTTTCCCTGTTGGTTCCATGTTAAGGGTCCCAAAAGGTTTGCCTTGAATCATTGAAATCCAGGTCCATTGGGCAAGTAAGTCTCCCTTTGACGAAAACCAAACCCCAAACCATGAGACCGATTTCCTGTGTGGTCTGTATGGCATAGGTTCGGCTAGAATGTTCAGTTGTCTATGGCTCCTTGGATAACGAGGACTCACTAAATGTGCCAAAATGAGGGGTCTCACGAAAAAAAACTATGTTTTCTTGTGGGACAAACCAACCAACAAGAGGTTCCCTCGAAAAAGGACGCACCGTATGCCTGCGTCTCAGAAGAAGCCTAAAGCGTGGTGGTTTTCCCTCCGGCTTTCGGTGGCGCTTTTTTGAGGAGACGCCAGCAAGGAGCAGCGACTAGGCCCGGGACTGGAGAGAGAGGACTGGGCGCCTTAAGGCGAAGAAGTCGGAGTCGGTTGACCCCAACACGGGCGAACCTGTGGCCTGGGGTTCCTCACTGGCCCAATCGACCCGAGCTGAGGGTGTTGCTTTCCAGCTGTTTGTCTCAGTTTTAGTCGAGATTCCCAAATCACTTTTGGCCACGAGAGTTAAAACATGGGCTGGGCAGGGTGTTGCCTGAGTTGCAAAGCACTACTTCAGCCAAAACAAAACGACACGTGCCCTTTTCTCCGCTTGCGGGAATTCTCCGCCAGCCTTTGCAAGGGGCCCGTTTCTCTAATTGTGTTTGGTTCTTGGGATAAATCCCATCCCTCTAAAGCACGCAGTGGTTTTGATTCGACTAAAACGTCGTTGTTCAAGGAAAAGAGAAACCCTCCGTTTTCTGGGCTCTGCTGCAAAAGAAAAGGGACCCCTATCGCGACCCAGAATCATCTTGGGCATGGCCTTCGAACAGCAAGTTCGCTCAACATGACGCAGAATGAGAACAACGTATTTTAGTTGGCAAAGCCGAGGTAGGTTGTGGGGGACATCATGCGGTTTCCGCGGTTACCGGGAGGTTGCAACCGGGCCAGATTCTCAACATGGCGAAGCCCCATGTCGGTTGAAGGGCGTGTGGATGAAGGACAAACGGAAACAAACGTTTGGCGCCAGGGGGTTCTATGGCCATGGTTCCCAACCAATGGTTTCATTGGGGGATAGGTGCACCACCCATTTTAGATTATTTTAGTGGGGATTGGGATGTTCACTGGGAATACGGGGCTTTGACCCATGGCCATATACACTCCAACCGGGTGAAGTGACCACCGGCCCCGCTTGCGAGGGCCGGACCTCGCCTATGCCTTGGCCTACTCCCTGGGAGCCTCCAATGCCACCGTCGAGGCGGCTGATGGAGCCCGGCAAACATCGGCAGAGGAATCTCCTGTCTCCGTTGCCCCCCCTGTTCGGGTGTTAATTTAGAGGAAAGTAGGCTCTTTCCAACAATCATGGATGGGGCTTCCCGAATGAAAGAATTCCAAACCCGCCTGTCAACTTCCATGATTGGAAGGGGGGTTATCTGGTTTGCTCGATGAACAAGTCAAACGTGGCAGGGTGAAACAAAGAAACAACACAGACCTCCTGCTCCCCGCATGTTGGTTAGGGCTCGCATCACTAACGCTTGAGGCTGTTCCAACCCAACCCTGCCCCTTCACCCAACCCCGCCCCCTGTTATGTTCATTCGTTCATTTTGCCGTTTCTCTCCGATTCCGGGAATCAGGGAATGCCCCCAAACCGAACCGCCCACCTGGCGGGTTCTTCTCAAATCCCCTGCCCTTCAGTCCCAAAAGCCCTGTTGATTCCTCACAGCGACGCAAGGAGATGCTGGGTTTCTTGTTGGGGAGAACCGAGTGGATGCTCTCAGGGAATTTCAAGGGTAGGAATGCCTGAAACGAGACCCTTTACCTGGAAGGAAACCACCTGGATGCTTCCGCTTGGTCATACCAACTCATTCCCTTCCGAGATCAGTTTACTATGGTTCCGTATGTTGTTGTGTATTGCAATTAACATTATTGTAGTTATTGTTGTTATCATCCCTATCTATTTCTTGCATATGGTTATCACACCTTGTTCTTACTATAATTAGTGTGTTCGTATTTATTATTACTGTTGCTACAACTTGTGTTATTCACCATTGCCATCATTCCTGTTGTGATTGTTATTGTTATTACTATCGTTATTTTGCTTTATTGTCATTGTTACTATTACGATCAAATGCTAGTATTACTTTGTCTATTCAATCAATCAATCAATCAATCAATCAATCAATCAATCAATCAATCAATCAATCAATCAATCAATCAATCAATCAATCATTCAATCAATCATTCAATCATTCATTCATTCATCCATCCATTCATCCGTTCGTTCAACCATTCAATCAATCATCCAATCATTCATTCATTCATTCATCCATCCATTCATTCATTCATTCATTCATTCATTCATTCATTCATGCATGCATGCATGCATGCATGCATGCATGCATGCATTCATTCATTCATTCATTCATTCATTCATTCATTCATTCATTCATTCATTCATTCATTCATTCATTCATTCATTCATTCATTCATGTTCGATTTGTCTATTTAAATTGTGTTGATTTGTTTGTTTGTATGGGTGTGTGTTTATTTGTTTATGCATTTGTTTATTACTTTTGTAATCGTTCCTTCATTCCATCAGTCATTCAGTCATTCATTTAATTATGCAACATATTTATTTGCCTGTGTATTTGCGTATGCATGTATGTACGTATTCATTTATACATGACTATGAATCAGTTCCTTATTGTGATTGTCATTAGTTTTTATTATTTGTATTTGCATATAGTGTTCATTATGCATATACATACATATGTTACATTTTGTTCATGTCATATCATAGTTCTCTAGTGTTATGATAATCATTGTTGCCCGTATCATTTCAGTTTTCCTCTAGTTGGTGATTTGGATTGGTGGTTTCTTGGTTAATGAGGGGTTTCCCATTAACCCTCTACACGAAGCAGGGGTTCCACTCCCAAACCCACCAATCCAAATCACCCGCAAGTAGTTCGCTTCCGACAGGTGGAGCACGGCGATGAGTTGGTAGCTTCCGCAGAGGCGTCGACTCGTTTTCAGGGGATCTTAGGCCCTGGTCTTTTGGTGTTTATGGAAATCAGGTGACCCTTGGTTGGTGGTTTGGATTGGTGGTTTGCGGATTTTGAACCCCTGGCTGTTGTAGAGGGTGGATGGAAACCCCTCCTTAACCAGCAAGCCACCAATCCAAACCACCAATTAGAGGGAAGCTGAAGTAAAGCCTATGGCGGTTCTACCTGGATTTGTTTGGTGGTGATAGTAAAGCCTATATAAACATGTCTGACACTCTTGCCGGTTTTCGGTGGTTCTACTTGGTTTGACCAGGATGGCAAAGCTTATATGGCGGTGAACTCTTCATGGCATCCCAGCACTGCAGAATCGCCTGGGTCCCCTAGCTTTATACGTACATTTCCGGTTTTTCGCAGTTTTCTATTGGACACTGGGATTGGCTTGGGTGCTCACAACCAAGGTCTTTTATCATTTTGAGTCGTGTGGCGGTTGGCTGCCCCCCTACACAACTCGATTAGAATAGATTTACATGCGGAATGCTCACAGGAGGTTCCGAGACAAGCAGTGTAGACATTTGAGACAGGCAGATGAGGCACATGCTTTTCAAAGACAGCGCATGCTGCATATCCCCACCTATGACCCTTATATATTGGGATGGTGGTTTGAGTGCCCCGGATGGTCCTTCTATAACCAATTTGAGCCACTGATTTTGGGATATGTCCGTTTGGGGCATGCAGGTAGCCTAGAGTGAGGAGATACCCTTCACTGCGACTCGAACTTGCCCCGACTTTGTGCGAAGTTGGACACGCTGAAAGCAGGAATTTGAGTATTAAGGGTTTGATATGAGAAAAACATTTAAGCTTGTCCGGAAGTCAGAAGAAGCTTGCCGGTATCTGCAGTACATCTGAGCAGTTGTTCGTCCATCTGCACCAGGCGACTTGAAGCGCTTCAGATCTCCAACATGATTTGAAGGGCGTTAACGTCTTTCTGCGGGTTGAAATCTGGTTTTAGATCTTCAGCCCAGGTACCTGAAGGAGGGCGATCAGAAGCGATTTGAAGCCTTGTTGGGCCCTAGTGTCTTGATTGACGCCTACATACATACATACATACAGACATACAGACAGACAGACAGACATACATACATACATACACATATATATATATATATACACATATATACATATATATATATACATATATATATATACATATATATATATATATAATTATATATATATATATATATATGTAAATATATGTACTCGCAGGCCATCTGTGTATATGTATATGACACATTACAAAGGAACACTCCTCAATTCCATACACATGCATCTGTATATCAAGATCTATATCTACATGTGCCTGTCTATCTATATGTACATGCATATGTATATATATATATATATATATATATACACACACATGTATGTACATATATATATATGTAGTTGTACACATTCCTGCATATATATATATATATAAATATATATATAGGTCCTTTTACGCCTTGCACCCATCTCCCACGTTGAACCTTTCGGCTCGGCCGATTCCGTCGTGCCAGGTGGACTGTGGGTGCAGCGGCACCAGCGGCCGTGGCTCGGAGCGCGGTACGTGGGGTTTCAACGGTAACCTGCATATCTTGGTGGCTCCCAGGCATCCGGTTCCTTAGCGTTTTAGCTTCTTGGCATTTTATATTTTTAGCTTCTTGGCTTTTTAGCTTGTTAGCTTTTTGGTTTTTTCGCTTTTTAGCTTTTTAGCTTTATAGCTTTTTGGTGTTTAGTGGTTGGATTTCCGCATTCAACCCACAAAAGGTTAAACACTTTTAGCGGTGGCTCTGAGGACAGCCCACTTATAAGTCGCCCATTCAGTGGCACGAACCTTGTTATTAGGGGGTTAGTTTTTAAGGGTCAGGGTTGTGGGATCGCGCGGGTTTTTTCCAACCGCTTCTGTGATTCTTTTGGGAATCTCCCCCTTATGGAGGGTTTGTCTTTGGGAAGCCCTTTTTGTTGTGTCACAGAAGTTGTCACTTCCCACAGCACTGATCAGCCATGAGGGAATGAGCCCTATAAACCATCCTCTATGATTTCCTTTGAAGGGACCAAAGCCTGCGTTCATTTCCTCATTCACTACTGGGAAGCCAGTTGATTAGTGGAATGATTCGGGACCCAGGCTCCCAGGCTTTGGTCCCCTTAAAGGAAGCCACCCCAGCATTCCAATCGGGACGTAGGTCACTGTCCTGCAAGCATAGGTGCCCTTTTTAGGTTGCTTTGGTTAGACATCGATGTGTTCCACTTGTCTGCTCCATTTATCAGGACCCCCATCTATTTTGCCGAAAGGTCACCTATGCTTGCAGTGGTCATGGACCTCAGGGGGGGGCACTGAAGGGGGCTATACCGATTCATAGCATGGCAACCTGGTGGCTGTGAGCGACTATTAGTGACTAAGTGGGCATTCCTCCTATGGCTCCCCTTGCTATCTTACTATTCATCATCAAGGAGTCTGGACGCGAATTGTACCACATACTCGTGATGTTATTGGTGGCTCTGTCCAGCAGCATTGTCACCCTTTGCATTTCCAGGATCAAAGGACAAAGTTGAGTGGATTTTTCAGCCACAAGAACTGTAGCACATTGAACAAGAGCATCTCATGGTCAAGCCCAAGCAGAAGAACTCGCCCCCTTGGGACTTTTCCAAGCTGACCGTTTGACTATCTCGGATGTACAGCAATTGTCCCTAATGGAGTGGTAGGCGGCATTCGAGGGTTGATTCCAAAGAGGGCAAAGGAACATATTCACTCGTGTGTGCTACCTGATGGGCCTGAACAAATGCAGCCCGATGTTGTAATGACAAAAGCCCATCAGGACCCCCCCGCCCCCACAAGAGCAAGGAAGCGCGGGGCACTGAATCCAATTTGCATTGATGTGCCATGGCAAAGAAGCACCAGCTTGCTTGGGGTTGGTCATCAACCGCTTTGGGAATTTAAACAACCATGGTAAGCAGTGCTGGTAAGGGAACCATGGCTATGACCCCCATGTCTGGATTCTTGACCATGGCTTGTGTTTGGTCGCCCGCCACCCTGTTCTCAACTTGTTGTTTGTTGGGTTCTTCACCAAACATGGTCAACCCCACTCAGGATGTGTTTTTTCTAGCAAGGTGGACCAAGGTGTGTGAGCAACTGAGTCCTTGGCCATTTTGACGACATTGTCTATGTTTTGCAATGAAGGACTGCGGTTCAAACGAACTTGAAGTTGGAGAGTCGTCAGCTGTGGAGTGTGTACAAGAGGTTCGGTCAAAATGGCCAGTATATGCTTCCTTCAGCGAAATTCAGCTTCAACCAGAGGGATAAACAGCTGAATTGTCCTAGGTGCTTTAGAGGGAAACCTTCGCAATTTTGATCGTGGCGAGTTGCCAGTTGAGCCGCTTCTGAAAGACGGGAAAGTTCCCACTAGGATTCGGTGCGGCAAGAAGCACTATGTCCTTTATTCTGACTCAATTTTGCCACAAAGACAAAGTTGGAGCGCTTGGCTGGAGTGCCTGTAAAGGGGTGAGAAGAGGTTTGGAGAAACCCTCGGTGCCCCAGGCCAGTGCCGCAGCTGTGCGTCCCTGGAGGCGAGGGCTTCGAATCCTTCGCTCGGGTCCGACGAACGGAGAAGCCCCGACCCATTTTGGTTTGTGGGGCTTGGCGTGGCTCCTTTTTGAATTGGGGGGGGGGGCGCTTAGTGGTGGGGTTTAGAGGGACATCGCAAGGACAACCACCATTATTGTGTGTTTCTTTTTTGGGGGGGGTCCCTAAAACTGACACACCCATTTGGGCATGTGTGGTTACTTTTTTTGTGGGGGTCCGCTTTTTGCATCGTTCTTAATTGAACACCAAAAGTGGGAGTTTGGTGTGACGCCAAGGGCTCCGCCAGATCGAACATGTTTTGTTCCATACCTTTGAAACAGTGATCGACCTTTTGCTCAGCATGGGGGGACAAGTGGATGTTGGCTTTCCTTCTGGTTTCCGTTTAAACGAACCTGAACAGGGTGTCATCAAAAAGGCAGGGTCTTCTCCAAAGCTGTTTCATATTTCTGAGAAACCTAAATATGAAACAGTGTTTGATCATAGTCGGAACGGCTGCAGGATTCTTGCGAATGCTGCCTGGGCGTATGCAGGGGTCCCTATGTTTCCCTTTTGGGCGATTTTGAGCATCGCCTTTTTGGCCCACAACAGGTCAGTGTCCCTTGGTTAGGGAGGACTAGTGACATCAGGGTTCTCAAGGATCCTGGCCGGTTCCGTGGCTGTCGGGGATACTGCTCCAAACGATGCTCTCCATAGAACTTCAAAAACCCAGGTTTGCTTTGATTGAGGAAGCTTCTGCAGGTGATGAGCGGCAAGCTCTCTTGGTCCAATTGTTTGCCGTGAATCTTTTTCGGCTGCCCGAATTTAAAGACATACCCGTGGGTGAAATATGTTGCTACAGGCGCAGCTGCGGTCCGCGTCCAAGGCCAAGGTGGAGGACAGTCGACCTCCGCCAGAGACCCGTTTCTTGTTCGTTTTGCTGGTTTCGCAAACAACGCCTTTATAATAGATGTGGTCTAAGCTTGTGGGTGAATCGAACAGCATTTATGCACCTTATGGAGTTTCACCAGCCAAAGGGGGTGGTAGCATTTGAGACATGCAAATTGGCTTGCAACACCTTCCTCAATAACAAGCATGTTTTGTTTGACCTCCTCCCCTCCCTCCCCCAAAAAATCAGAGCACGTCCGATCATCTTTTGGCACGGAATCTCTTTTCGGCGAACCCCCATTTCGGGTTCCTTCCGCTTCATTTGCAACTCTTCTAATGAGGGAACACTTCATGGCAATCTCCTTTCTGCGGAATTACTTGAATATATTTAGGTGCATTGCGGGTGTGTCTTTTCTGCGGGTTCCCCAGTTTTTGGCGGTTTTGAAGGGACACCAACAGGAAAACCACAGTTTTGGTTTGTCCCCCAAAAAAGAGACATCCTTACATACCTTTGAAGAAGAACCCTGGTTCAGATCCCCTACCGTTGGCTCGCAACCAGAGGACTGGCTGCAGAGGGGGGGCTTCGGCCTGCTGACGGTGACCTGGTTCGAGGTGCCCGGCCAAGGCACGGGCCTCGACTTGGCGTCGTGACACCTGGCGCGACAAGTCCGTCGGTGAGAAGTTTGCGCAGCTTCGCCCCCACCCCCCTCCAAATATGGGCTCCTCGTTTTGGCACCCCCTTCAACTCTTTTTCTCCTTGGGGCAAATGGGTCTGTGTGTGTGTGTGTGTGTTTTTTTTTCAAGGGAATCCTCTTGTTTTGGACCTCCCTCTTTGTTTTCTACTTGCTTGGGCAAAATGCGCGTGTGTTTTTCAGGGAATCGGTAGAACCAAAAGGAAAACCAACCTTTTTGGGGGGGGCTCCCTGTTTTGATGTCCAAAACAGGGGGTTGATTGCCCCATCAAAGTCGATTCGGGTAGATGAAGGTTAGGGGACAATCCCCGCGGGTCATAAAAATCGGTGCGGCTCTTCAGCCGCTTTGATCTTCCATGGGTTTGGGACTCCTTTCGTACCAGAAAACCAGTTTGATTCGCCAGGGTGAGGGATGGCAACCTGAACCGAAGCCTAACACCCCTGCCTGTGCTGAAACCAGCCTCATGAAGTTATTCTAGGAAACCAGGTAATTAGTGAAGGAACTGCTATATATATATATATATTAAAATATATTGTTTGGACACTCTCTGAGACGAGAAGGAGCCCCAGAGTTAGTGGAATAACCGCACTCCTCCCTGGTTGATTAAGGGGTGCCCCATCTCTCTTTCGAGGGATTCACGTCACTTCAACCTCCCCCTAACAATCTGGGTTGATTTTATGAGTTGCTCAGTTTAAATGAAACTCGGTTCGCTTCCCTTCTGCAAGTTCGCGCTTCATTTTGTCAACACTGCTAAGTCCAGAGGTCGCTAGTTGTCTCTTTTGTCTTGTGGCTAACTGCCTGCTACTTCGATTTACTCCCAACAAACACGCAATTTGCCAGTTCGCCGCAAAGCAGCTGTTTTCTCTAGTCACCAGACAGGATTTTCCCCTTTGTTGTTGTGTAGCACCATCCAACACAAGGGCTGAATTCCTCCTGATGGCTACCTTTCAGGGTCCAGCAAGTGGATCCGATCACCCTCAAAAAATGTGGCTGGTGGACAGACTCCAACCAAAGGCCATTCTCAGCCAGGCTTTTGGACGTGGACCCTGGAGAACAACGAGCTCCAACTTGGCCGGGACGCCCGCCGTTCAGCTCTCGCATTCTCTCCGTTCATATCCCTTCCCCACCTCCCTCTCTTCACTTGGGACATCCAAAAAAAAAGTCTAGACGGGATTTCAAGGATGAAGTTGTGAGGCGAGAGATGCTTCCAGGGCCATCATCATATCATTTGGATTCTTCATTCCAATGTGTGTTTCTTCTTTCCACATCCCAATATTTAATACGTATTTTGTTTGGGGATGTGGAGCAAGAATGGTAGATATGAATGGCGAGCCTTCGCCAAGAGCCATCTCTCCGTCTCTCCATTCCTCTAGCTGAGAGATAGAATGCTTCTTGGATCCGGACCGGACCATAGGCCAACCTTAGGAACCGACACCCCGGTAAGAAACCATAGGTCCAACTCAACAAGGTCGCCGTTTTTGTGGTCCTTGGTTCCCTAGGAATGTGGTTAAAACCCAAAGAGAGAACAACTTGAAAGTTAGGGGCAAATAAACGTACGCCCTGAGCAGAGAGTCATAGTTTTGCCTGAGTGCAACGTGTGGTCCTTGTGAGAAAAAAACTCTTCCCTGAGATGGCAACGCTTGAAACATATTTTGGTCCAGTTGATGCTTTGGAGTCCTTGCCCAAGCTTTCGGAAATCGATGGTTCTGAAGGGTTCCCTTTGCAGGCATCACCATGGCCGGCTCCGTGTTGGCCTTCTTCGCTATGATGCAGGCCGGGGGGGGAGGGGGAGGGGGGGCGGGGGACGGGACCACACAAGTTTGTTCAAGTGGCAAGTCCGGGGTGAGGGGTGCTAGTGTGGGTTAAGGAATGCTCACCTGAAAAGTAGCAAAACCACGAGGGTAGACAAGTGGCAGGGGCGCAGGCTCGAAACTTGGTTTAAAAGGCATCCTCTTGTTTTCCTTTTGCGGAAAAAGGACAACAAGTGAAGCGTGATGGAGTTTCTGAGAGCCACAAACACGATCCATGTTTGGAGGAACCTTTTGCGGAAAGCCTTTCTTGAGTTCCATTGTGTTGCCCCAACAGCTTTTTCAGCTGTGGGCGCTCTCGCTCCTTGCCCCTTAGCTCCTGCGTTCGGGAGCTTCCTGCGTGGGGCACCTGACTCAGATGCATACGATAAGTAGGGAGCATCCCATGAGAGTTTGCTTCCCACTCCTCGGAAAGTCGGCGCTCTACACCCGTTTGCTGGCCGGATCGGAGAAGCTCGCAGGTTGGGCCCAAAGTCCCCGAAGTGAGACAAAACAGGCGTAGAGGAAGCTCTCCTGTTAGCAGGGTTGTCCATTTAAGTCTACCTCAGGTTTGGTCAAACATTACGGTCTATAGTCCATTTGGTAGGGACATGAGGGACTCACTGATTTTCATGTCCGCACCTCACTTGATTGCGGAACATGTCTTGCCCCCGAACGTGTGGGTTTTCTCTCTCATAGCAAACTGGGAGCTTTGAATTGTTGGGGGGAGTGGAGGCAACCGCACCAGCTGTTTGGTCTCCAAGAGCGGTTTGCCTTGGGTTTGCCGGTTTACCATGAACGCATGTCAATGTGTCTTAACATCGGGAACCCCAGAAATGGTTGTGCCCTTTCCCGTTTTGCACCAACCCAACAATGGCATCCACATAAAACAGGAGACACGAGGCCACCGGGCTTGACGCTTTTGCCCGAGCCGGTGGGAGTGCGCAAGCACCCGAAGTTCCCAACACCAGGCTGCACACCCAATGTTCCCATGGGGTCAAAGTTGGGTTGATCTCCAGTTTTCAGGGGTAGTTGAGGTGATTTCGCTATGCTCAAGGGCAGTTTCAAGGGTGGTTTGAGGCGATTTCCCACGTTCCAGGGTAGTTTGTGCGATCTCCCAAATTTCAAGGCGAATTTGAGGCTGAGGCGATGCCCCAATTAGGGTAATTTGAGGTGAGGGTTCAAAAGGCCCAGTTTTACCCTATTTTTGGGGCCAAGCGCCGGAGTGAGGCCTGCTGGTTGACCTGGTGGAATGCGAACATGAAGTTGAACCTGGAGGGCGATTCCAACGAGCCGGGGCCCTGGCGCGTCTGACGTTCTTTTGTGGCAAAATCACATGGCGAAAAATGGAGCTCACCATGATGTAGGTTCTTTTCTTGAGGTCGAACCCTATTTCAGCCTTGGACTTGTTTCAAAACTTGAAGATGCATGGACGGGCGGTGAGGTACCGTTGGTTCGATGTGCAAGTGGCAAAACTGGTTTAAACAACCAGGCCCGATTCGGTGAAATTCCGGTCAAGGGAAACCAAAAGCAGGGGGTTAAAACGTTGGGACCACTCGAGTGGCAAATAAGCCAGTTGTTGTGTGTGTTTTGCAAATTCGACTCCTGAAGTGAGTGGACCAAGCATTTTCTTTCCCTTCTCAACCCCCAAAGGGTAAAACCTGGATCTTGTTTCCTCACTTTTTCCTGGAAACTGTTTGTCCCATGCTGGCAAATGGGGTGTTCGGTTGCCACTATCTGTATATCAAGGGAATCAGCGTGATTTCTTGTAGTCATGGGAACGACAAATATTATCACAGAATTCGGGGCGTTTTTCACATGCATTGGATGGTTTCCTTTGGCTTCCTTTTGGGTTCGAATATCTCTAACCTAGATTCTTGCGTGGAGTACAGCAGGCCTGATTCGTCCCAAAACCACTTCTTTAGGCCAAAGGCTTAGATGGCTGGTCATTGGTGTGACCGGATTGCCCCTTGGACCTTTCGGAAACACATGGCGTTTCCATTGAACCTTCAAAACTTGGTTGTTCCCAGCCGTCCGTTTCCTATGCTTTTGAGTCGTTTTTGGTTTAGTGGTTGGGTTTCCAGTTTCACCCGCAAGTTGGTCACTGCTCGCCGGGGATCTGAAAACGGACAGCTCAGAACAGGTGATCGACCTTTTGTGAGCTTGAAGCAAACCAGCTTAGGGGTTTGAGCTCGGGTCCATGGGGGCGAAGGCAACAGGGTCTTCGTGGCTTTTGGGACGCCCAACATGGGCGCGACCTTTTTTTTTCAAGAGGTTCTGGAATTCTAAAGGGAAGCCAACAAGGGAAGGAACCGGATTTTGAAACAGACCCAAACTTCAAACATCACGTAGCCAACGTGAATTTCCAGTATGCGATAGTTTGTAAAGATTGATTGGGGAATGGCATACCTCAACCTACGCTGAATATGCATTTTGGGCGCCGATGAATCTGAGGGGTTAGTGTCAGTGCGCACCTAGGCTTTCTGAACAATGTTGACTCAAGAACTACCTACTCCCTTTTTTGATGACCCGAATCTGTTTTATCCCGATTCTTCCGAAACCAAAGCTTTCAACCTATCCAACCATCGATTTGCTTAAGAACATTGATTACTTCCCACCGTTTTGGCTTTCTAGGGAATCTGTCGTACTGGAAGTAGTTCATGATTTTCCAGGGGACGAAAAAGCAAATGGAAGCAACGAGCCATGGGAAATGAGCTTCGATGCTGCACTTCCCGGTCCCTGCTCAATCTCCGGTGGCCGACCCTGACAAGAGCGCGTAGAAACCTGGAAAAAAACCGCAACAACGCATTGGACTGTCAATTGTTTTGACCCGTCCTTGGTGGTTGAACGCACAAGGAAGACCCACCATTTTCTTCGGGGTCCAAATCCCAACAAAAAGTACCGTACCCGTCTGGGTGTGCCTTTGAGACCCTGGTGATGGGAAGCGGGAACCAAGGGACCTGTAAACAGGTCACAAGTTCGGCAAACCGGCCGCGTGCCCACAAGGTCTTTCCAGAAGCTGAATTCCCAAAGGCCCAGGTTTCGTTCAGCTCGACAGGTCCACTCCCTTCGTCCCATTTCTTGCAACGAGTGGGGGCCGTGGCCGCAGAACCCGTCGCGTGTCTCTCCCCGAGCGCGCCAGGGACAGCGAGTCCGAGGACTTTAAGCCCTGAGCCCGTCACACGAGCTGAGAGGCGAAAGCCCCCAGCGTGAAGGAAGGTGTTCAGTGCGGATGGTGGCGAAATCCTCTCGGCATCAGAAATTTCTGGAATTCGATTCCCATGTACTCACAAAGAATGGAGAAAAACATGGTTTCTGAGTGGCGCGAACGGATTTCGTCCGTCCACACTAGGTGCGCCTGTTCTCTTGATTCGTGACTTGGTTTTGGGCAGCTCACTTTAGAAACTACCAAGTTTCGATTGTGACCCATCTGGAATTGAACATTGCCGAAACAAAAGGCTTAGTGAATGCTTGTTGTGAGGGTTCTTGGATGATTAGAATCGGGTTGCAAGATATTCTAGATGCTTAAATCATTGGAGCAACAAGTGTAAACATATTTAGCATATCACCTTTTAACTTTTGCTTTTGTGGTTTTCCTTCATGTGTCCTTTCGATTGCACAGTTAACACTTCGCAGTCTAACTCTGGCCCAGTGAGCTGTGAGTATTCAGGAACCCCCATCAGGTTGGGCTTTATGTGGCACTGTTGCCCCGCATGAGGCCAGCTCTTGATTTCAGGGCCACCTTCTGCTGGTAAGGGAGCCCTTGAAGCTACGGCGGATGCATGGGAATCCCACTTTGCAACATCACCACGGTTCTTTCCGCAAGAGCTCCGTATCACGTTTTTGCCAAGATAAAAAACCAATACCTAGTAATTTCACCTCAGAAGATTGAATTCTGGAGCCATTTCTCGGACGGCCAGAGTCGGCGGATCGGCGGATGAGCTTCAAGCTCCGAATGCACAAAGCCCGCCACCTCCTTCTCTTGGAGTGCTGGATTGCCCCAAATTTGTGCAATTCATGCAGGAAACCAAGGGATGGGTTGAGTTGCGTTTTGGAAACAATTCACCTAAAAGGAAACCAAAGGATGGGCAACTTCTTAGTCAGACCCCAGTCACGTCAGTTGACCGTTCTCGAAACGCCCACGTGAAACGTACTGTCTTTGAAACAGCTCGCCCTTTCCAGGGGCAGGGCCAGAAACAAAACCGCATGTTCCCTGAACCACCTGTACATGAAACCCACTGAGAGGTGTTTTGCTAGAGGTGAGTCGACAAGGTTGTCTCTTGCCGATGAGAGACCAACTGGGGCCTTATGGTGGTTTCGCCCCTTTTTTTGCGGCAGAGAGACAAAGCCGTACCCAACTTTGTTGCATTTCGGTTGCCCGTGTGGCAACCTGAGAACTACCCCCTTGTGTGACACGAACGTTTTTCCATGGAGTTTCCCGATTGCCGCTTCGTCCAGGGCCGAGGGGCCACTGGAACTGGAGAAAAGGGTCGTGGTACCTTGTTCCTCTTCTTGTTGGGTCGCGCCCCCAACACTAGTCAACCCCAAAAGGGGTTCCCTTTTTCCACTGATTTACTATCTCCTCTTGTTTTGGAGGTGCAGGACGTAAACCAGAAGTCATAATGGAGCTCATATCCTGTTGACCCAATCATACCTGTTCCAGGTTAGAGAAATGCTTGAATGATCAGGTATTTGAGTTTGCATGCGAGGTTTGAATAAGCTGTCTCAATGATCTAGAGTTAGAGACATGTTTTCCCTCAGCTCAAGATCGGATCTATGAATCAAGCGAAGTGAGGCTGGCAAGGGTCCCGCAAAATTTGAATATTTTGAAGGCCAGGCGAAGCGCGCATGACTCACTTGCATGACTCGCCGCCCTGAGCTGACCTTCGGACCTTTTCCTGTACTTGTCCATCTTGAGTCCAGCTCCCCCCAAAAAGAAAAAGCACCGTTTGGTTTCCCATTTGTTTCATTCCCGAGACGCTGGTCACCTTAGGTTCGGGGTCCAGAGGGGCAAGTGAGCAATGCCTTCGACGGCCGGTTTCTGACGGTTTCGATTCTTGGCACGGGCGCTTCGCCAAGTGCGAAGCTTCGACGTAGATTACGACTGACAAAAACTCCCAGGTCATTGGTCCGAGTCAATAGAAGTCCCTCTTTGTTCCTCAAACGGCGCTCCCCATACCGTTCAACTTTGCATGGCTTTGCTTTGTGATGTACACCCCCGCAAACAACCATATTGAAAAACAAACTGCTTTTATTGTTTGGTGTACGGCAATGTTGTTGTTTTTTTCATCGGCCCCGCAAAACCTCAGATATTGGGCCGGGGAGATGCTATGTTCGGGGTTTCCAGGGTTTGCAGACTTCAGGCGGAGTTTGTCCTAACATGGCTCGATTCAGTTTCCATTTTGGCCCGCAAGACAGGCCCAGCCAGGTGCCAGGTTAGGCCTCATGGAGGCGCCAGGCAAGGGGAAGTGAGTGAACGAAGAACATTTTAGGTTGAACCTTTTTGGGGCTTGGTTGTTGCGGGAAGCCTGGTTTCCAACCTTTGGCCCAATGGTCAGATTTGCGGGGGGGGGGGGGAGCCTTTAGAGGGTTGCTATTTACAGTAAGCCTGCCCCCCCCCGCAAAGCCACTTTTCAAAGGGGGGTTCGAGTGATCTCACTTTTTGCTAACATGGCATTTATGTGGGGTGGTTTTATACCCTCATAACAGACTCTCTAAAAGGCCATGTTAACGAAATCACATCCTTGCATTGGCCTTCAAAAACCCTGAAACCAAGCCAACGAGATGCCATGTTAAGCATTTTGGGCTGAAAGGGGTCGAAAACCAAAAATGACGATGGCTTTTCGCAGTTTCCAGGAAAGTCACCGGTGTCCGGTGGCTATGTTCTTGCTGTTTGTGGGTGCTATGTTTGTTTGCGGGGGAGTATCCCAACTTAAAGTTCAACTTGTGGCAAGGGATCCGGCACGAAAGAGAATTCCCTGGACCCAAAACGGGTACCCTCGTTTCGAGGCATGCCAATGTCTGTCTCCGCGACGGCGCTTTCGGCCGGAGCTGAAAAGATGTGCGACGCCTTTGGCTTGGGCAGGGTTTGGGCAGGTTGAACAAGCATCAGCCTTTTGTGTGATCGCTTGGAAGCAACTAGCATTTTTCATTCAACCTACAAAAGCTGATGGACCTCTTTTGCTGGCTTGGAGCCAACCAATTTCAGTATTTCGTGGGTCCAGGAGCGCAGCTTTTGCTCTGTTCGCTATGGGGTTCCCTGCAGTCCTTGGGTTGTTTTGGGGCCAGTGATAAGGAACGGGCCCCGCTTCTGACGAAGTCACGATTGGACGAGATATCCCATATCCCCTGTCACGATCGGAGCTTGGCACAGTTGCTTTGGCACTATCCAGAACCCCACCTATTGATCACCCCCCCGCAAACATGGGGGACACTCACCTGGTTCTCACGATTTCACCAAACGGGAAACCTCGCTTGGCAAACCATAATTTGTTTAAACAAAATGGTTGTTGGAGGGTAGCGTGTGGGGATTTCTAGCTTTGTTGTGCAAATCTTTGCCCTTCCCCCCAAAAAAGAAAAGAAACGGGGCGGAAACAAAAAAACAATAAATTAATTGGCATGAATTCTATAAGCTCCTGGCAGATCATATATTTCCCTGCCGCCTACTCCAAACACCCACTTTTGAAAGGGATGATGTCAAATGATGTCACCCGACGAAAAAAGGACGTTTTACTGCGGAAAGCCAGGGCGACAAGGAAACACTATGCCCCGGAAGTCCAGGCGGGGTGATCGCGGAGTAGGTCGACTTGCCCTCTAAGTCACACATGGCTGTGGCTCAAAAAGGTGAAATGGCACCTTGGTAAATGGAACTATCGACTAAAACCCGCGGTTGGCCCCAGCTCTTAAATTTTTGAGCCATACCCACGCCACTCTTGGCTGTGGGTCAAAACCAATGGTACCATTTTGGGGCTGCACCACCCATTTTTGTCTATTTGAGTGGGGATTGGGATGTTCACTGGGGGTACGATTTGGCTTTTGAGCCATGGCCACCTCACTCTGACGGGATTTAAACGGCGCACGGCTTCGGATCAGCTCGGATCTGCAGCTCTTGGCCCAGGGACGGGCTGGGGCTCCCGTGCATGGCTCGAGGCTGGACTCATCCCCACCCCCTTAAAAATGGAATTGGGGGAGGGGGGTGACCCCTGGAATTCCATTTATGGTTCCATTTTCCCTTTTGTGGGGGAAGAGTAAATCAATGGAATTGGGGGACCCCCCACCCCCCTCCCCCGCAAGGTAGGGGGGATCTGGACTCAAAGCCAGAGATGGGCTTTTTGGCAAGGGAATGTGCGTTCCGATGCGCAAGCAAGCTTTTACAGGTACCCGTTTTGCTCTCCTTTTTTTGATTTGGTGGCAGTTCACAGTTGCTCAGGGCTGGTTTCGGGTGAGTGTTGGGCTTGCAGAGGTCTTATAACCTGAGAGAGAAGCAAGGTTCCCAGCCACTCTTGAGAGCCACATGAGGGAGGACCTTGTGCTGAGCCGGGGCCACTAAAACGCCGGGGCTAGGAAGAGAAACTAACGCCTCAGCCGCGAAAGGAACCCAGGAGCTAGACCCCAGGAACGGGTCACCGTGAAGAAACTCCAGGGAAATGCCGGCCTCGAGCCAGTGAACTGGCGGGTTGCTTTGGGGTGTGTCTTTGTGTGAGCCCTGGACCCCTCACTTTGTTGCTCGCATGTGAATCAACCAGAATGTTAACCCCAGGTCCCTATCTCACAAACTCAGGCAACCAAGGCTGGTTTTCGGTGTCCCACAGATGCGCGAAAGGTAGCCACTGTAGTTTGTCAATGTCCGCCGGGCCCCTTTGATTTTGATCCCGACATCTAGTATTTGAGGGAGGTTTCTGACATCTTGACATTTGGGTGTGTTGTTTTTAGGGGACACCCACAATGGGTGGGTTCTCCTTTTGGTTTCCCTTTAAATCCAACCAAAAGGGAGTTCCCCATTTGTTCATGAGTTGCCCTTGATGCTCTTCCCCCCAGAAATCCCCGTCCCAGGAGTGGCGAAATACCAGGCGCGAAGCCTGGCGCGAAGCGATGCACTAAGCGATGCGCTCGATGCTTCGGCAACTCGGGGGCTTGCTGAAAACCGTTCTTTCTAAGGTTTTCATGGCAAAACAGCTTGGTTATTGCAACCCACAACTATGGTCGGCGATGTCCCTTTGTTAAGGGTAGTTTGAGGGTCCAGTTGCTTTGTTTTGTTTGGAGGCAGGCTGTCATCCCAAAACAGCGGGTAGTTGGAGTACAGACTATGGGAACCCAGGATTTGGCGAGCAGACCACCCTTCCACTAACATAGAAACCTGAAAGATTGTGTTTCAAGCACCTCTGATCACTGTGTTTGTAGTGATTGGGAGGGTAAACCCTTACAAGCAAACAGAAACAGCACAACCAACATGTTGATCGGCAGGGGAGCAGTAACCCCCTGGTCGATTTTGATTGGAGAGCTGGTCCCATCTTTGATCGGATGGGCTGCGTTTGGGTTTCCTTACTCTCCTGCAAATTAACACGGAACCCAACACGCGAGGTCTTCGATTTGAAGACGTACCCACATGGGTGTGTCTCGAAATCGGGGCACCCTAAGATGGGCTGGTGTTCCTTTTGGTTTCCCTTTAAACCAACCCCCAAATAGGGTACCCTAAAAAAAGACAGGCTCACATGTGACGGACGATACTTTCAGGTTATCGGTTTCGGGCATGTTCTATGGCATAAGGCCCACGAATTCTCAGACAATTTTATGCGCTATCAAAAGACCACTGGACTTGGGGTGACTGACGATCATGAATTCCTTTGGGGCAATGCAAAGATTAAGGGACCACGAAGATGACTATCGCCCAGATCTTGGGAGTTGTGACCATGTCACATGTGTCCAAGATGATTTCCACTACACTACAGTTGAATGGGACATACACATTATATACAGATATACACAGTGTATATACATCATGTATATATATATACACATGTACACCGCGCGTTCCCCAGGGTCCCGGCAGTGGTTCGGGGGTAGTCGAATCCATCTTCCAATGTGGGTATCAACGGTATCCACATCCGGACAAAGAAGAAACACACGGGCAGGTTCCGAACATTGCCCTTCGCCCGCCATGGGCGCAGTGGAGAGCCGACCGGCCCGGCGCCCCAGGAGTATGATGAAACATGTGGTCAGAACTTTTGCGAAGGGCTACTCCCCTGCAAAGTCAGTCGTATGGAAGCCCCAAAATATACGATGTCTCCCGCTAGCATGGCACCTGACAGAGGGGTCCCTCCAAGAGGAAACTGTTCTTCCAGGTACTCTCCCACAGGTGCCATGTTAGTGGGAGGAAGGGTACCAGGGCCTCACATTCCCTGTTTTTAAAAAAATGGACAGCCACCAGATCCCACGTTGCCTTTCTTGCACTGATTCAGTTGAGAGGTACTTGCCGCTGTCAGACATACCGGCCACCTACCGGCACTAGGCGAAGGCAAACCGGTTTTGCCCTGTAGCTCCGAGGGCTTTCTTCCTCTTCCCTTTTCACATGCAGAGAGTCATAGCTTCTCGGATCAGTCTGGCCAAGATTGGCCGTGTTTTCCAAGCCAACGGGAAGATCCATCTCCTATCTCCTCTCCAAAGGGACCCTCTGTCAACCGGGAGGGTAAAACTTACGTGTGGGGTTGACCTTGGACTTATCAAGCCCCAAGACTCCAACGGAGCCCTCTTTTTTGGGGTTGCTTTCAAGGGAAACCCAAGGGAAGTCACATTTTCTTGGGGGGGGCCCTGTTTTGTCACACATTGATGTGAGACATGGACAAACTATTTCCGTCTTTGTGCAAACTAGGGGCTGATAGAAGCCACTGTTGGTAGCCTTCTGCTGGTTTGGGGAGCCCAAGCGTCCCACAAAAGCCCAGTGGGCAGCTAGGTAATTCTGACCGTGGGTCGATTGGTTGATGGGTTCGTCGGTTTACTCACCAGTCCGGTTCCGTTGGCTCCGACTATAGATTGGTTTGCTCCCGAAGCTCCCCCACTGCGTGTGCTAAGAAGACCCAAAATCAATAGACTGGGGTTGGTTGCGGGGTGGTGTGATTATTTTGTCCCTCACATTGCCCAGTGGTTCATTTTTTGCTTCGCAATAGGAAACTAAGAGTTTCCCACCCTTTGATAAATTGAAAGGAACATGTGTATGTGCGCGTGTGTTTTGTGTTTTCTGAGGGCACCCTTCTCACCCTCGAACCCGACTGAAGATGGGTTGCAAGCCAACATAGCTTGAGGATGGCGGTTGGATGCACTTGGTCGGTCTGGATGCGTCTGGAACCGACTCGAGGACGACGTGAAGCTCTCGGAGACGGACGAGCTCAGCGATGGGGCTGGGAGCCTGGACGTGGGGTCGGGACGGAAGCTTGGGAAGGCCTGAAGGCAAAACAGGGAAGCCTGCAGGCAATCCTTGGTGCGTTCCTCCTTTTTTAAGGGGGAAACTCGAAGGGAACAACATGTTGAGGGCTTGTTTTAAAGGGAAACTCAAAGGGAAACTCCTGAAGACAAACCCGAAGCCCATTTTAGGGGCCTATGGGTTCACTCAGGGGGTTGTTTTTCCTTTGGAGCCTTTGGGCGGGTGTCAAGGAAAGCAGACCAAAAGCGAACCCCATTTTTTTGTTTTCTTTGGGGGGGGGGGTGCCTGCTTTGAGACGAGGACTGGGGCCGCTACCCCCAAGCCGAAGCTACCGTGAGGAGTTGTCGGATGCACAGCCCAGCCACTTTTTGGGCACGATACAAAGGGTCAACTAAGTCTTGTTTAATTGTGGCGGAACAAGGTATGTAGCAATTTGGCCCTATTTAGCCCCTGGCATTACGCAAAATGTTTGCTCATTCGGTCCTATTGGGAGCCGGCTCCACAAAGGGCCAACCCTGGAAAAAGGACACAAATCCGAATGCCGGTTTTTATGGCTTTTCGGTGAACATCTTGGCAAAAAAGGGGCGCTCTCAAATAAGGCTGATAGTAAGGCATGTAGAAACCTTCATGGCAAGGCCTGCAGAAATCTGCAACGCAATGTTTTCAACAGCGATTCAGAGCCCTAACAGTCACTACGAAGCTGCAATGGCTCTTCTTTCGAGTTGGCACTGAATCAGTACGTGAATTCGTCATATAGCAACGTCATGTTTGCGATCTCACACTGAAGGTTCCTTTCATAGAGACCAAAGTCCTGATTTGCCATTTGCGGCTGGTGAACAATTCTAATTTGCCTTTTGTCTTGTAGGCAACCTATGGACCTCTCATTTGCGGTTTGTGATGCATGTGACGTCACCATATCCCTTTATTGGTCCCCAACAGACGCTGAAGGCTCCAAACCCAACGCGGCCGTCGGCAGTCGGACCCGCGCCTCGCGCGGTTCTTCCGCGGCGGGCCAGGTCTTGCTGTCGCAGCTGCTGCAGCTCTTGGCCCGGCGCCCGAAGCCGGGGGCCCGGGGGGCCCGGGGCGCCCGAAGCCAAAGGCGGTGCCATGGCGCCTCGGGAAGTTTGGGTCCTTTTGGGGGGAAGCCTGTGATTTTGCAGGTGCCCGTACCCAGGTGGCAGGGAGGGTGCCTCTTTTACCTTTCTTTTTTGGCCAAGTCGTTTTGTTCTCTTTTTTTCTTCTTCATTTGCTTCTCCCCCCTTTCAGCCAGCAAACAGTTGAATTGCGGGTCGAAAGCTCGTTAGGCCCGAGTCCTTAGATAGGCTATCACCGATTTGGTTTCACATCTGTCCTCACCCGTTTTCCGACTTCACGCGCTCCCCAATTTTCCACATGGCTGATGACCATCCCAAGGTGTCCAAATTCAAAGCTCTGAACTCGGATCCCCTCCGCACCGAGAGCTGTGTCATCGGGGAAAAACTCGAGAACTCCAAAGAAGGCACCGGGCTTTCAGGTGCGGGTTCCTTACACGAGGTTCAGATGGTCCATTTGGAGGGACATGGGGGATGAGCTCTAAATTTCCACAACCAAGAGAAAAAGCAACTAATGTCCCATGCTTGTAGAGGGCATAACATACCAGAAGGACGAGCAAACGATGGACGACTGGATGACAAGGACGGCCAATGTGCAACACATGTCTGGGTAAATGAGAGAAAGGTTGCTGGTAAGACTTGCATCATTTTCCCTGAAGTCAAGCAGAATAGTCACCTATCAATCATCTAGAATTTCATCGGTGGCCGCCAGGTGGCTACTGGACAAAATCCATAAACCGCACAAGTTGGGTGGCTTGTCCCGTAGGGTTTCATCCATCCCTGCCACATTTCGGTAGGAATGGAAATGGAGTTCAGGGGATCAACCACCAAACGATTGAAGAGGCAATGGGGGATTTGGAGGAAGGGTTCTTAGGCCGGATGAGTGAGTGGTTCCGGAGGGCTAGACACCCGCAGACCTTGGGTTTACCGCCCTTTTTGCAGGTTGTAAGGGGGTCGCTTACAAGATACATTTGGCCCACTCAAAGAATCACCTTTCCCTGCTGATTTAGAGGAACAACTCCGACCGGGACACTTCTCCTGCCTTATAAGCGTTTTTTTCTTGGTCTTCCTTTGTATGCGGAAGGCCCCAAGATGCGTGGCTCGGAAAGGCGTCTCCCTACGTTTTTGCCCTTTGGCAACGACGCGTCCGGCTGAGGAAGAGCATCCCTCTTGCCGATCTTTGGGCGTTGCTGCCGAACAACGTGAGGCCCTGGGCAGGGGTCTCCTCCCATATGAGTTTTTACTTTGAGGTTGACGAAATATGACAGAATCTGGCGTCCCCAGAAGAAAGCAATCCTAACATCACCCCCCCCCCCCCCCTTTTGATAGCTATATAGTTGGGGGCCTCTTTGTCCCTACTATGCTTTAGCACTTAAATACTGAACATGAACATAACCTATGAGCCACATATAAGGATGCTTTTTCGGGCATGTTATTTAGATGGCCCCTGTACATTCATATCCGCTGATTTTGGGGTACGTTCATTCGGGGAATGTATGTATACCGCAGATGTTGAAACCATTTTGGAGTTTGGGGACCACTCCGGAAGATGCCCCCCTCCCCCCTCGAAACACCCACACGCAACCATCGCCCCCCCCCCCCCCCCCGCTCCCCGTTGTGCTTTTTTCAAGGGGCACACCGCTGTTTTGTGAACCCCCATTTCGAGAAGCCACGCACTCGAGGGACCGGATCCCTCAAAAAGGGGTTGGTGGACGCAACTCCATGAAACGTGACGGTTCCCAGGCAGACTCCGCCTTTGAGATCTTCAGTGTTTTTCGACAGAATCATTGCACACCCTGCAAACAGTTTGACTTCTAGCAAGGGATCAGCCAATCAAGCAGGTAAAGACGCCATGCGGGAATTTCGTGTTTAGCTGCTTTCTGTGGTACCAAGGGGTTCCCCCTTTCGAAGTGACCCCTAGCGGAATCCACAGGATTCGTGCGCGCAGGAAGCGTGCGGAGGACCACGGCGGCTTTAAGGGCTGGCTCCAGATGTATCCCAGGAGATCCGATCGGAGAATCTGAGATGTGTTGAGTGGTTACCCTCCCTCCTACGTTGCCATGGCATCTGACAAGTGGTCCCTCCAAGAAGATTCTGATCTTCCACATACCACCTCAGGTGCTATGTTAGTGTGGAATGAGTTGTCTAGCTTTGGGGGGGATCGCAAATAACCAAAGAACAACGAGACGAGCAAACTTCAGGTGTCCAATCACCAGCCAGGAATTGTTATCCCTTGTTGGGTGCAGCCCCACTAAAATTGGTCCAATACTACCAAAAACATATTTCCTTGACTTTTTTTGGCGCTCGTAGTCAATCTCCTTGTAATGCTTTGTAACTGAGGTTACTAACCAATGAGCTTGCCAGACCATCCATGTGGAGGGTTGGGGGGGTTGGGGAGTTTGGGGAGTGCGGGGAGTTTGGGGGTTGACGGCGGTGGGTTCGAGAGGTTTCCATGCATGAATCCGGTGATGTTTTGGGATCGGGAAGGCCGTATCCCACAACGATGGCGATTCCAACAACCCGCTCGCACGATGAAGCTATGGCAGTTGTCATGCAACACACGAAAGACATTCCCAGACCTCCAGTGGTGCCCATTTTGTTTTTGGAAGGTGCTTCCCTTTGAAATCAGCTACACGAACGAGGTGCCCCCTTTTTCATCATAGCCACTGCAGCTCGGGGCAGTTGCAAGCTGTCAGGGATCTTTATGTTTCAGACAGTACCATGTAGCTGTGGGTCCAAAAAACAGGAACTTTTCCAAATGCTTGGATTCTGTTCGCTCAGGGTGATGTGATGTTTGTGTGTGTGTGTGTGTTGTGTGTGTGTGTGTGTGTTTCACTGGCTTCAAAGGGCGATGGTCGTGGCTGCTACCTTGTTTCCAGCAGTGATGGAAGTGTGTTTCTGCCTTTGCTAGAACAGCAGGATCCATTGGGCAAGGAAATGTCATGGTTGGAGCTTGAGAATACTGTCGCACATGGTTGGTGGACACGAATCCAACTATGTACATGTCCAGCAAAGGCTTTCCAAGTGAAACTCCTCCCCGTTTACTTGCCGCAGGCGGACACATGTTGGGTGACCCCACAGGAAGGGGTGTTTGGGACATGACAAATTGTGCGGACTGGAGAAAGTGGAAGTTTTGGACAACAAAACAGGGTCGACATTTTCTGGAATGCAGCAGCTGGAGTTTAAGAAGACACATGTTTCATTTTCCCAAAAGTTTTGGGATGGATGAATCGTCATTTTCTTCCAGAGCCCGTATTCAAAAAATGGACAGCCATGAGCATGGAATAAGCACAAGGCTAACATACAACGCGGGTTGTTTTGGGGTTACCCTGGATCACCCTGGCCCATGACTGAGCTTTCGGACTTTAGCCGCTTTTTAGTGGCAAGCACAAAGCTTATGGACTTCTTTGGCCAATCCACTCAGGAAGTGCGTGGCTGATTTTCAGGTTCGACCCTAACAGCGCAGGTGCATCCTGCCAATTTTATTGCAAGGTCACTGATCTGGGGCCAGAACAAGCTCACCATGATGTAGGTCCTTTGCTGGGGATCCAGTTCTTATTTCAGTTTTGGACATCTTGAACGACTGCAGGTCCTTCTTTGGCCTCAAACGGCTCTCTATCACGAGCCTTTGCAGCTTGAGGGTCCAACTTTTGGCTTTTTCGAGAAATGGACCGTGCCGCCCAAAATGCTTGAGACTCCCCCAGGTTTCATCTCAATTTGCCGATAGTTGGATCATATCCTTAGGTTGTTGTTTTTTTTTGGGGACTTTTTGTTTGCCTTCATTTGGGTGTGTCTAGACTAGCCCTTTTCTTGTGGTTTTTTGAGGGAACACCAACAGGACCAACCCACTTCCTTGTTTTTTGGAGTCCCCAACGATGGAATCACAGCCATGGGCCCCTTCAAACCCCGGAGCTCCGGGGCTTTTCCCGGCCAGTCTCTTCCAAGTGACCGGAGATCCGGGGAGGGAGACCCTCGTCCTGGCCATCCGCCCGGCGCCACGGATCGGAGACGAAAGATCCGCCTGTGGTCATGTTGGTTGGTCGGATTTTTTTTGGGGAATCTGCCGAAATGAAACCACGGTTGAAACTGGTGGTTGGGGATTGACAGGAAAATCAATGAATTTTCCGTTGGGTTTCTTGAATGAGAAAGCATGGTTTTGGGGGGTTGAAGGGAAACGGAATGGAAGATCAAGCTGAAATTTTGGGTTTTTTTTTCTGTAGGCTTCGGAGGTTTTTCTGCCCCTCTTCGGGGTATGATTAACGGGAGGTCCCAACCAGAAATAGGTGCGGCAAGAAGCCGATTCGTTTTTCTCTTCCGTGGGTTAAGGGCACTGAAATCAAGGTAACTCCCAGTCCTGGTATATGCCCTCCCGCCAATTAACATGGAACCCGACGTTCGCGGGGTCCTGGAAGACCATTTTCTTTTTAAAGGGACCCCTGTCAGATGTTCCGTCTTAATAGGTAGGAGGGTAATTCATAGATCTCCGCCGGGTGAAAGTAGATGGTCCCTCCATTTGGGTTTAGTCTCTTTGCATACCGACGGTAAGACAATTGAGGGACTCATTTTTCACTCAATTGTACCCCCAGTATATACCCCCAACTGAACCTGTCAACTCCCAGCGCCCAGATTCGAGCTCTGAGCGGTTGCCGACCAGACACGCCTGGATGCTCAGAGCTCTTGACCTTTTCAAGGTTTGAAATTGGTCACTCCTGAAGTTAGGCAGCTGAGAGTTGCTCCTTGCTGGCAATCTAAAGCCAGGGCTTAAAGCTTCAGATTCCTTTGGTTTCAGGGAAGGGGAACAAAGCATTTTGACCCTGGCTCATGTGGTTTGTTTTTGAGTGTTCCTTTCGGCCTTTGGGTGGTGAAATCCATGTTTCCCCCTTTTTTTAGTGGATCTCCTCAGTGAACCAAAACAGCTTCTTCCGCCACAAAGGCCCTCCATTTGGGCATAAATTGTAGCAAGCTCGGCTGGGTAAAAAGAGCGTACCCATCATGACTGTCTTGTGCTTGTCTTCCTTAGTTCCACATTGCGCTCTCGTAACTTGTCCAGATCCACCCAGCCCAAGCACGGCTGCGTCCAGCATGGCCCCCCTCAAAGGTAGCCGCCAAGAATGGGTACATGAGGGGTAAGTTAGTGTTTTTTTTGCCTTGACGTCTCTGAGGAGAAATATTTATTTTACATTTGGCCTGGGACTTGGGGTAATGAACAAATTATGGTCAGGCCCTCGGCCCCATTGGGACAACCATAGGAGTCATGGTTTCTGGAGTGTAGGTGGAAGATGGTGAATTGGATTGTGCCATCCGGTCACATTTGTTACCTGTCTCACAGAAGACAGACAAGCGAGCGCGATTGGTGATGTACTTCACTCAGAATAGAGTTTCAGAACAACACTGAAAGGCCCAGACTTCGTTCTGACTTGCCAACCCCATTGTCCTCCAACTTCAATCCAAACGTTTCCAGCGGCTTGTTTAGATGGAAATCTGAGAAAACCAATTTTGAAAGGGTCTAAGCAGTTCGAACTTGGGCAAAGAAGAGTGACCTCACAACCAGCGGGATGTGCGAGCGATTTGGAGGTTGCATGAGGGTTCCTCTTTCCCGTAGAACTTGTTTAGGTGAAGTGACAGGACACCACCAATCTGGGGCCACCAAAGGCTGGTCCACAAGACGCAGCCTTGTCGCGAAGCATCGTGACAAAGTAGTCACCGGGATGGGAATCCCACTTTGGTATCACCGGGATTCGGGTGAACTCCACAACCATTACTTCACAGTTTTCAGGGACGGGAATGTTCCTGGTTTCCCTAAAGCGACCCCTCTCTATTTCCTTCAAGGGGCACCTGAGGCAAGTGGTTGGCTTACAACTCCTGCAAGTAGGTTTAGCCAGGGTTGTCACCCACTTGCCTGACGTACCCTGTCCCACTTGCATGTATACTGATTTCGAACATGCACACTCAAAACTGGTGGGTTCTCTTGTGTTCCACGTTAACACCATCCAAAAGAGGGCAAACCAAAACACACACACACACACAAACACACGCCCATAAGAAGTCTCAAAATGAGGAAACCCTTACACGTACGACTGGTTTCTTATTGGTTTCTCTTCGAAATCAATTCAAGGGGTACCGAGCCTCAAAAACACACCTACCACATAGCCATCAAATGGGTGGTGTCGCTGCGGTTTCCAATTTAATGCTAGGCAACCCAAAGACGAGTTTTTCTTCAAAATGGCAGTTTCAGTGGACTGGCGGTAAATTTTAGCAGCTTGGGGGGAAATCAAGTGCCGCCTGAAAGCAGGGTACCAAATCTAAAGCGAAGACACCTTCCATGTACTCAATATATACATATATATATATATATATACATCCTTTATGTTGCTATTTTCTCTGGTTCAAAGGGAAGTTCTGACTGGACAGACTTTCTCCTTACTCCTTTTTTCCCCATGTCCTCAACATGTCCGGTTTCTTTTTCTCTAAGCCAAGCAATCAAAGTTTCGACCCCGGTGGAAGAAAGACGCCGTCGCAGCGGTTTTTTGTTGGGCGAGGTGGACTCCCCCAGCTCGGAGCCGCAGCAGGAGCCGGACCCCGGCGCCGGGGCCCCATCCGCGGAATCGAGGTCGAGGCGCCGCTCGTTGGTTCGCTCCTTTGCGGGCGGTTTTTGGGGGGGATTTTGGGGGGGGATATGGATTTGGGGGCAAATTTGGGGGATTTTGGGGGGGATTTGGGGATTTGTGGGGAATGTGTGGGGGATTGGGGGGGGAGACAAACCCAAATTGGTCTAAAAGGCCGGGCCCTGGTTCCATTTAAAGGGAGACCGCAGCTTGGCTATGCTTGGCTAGTTTCTAGTTTCCACCCTAAAGACTGTTTGGAAACAAATGGCTTTTGTGTTAAGCCTACAAAAGAAAGATTCGACCGTTTTTTGCCGTTGGGAGGAACGTTCCAACCTGTTTCGTGGGTTCTCGCCGGGCTTTTGGCATAGCCCAGAGAAACACAAGCGCCAAGCGCCGGAGGACGAGGCCCCGAGGTCATCGGCCGAAGCTCCGTTAGCTACCGAATGAGGCGAACCATTCTGACGAACCTCGGGCAACCTGGGCATGGGTCAAAGAGCCACCTGGATATGGACCGCAGGTTTTAGTCCAGGGGCAACCCATTGTGGGGTTGCCCTTTTGACGACCACTGCCACCTTTCTGGCGAACAGCAATGTTTTAGGATCGCCTCCTTTCGGTGGGAAGACCCTGGTCACTGGGGGGTTAACCTTGTTGGGAGGTAAACGAAACTGAATTGGCTAACCTGACAGCCGGGCCAGGGAAGATCGGGTTGGACCTCCCCCGATCAATGCCAAGATGGTCTTGAAAAGAAAGCACCTGAAACTCAACGCTTCAACTTTTGTGACTTAAACAAGACCGAATCGGGGAGAGCCGCAAGGTGCAAAACTGGGGCTGCATTGCGTCCAAACTCGCCGCCCAAGTAGGCTTAAGCCGAACAGGATCCAACTATTTTACACCCAGGGTTTAATAGACTTAATCCCATGGTCGATTTCCACGCTGGGTAGAAGTCCTCGTTGGGGAAACCAAAAGTGGACCCCCCCCCCCCCCAAGTCTAAACTTGGTGCTCTTGGAAGTTCCAGCTAATTAAAAAGGTTCGAACGGGATCTTTGCGGGATCTTTGTTTACCCCACTTGTACCCAAACGAAATGCATTGAACACCATGACAAACCCCTGCGCTGTGCGATGAACGGACAACATACTCGTTTTGAAAGCTGCAGTTTGTCTTTGCAAAGCAACATGGTCGGTTGCCGTGAAAATGTAGTTTTTCCTCGTGCCAAATCCTCGTCTCCCACAAGAAGACTCAAGTTTGCCCCCGACCAGTCCAATTGTTGTTTCTACGCAGGTGGTTTGCAGATGAAAAGCCGAAGCATTTCCCTTTGAGATTTGAGAACTGTGGTGTTTCCTCGAAAAGCGTGGTTCACTTGCAGAAAGGTGGAAATGGCGCGGGATACTAATCGCCGTGGAAGCTTTAAGAAAGTGCGTGGCAGATTATGTGGACACAAATTAGAAAATCGGATCAAACGAAGATAGTCAAATGGACGAAAGCCGTGCTACATGTTTCCCCAACAAAGATAGCCGCAACCCGTCACAGTCCCTGCGACAAATCCCCCTTTTTCTGCCACCCAGCAAGAGTTGCAGCTGTTCCACCCCGCTCTTCCAAGAAGAGCATCCGTGAACCAAAAACGCTGGCAACTAGCGAGCGCGCGCCTGTCCAACAACGCCCCTGCGCGCGAGCTACAGCCTTTGCGCGCGGCTAGGCTGCGTGTGTCGCGCCTCTAGGCACGAGCGCTTGTTTTAGCAAGGCTCGCCCTGCAGCTGAAGGGCAGGGCCAGCGTGCCGCTTGGCGCCTCCAGCAGCGCGATCTGATGCTCCAGCCGCAAAGCGCTCGGGTGACCAAAGAGCCGGACCCACAAGCTCTCCAGAGCGTTCAGCGTCTGAGCCGAGGCGACGCCTGAGCCTGATCGCCAGGCGCGTGGGTCAACGTCTTTACCCCTGCAACCTGTTTTATGCTTTTTGCCAGTTAACGCCACAAGGCCAATCTGTAGTTTCTTGTTCAGAAGGGTGTTTGTGGCAAGCTGGAGGCTAAGATTGTGACTAAGCCAATGCTTTGCGCACTGAAGGAGAAGGCAGCAAACTTTGTCAAACCCATTTTCGCGCACCTGCGCGGCGGTATGACCAGTCTATTTGCCAGCAGGTCTGTTACTGGCTTTCCTTTATATAAGCGCGGACCCATTGAACTCCGTGAGCATCCATGGCGCTCCAGCGTGGGCAAATTGCGCCAAAAGAGTTAGCCTAGGCATGAGTACGTGACAGCGGCTGTCACGAGTCGTTCCGTTTTTTTGTTCTCATTGGGCAGTCTTACCGTGTCTAACCATTGGGCAGTTCAATCGGTGCCTCGTCAAACTTGAAACATCATGTTTTCCGATTGTTGACGCCAGATCCTCCTAGTGTTCTGCTCCGGTTTTTGAACTCCACCATTTTGGGGTGATTTTCTGGGCTGTAAATTGGGCCACGCGGACGCAATGAGTGATTGTTCCGCGTGCCAATTTTGAGGCTCGATGCTTGTTTCAGGTGGGCTTGGGAAGCCGGAAAACCGAAATGCGGTGGGGGGTCCGTATCCAGTTTCTGGCGCAAACCATGCATACATCCCCAACCATGCATACATCCCCACCCCCTGCAACACATGCAGCCCCCATGGTTGCACACCACTAGCTGGTGGTACACTACTTTCCTTTGCCAGATCTTAATATCGTTAAATTGATTTCCCCCCAAAGTCGGCAATCCTTTTTGGGCCGCAGTGGCCCGTTGTTTGCCCCATGCCATGGCACATCTGCGGCCTCCCGGCGCCGGCCTTTGGCGTCCGAATGCCCAGCGTTTCAAAGGCGCCGAATCTGCCGAAAACCGAACGGGGCGTGGCTGGCTTTTGCTCGGCAATTGGCGCTCAACGAAAAACCCGTTGCGTGGTGGATAGTTTCCTGATGAAAAATGGCTAAGTCAGCATAATAGGGTGGAATGGGTTCCTTTCGGTTGGCCGGTGAAAGTGATCGGGACCTGTTTGTATCTTGCTGATTCTCAGCGAATCAGTAGGGTTTTGGGAATGAACCGGAAGGGGATCCCCTCAAAGGAAACCAGCAGTTGGATGGTTCAGTTTGGGGTCATTGGTTCCCTCATTCCCTGAGAGCTAGCAAGTGTTGAATCTTCCCAGCCATATCCTTAGACTTGTGTTTAGAAGCATGGACATCCTAGCAACAGCTTAACTTTTGGTCAGGGATCAAGGACAGAAGTTACCCTGGAATCCAGCCGGAAGGGGTCCCGGTAGAACAAAGTGAGGTCCTGAAGGGGTGCCCTTCAAGACGCCCAGGAAACCAGCCATTTTGTGGTTCGCTTTAGTGGGAATACGGAACCCTGCACTAAATAGTTGGACATAACCTTCCAGCAAATTCTGATGTCAACCAAAGCATCTCCCTATTCAAACTCACATCTATGGGGGGGGTCTGTCTTTGAAGCTTCTATTTTTTTGCGGGTGTCAAAGGGACGCCCAAATGAACGCCGCATGTGTTGAACCCATTGGGTATCAAATTGAAGCCAAAATGAACGCCGCCACTTATTGGGGGGTCCGCCCAAAAAGGACAGACACAGGGTTGGGGAATGCAAAAGAACCTTCCAAGAGGCGATTCAGTTTCACCTGAAACCGAAGAAGTTTGCCATTTTGAGAGGATTCTCCTGTTGGGGGGGATGCGACCAAGAGGCGATTCAGTTTCACCTGCAACCCGACAAAGTTTGCCATTTTGAGAGGAATCTCCAGTCTCTACCGCTATTGGGTTGGATGTTTAGACTTTAACTTTTTGGATTCTTTACATATTTCCCTTTAACCAGCAAAAAGTTCAACTTTTTGCTGGGGATCTACAGCACCCAAGCTGTTGGTGGAGCCCTTTGTTGGGCTGCATGTAAACAAAATGTAGAGGGCTCCCAGTCCAGGCCGCTCAGCGGCGCTCTGGGGTGCAGAAGGCGCGGCGGATCACCGGGCGCATCACCGCGGCGCGCTCGCCCAGGGAGGCGGGGCAAGCAGTGGCTCTTCCGGTTGTAAGGCCAAGAAACGGGGCCTCTAGAAGCGACGCACCTGGATTCCAGCCGAAAAATGCTCCTTTTGGGCGGTCTTAAGCATTGTGTTGTGACGTTTTGAGGGCAATTTAGGGAGCGCTGAGGGGATGCAGTTCGCTGTGGCCTGGGAAGCTACAAAGCGGGGCAAATCAAACCATGGCAGAAAGTTTGGGTTTGCGCCACTCCCTAATTTTCTGGATTTTAGTCACTTTTCGGGAAGACTGGCTGGTAAACAATCAGTTTGGACTTGGGGCAAGTCCACTCAAGAAGCGAGTTGCTGGCAAGGAAAGCTTGGTTTCAAGTTACCCTCGAACGTGTTTTCAAGGTCTTGAAGATTGGTCTTGTGTTTCTTTAGTTGGGCTGCGACCCCTGCATGCTAGGACAATTGCAGCTGGGTTTGTGAAATTCTGTGACACCGAGGAGCCCTGAAGTCAATTGATTAAGCAGTTAATGGGATAGGCATCCCAGTTTGGAATCCCTGAACAAGTTATCTCCAACCGTGATGGAGTCCGTTCATGCTTTGGCTGCTTATTCCAGTACCCTTTGCCCCTGCTCTCTTTTTGGCAGCCTCACTTCCCCGGTTCCTGGACTCTCAACTTTTTGGTAAGACCATTTCTTGCTGGTGCTCAGTAGGGAATGAGGGAATGACCCCTATAAACCATCCCTTGTGGTTTCATTTAGGGGAATCCCTGGGTTCATTCGCTCATTCCCTACTGAGCACCAGCAAGACTTTGGTGGTACACGAATAGTTCCTGCAGGACCCAGTACCTCAAATGTTTGCTCGCAAGATCTCGCGCTGGAGGACTGAATGGTTTTGTTTGTCGCTGAGCAGTGAAGAACAAAATCGGTTGCAAGCCTTGATATTTTTCGCATGGAAGGACCGTTACAGCCGTTTTAGCTGAGGCTCCAAGCTTCCTTGGACAAAAGGATTCATCCCAGATGACCTACAGTGCCGTTTTGGAATTGCTAGCGAAGCTGAACAAAATTTGGCTCCGGGGGAGCTACTGTGGAGATGGACGAAATCCATGTCGTACCACTGTTCCGACCCCCTGGTTTCTGATGATTCCCCTGTAAATACCAACAAACCTTATGGTTTCAACCATGGATACCAACCAACGCTATGGTTTCAACGCTGGTTTCATGTCGTGCGAACGGATTTGGCCCATCCGGGCCGAAGCTTCCACAGCTTCCCTTGGAACCCCACCTCGCGGGTCCGGATCGAAAGGTGCTGCAAGTGGTGCAAAGCGAGCGGCGCAGCCCGTTGCCAGACGGAACTCTCCGAAAGCGTCGCCCGCTTTTTGGGTGTCCTTCGTTTTCCCTTTGACCCCAGCAAAAATGCAGGGCTACGTTGTTGGGCTTCCATGGTTTCCTTTTTGACCAGCAAAAATCATTTATGCGCAGGGGGTCTAAGTTGTTTTGCATCATTTTCCTTTTAGCCAGCATCAAGTGAAGACTTGATCCACTTGGTCCAAGTTGTTTTTGTTCATTTCCCTCAGCAAACCCCCACATTCATCGTTGCAGGGGTGTGTGTGTGTGTGATTTTTTTGTGTCGAAGTGCAGACTTGGGGAACCTTTTTCCGAGGTTCCTGGATGTCATCGCACTTTCGGCCGCCTGGGTGAAACTCGCGAAGCTCTCGCGGCGCAAGGAGAATCGGAGGGAGGATGCGAAGGACGGCTGGGCGAAAGGTCCGTGGACCCTCAAACTACCCTTAACAAAGGGAAAATCACCAAACTACCCTGAAGCAAGGGGAAAAATCGCCGCATGTTGTGGGGCAATAACCCGTGTTTAGTGGGTACTGTGAGGGAGGGAGTTCCTGTTGGATATTTTTGGGGAAATAAGCTTGGAGAAGTGGGCCGATGGTCACTTTAAGTTGGGTTTTAAAGAACCCCTTAAGGGTGGATGGAAGAAATCCTGCACCACTTTGAAACCATGGCTGAAACCGGTAGCTCCCAGGCTTAGCCTTGGACCTTTGGTCTTGTGTGAGAGATTTTGGACATGCCAGCAAGGTTTGGCTAAGGGAAGGAGCCACTACTGTGGATGGTTGCGAACTCGATTTGCCGCCCCACCGTTCAGAAACCCAAACGGAATGAGTCGATTCTGCTGGCAATCTACAAAGCAACCAATGGTTTCAACCACGGGTTTCTTGCGTGGATTCCGCCGGCAATCCCCACAAATCAATGCTTTCAACAGGGCTCCTTAAAAGATACCAAAGCTTTGCCCATTTCAAACATGGCCTTTTCCGGTAAAATTTCCTGGACACCGCCATTTACAAGTTGCAAGGTTCAGTGTGTGTTTCATGCATCCGGATCCCTGTTCAACATCAGCGGTCTCTTAGGTGCTGCGAAGGGATTTCGTAACCATTGGACCATCCACCTTCGAGTCCCTAAGGACGCGCTGGCGCCGCTGGCGGCGCTGACGCGCCGGGCGGTGGCCGCTTTGGACAATGGCGAGATACACCGGCAGGCGGAGGAGATGTGGTCGTTTTGGGAGAATCCTCCAGGGCTTGCTCAGGGTAGCTCCAAAAGTGGGCAGTTTCAATGGACACCACCAGTAAATTGCAACCAGTGAAGGGGAAATCCAGTGTCGCCTGTGTTGGGGGAACCCATCCTGTTGGTTGGTTTGAAGGGAAGCCAACTGGACACCAACCATTTTGCGGGTCCCGAAGCCTTTTGTGACAGACTCAAAAAAACTGAGCCGTTTCTGTAGCAACACGTTCCCTGCAATCAGGGGTTCTTCCAATTTGGCCAGTGGCAGGGCAGAACACAAAGCTAGCGGAGCAGGACTTTGGGAAGACCGCAGGGGCACAAGTTGAGCCAGTGAGCGCGGAAAGCCCAGTGTATGCTAGTATGCCCCCAGGAACCAAAGGCGGCCCACTGGCTGAAAGGACTTTGTGAAGGCTCGGGGTCCCAGCCTTTCCATGCTGAACCCCAAGGGAAACCAGTCAGCTCAGCAAAAAACATCGGCAAAGCCCAACTCTCAAACCAGCAAGCCGCTCGCTTGCCCAAAGCGCATCGACCTTTTAACCTTTGGGTTCTCCCATTTTGGCCCCAGGTTCAGTCATGGCCCCAAAAGGTCCATTTTCATTTCTGGGTTTGTTAAGGGGCACCTGAAGGCGGTGTTTCTCAAAGGGGACCCCTTTAGAAATGGCTCATTCTTTTTTCCATCGCTTCTTGTAAATCATCCAAGATGTGGCCGCTGAGGGGAGGCAGTCAAAACCCGGGAAGATGAAGGGGACAATCCCCAGAACTGGGTGCCTTCGCCTGAGTAAAGCCATGTCTCTGGGTCCATTTTGAATCGGGTTTTATGACTCAGGTGTTCTCCCATTTTGGCCCATTTTGTTGATCATGGCCGCAAAAGCTCATTGATCACCTTCTGTTTTTCCGGGCAAAAAAGCCAAGCTGCAGGTGGGGGTTGGTCCAATTTGTCACCTATTTCTGGGTTTCTGGGCCACCAAGCCGCAGGTGGGAAACATGTTCTGGGCCTGCGCCAAGCTCTCGGCTTCGGGCGCCTTCGCCTCGGATGCGCCCCGCGCCTTGGCGCGGCGCCTGGCGGCCGCGGCGGAGATGCCGGGCACGGCGGGGCGGATGAACGCCCAGGGCGCGGCTCGGACGGCGAGGAGTTTGGAGATTCTTTTCCGGGGGGACGGGGGGGTTCTGAGATTTGGACACCTTTTTGTTTTGTGGGGGGGGGGATGGGGGGGCCGACGGGGGGTTCTGAGTTGGAGCCTCGTGGATGGGTGCGAACTCCCGAAAATCGCGCATCCCGCCGTGGTTTTTATTCTGGTTTCCGAGATGATTCTTTTGAACATACTACAACAAATGGTTTTAACCAGGTGAGCCTTAGGCAGGGATCTTGGGAACCCGTCCCGCCCCCCAACGTGGCCTAGGCATATTCTGGGTCTTGGCTTTGGGGAAACGTGGGATAGATTAGGGATGTTGTAGTCCTATGATTTACCGCAAGTGTTCTGTTTCTGCAACGGGTATGTGTTCACTGTTCAACCAGCTTGCAAAGAGTCCACATTTGAGGCGAGCGAAATAGACAAGTGACAGGGCCCGTCTAGTTCAAGCTGTTTGCTCTCCTTACCTCTTAAAAACACTTTTCAACTTTTTGGGTAGCATGGGTTATATGTCTGTAGAAGGTTAACTTCCCCAATCCTTGGAGTTTTAAGGGGTAAGTCTCAGAAAGCACTAGAACTTGTTGCGAGACGTGACTCTCAGAACCCTGTCCGAAGCCTTCCATAAGCACCTGCTGTCGGTTCCAAGGCCACCAGGTGCCTGGAGGAAACTCCTCGAGATACCAGGCATGCGTATTTGTGCACACAGAAAGATGTATACCCGGATACCTATGTATCCAAGTATGTTATATAGTATTATTACTATTATTATTATTATCCTTATTATTATTATTATCCTTATTATTATTATTATTATTAGTATTATTATTATTATTATTATTATTATTATTATTATTATTATTATTATTATTATTATTATTATTATTACTTATTATTAATTATTATTTATACATATATATATATATATATCCATTACATGCATATGGGCCTATGATTTGTGTATAAATATGTCCATATATAGTTATGCCTACGTATAGTTCATTACATTAAAAAGAGCATATTATTTATTTGTGTACCCCAGACTTGGACGACACCAGCCTGAGCCCGAGTCCCGCCTCGCGACTCGGGCGCAGGTGGCCAACATGTTTTGGGGCATCGCCACCCTCGCCGGCGGCGGCTCCGGCGGCTCCGGCGAGGCCGGCGAGGCGGCGCTGCCTGGGCTGTGCCGCCGGGCGCGGGTGGTGATGCGCCAAATGAAGCCGCAGGCCACGGGCCGGGGGGGGGGGGGCACAGGGGGTGGTTTTTGGGGTCTACTCCGAGAGGTTTGTCGTAGTTTAAGGGTGACAACATGTGAGACATTGTCTGTTGCTTTTTTAGAGTTGAGCCAAGATGTAGGTTCATCACTTTTGGGGCTCCCCTCTGCCCCTCTCATTTTTAGACAAACTCATGTGGCATCCTGTTCCTCAGTTATGGAAAGTCAGATTGGCCAATGCTCCAACCCACCCAGGTTCCAAGCAGAAACCAGTCAGACTAGGGGGTGTTGCTAGTGATCGAGTGGGTTCCAGAAAGCCGGAGGGGAGGGGTTAAACAAGCGAACAAGCTCCATTTTGAGAGGCCCAGATCTGGAGGTTTCCTCAAATTGAGAAAGTCTTTTTCGAGGGTACCTCTTGTTTGTGGTTTTAAAGGGACACCAAAACGAAGACCGCCATTTGGTGGGTCTCCCAAAGAAAGACAAAGCGTATGTCAGATATTTGAGGTGATCTGAAGTGGAGCCTTGGAATGGGTCCCGGAGTTGGCTGAGTGGATTGTACCCGCTCAACCCTCGAGGTGTTCGGTGGCATAGTCGAAAGATCCTGTTTGTTAAAGCTGCACTCAGGGTTTCCTCTGTTGTTCTGTTTGGAACCTCAAAAGTGGCGATCGTTTCAATGGACACCCAGTAAATTGATCCGCTTCAGGGGAAGTCCAGTGTTCCTCGTCCCTCAAAATGGATCAGACACAGAGAGAAAGGAGTGCACGGATTTTTCTAGGACCACTGGGCAACTTGGGCTTTGAGCTGAACATGGGAAACGCTCACGTTTCAACGCGCGCTCACCCGTGGAGGTCGAAAAGAGGAGGTAGTTGCGCGCACACACACACACACACACAGAACGCTGTCCTTTCATCATGAGGGAAATTGGTTGAATCATATCCCACAGCCCCGTTTTAACCGTTCAGGCCCTTGTAGTTTACGCACTTCTCCCGGTCAGAAACTGACGGAACAATTGCCAGACTCTATTAGTTTGGGGAAGACATGGGGGCCCGCCCAAATTAGAGTGATTTGCCGACACTTGTAGTAGTATAGTATTTCCCCATTCCGATTAATTGGGCCCTGAAAGCGCTGCGGGTAATCATGGGAGAATACTGTGTGCAATTATTTGGTTCCCTATTATAGAGGAACCAATCAAATAGTGGTTTTCCTGTTGGCTTCCCTTTAAACTAAGGAAAGGGAGCCCTAAAAATCACACCCACGACAGCCGCTCAGGAAGTGGCCAACATCGCGTGGGCGTGTGCTCGGCTCGAGTCTTCAGAGCTATCGACGGCCTTGCTGCCCGTGTTGGCCGAGCGGATCAAGGAGGCGACTCGGATTGCGCGAAACATGCGCGTCGAGCAACACCCAAACAGGATTCCCATAGGGGCAAATTCATAGTAGGAGGGGTGCTATTTGGTTTCATTGTGGTTTTAAGCCTTTTTGTGTACCTAAAAGTCCGTTTCTCCCAATAAAGGTCCATGTTTAGAACAAAATACTTACCCCTAGGTTGGTTGGTTTTCCATGCTTACGCACCACCAATATAAGCTTTGTACAGTAGCACGTACCTCTCGCATACATGGAATGCAATCTCCATACCTCCAATCCCCTTCACCTTAAGAGGGCCTAGAATGTTTGAGCAGGTCGTTGTTCTCCCCTCTTGTTGGTTTTGAAGGGACACAAAATGGACTTGTGGTTTGGTTCGTTTTGACGTCCACACCGTTTTTCTTTGAGAATCGGATGTTTAGACATCAGACAGACCCCCAAAACCTTAAAATGACCTGGAATGTCTAGACATCAGATCCCCAAAGCTGCCCAAAATGAGCTGTAATGTTTACACATCAGATCCCCAAAGCTGCTAAAATGAACTGCAATGTTGAGACGTCGGGGAGATCCTCGCTTCGTCAGGTGGCTGGTGAGATGAACGCTCAGAACGTGGCCAACGTCATCTGGGCCACGGCCAGGCTGGCCTCGGAGTCTCTGGTGGCGGCGCTGCCAGCGCTCGCAGGCTGAGCCCAGCTCGTTGCCCCCCTTTTTTGGGGGGACTGGGGCTGAGGTGTTGTCTCTCTTTTTTTTTTCCTAGGGCCGGGTTTTTTCTTGGTTTACTGGGGCATTTTGTAAAGGGGACTGGGGAGGAGGTGTTGTCTTTTTTTTGCGGGCGGTTTTTTCTTGGTTTTACTGGGGCATTTTGTAAAGGGGATTTGGTTAGGATGGGGTGTTGTTTTTTCCTCAGGCTGATTATTTTCTTGGGTTACCGGGGGGTGGGAAGAACTGGGAGGGCAAGCCCCTGCCAGTGCCGATTTTCCTGCGGGATACCTTTCAAGTCAACCGCGGAGGTCTGGGAAACCAAAAGACCCAAGAAATTCTGCGCTTGGGTCCCTTACACTTCAATTGGGTAAGGCAAAGCGCTGGGGTTGATTGATTTCCATTGTTTGCCATCCTTTTCAAACACGCTGTGTCTTTTAGTTCTCCTGGAAGGACACATCGCTGGAAAGAATGCGAAAGGTAGCCCTAGGATTTATTGGGGTTCTCTACAGGAAACGCCAGTTTCATCTGCCAATTCCTTTCGGCGGGTGAGCTGAAGGACAAAGTAGGGGTGTTGGAAGTGCTGGACCCTCTCGGAGGCTCCAACTTGATTTCTTCACCATCGGTCAAAAAAAGAACTGTGCGTCTCCCCAAGTGATTACAGGCGAATCGCTAGGCGTAGAACCAAGGGTGTCCTAGGTGAGTTGTGCCGAACATGGACGGATTCCAAGTTTCAGGTTGGTTTCTCTTGATTCCCTCGCGGAACGTGCCCATTTCCACAGCCCGCACGGGCCATCGCAGGTCGGTCGCCGGAGGTGATGTCCAGCTTCAAAGCGCAGGAGTTGGCGAATGTGATTTGGGCCATTGCTAAGCTGTCAGAGTCCCCAGGCTTACTTTTCTCGCACGAAATGGTGGGGTTCCTTTCCGTTTTTGTTGGAAGCTTGTCGCTTTTCCTTTTGACTTGACTGACCTTTGTCTAACTGTTTGGTTTCCTTTCCGTCCTTTTTCTCCCTTGTTGCGTTTCCTTTTGACTTGATTTACCTTTTTGTCTCGGTTTGCCTTTTAGATTGTCCGCCAATGTCCATTACAAGCAAAAAGAGAGGAACTTTTGCAGGGGATTTGATGAACTGAGTCTGGCCCAGGTCAGAGTCGTGCGGATCTTTGACGCAGCTATTGCCGGCTCTGGCTGGTAGGGTCACAGAAGCGACACCGAGTTGCAGAGAACAAGGCATGTTTACAAATCGTCTAAACACATGAGTCCCCCACGCCCAAATATTCCATGTTTTTTCGAGTGGCCCTTTTGGCCACTGAAGGACATCTCAGATGAAGGCGCAGGAGGCCGCGAATGTGATCTGGGCCACAGCCACGCTGGCGGATGGCGAGAAGTCCTTGCTGCAGGCCCTGCCTTCATTGACCCACCGCGTCGAAGCAGCGACTCAGCTCTCAAAGCGACTCAACCTTTGGACCTTTTGGTTTCCCCTGTTTTCTTTTCTTAGCCATTTTTAGATGTTCAACCTTTTGGTTTCCCCTTTGTTTTGCCATTTGTAGATTTTCAACCTTTTGGTTTCTCCCTTTTTGATCCATTTTAGTGGCCCCGGAAGGCGATCGATCACCCGTATTTGTTCGGGTCCCTCAGGCTTTAAGGGGCAAGTGAGGTGATGCTTCAATTGAAGGCCCAGGACTGACCGAAGCGGACGAACGGAGTTCCGTGGATTCGTTAGCGGCGAAAAACACTAGAGGCAACCAGCCCTTTCCCGTTTTTGCAAAAAGGTGGTATCCTTGGTTGCCTGGAAATTCTACCGGGTGCGATGCAACCCTGACCGGCTATGTTGCTCCCTCCAAAGCTCTTAAAGACGCCCATTCACTTTTATGATAGTTGAGAAGAAGGTAGCACATTCCGCAACATCAGGGTCCAGCTTTTGGTGGGTTTTGAAGGAAATGCAAGCGCAAACCAACCAGTTGTTGGGGTCTTTTGAAAGCACCTACATGTTCGACACAACGTTTACCCCATTTGAGCAGCGCCCGAACCCCTCATTTGCAATTTTAGTGAGGGGTAGAGTTGACGTTTGTAATCATTGGGCTAAAACCAAAAGTCGTTGGGCTTTGAACATTGCGCTCATCGGTTCAACCCCCATCCTTTTGGTCTCCCTTTAAAGGAGACCTTGCAATTGACCAATTTCAAGGTTGCCTCTAAATTGGCTTGGGTTCCTTTGGTTTGCCTCTACCTGGGCCCAAAATTCTACGCTTGTCTGGGGTCTGCTCCAAACTTAGTTTAAATGTTAGCATATAAACTATGTATCCGAATCGGAACATTTTCTTTGGTGTCAGATTTGGGCTTCGAGCAACTGAGCAACCCTGGATCTATGTTTGTATGTACCCTTCCGCTCACCACCATGGTATGTTAGGAGTCCCCAAGTTTCCGCAAACATCACCGTTTGGACCATTCTCGAAAGACTTTCCTTTATTCGAAGTGCTGTGGATTGACAAGGTTGTTTGTCCATTCTAGGTGTTCATCCAGCTCAACTGGTGAGGGATTGGAGTATTTGAAGGGGACACATCACTGAGGGCATTTCGGCTCATTCAGGAGGTGTCCAACGTCATTTGGGCCGCAGCCAAGCTGTCGGATTTGGGCGACGGATCTCTGCTGCGATTGCTGCCATCGCTGGCTGACAGGGCGGAGGAGCTTTTGCCCCAGATGACTGCACCGGCGTCAAGGTTTGGTAACAGTTTTCTGCGAATTTCATGGCGAGCTCATCAGCTGGGTTTGCTTCCTTCTCCATTGTTGGAGCCATTGTTCTTTTCAAATCCGGCCGTTCCTGGATTTTGAGAGAGCAATATGTCCCATAGCAACAATCGTCATTTTTCGGCCCTGTGGGAACTGCCCCCCCCCCCCCTTTTGTGGTCCATGCTGTTCTTTGTTTTCGTTGAACTGTTGGGTTCCTTCGGGGGATCCGCTTTCTCCGTTCCTTGGGAGGTTTCGGGTTCGAAGGCGCAGGGCCTTGCAAACATCATCTGCGCCGCAGCGACGCTCGCGGAGTCTGAAGCGGTCGCCTTGCTAAATCTGCCACCGGTACTGAGCCAGGCGGGGGGTTCACAACATGGCGAACACAGGTTATATACCTGCTAAATGGGGTTTGCCGGGTTTGTGATCCTAACCAAACAAAGGCGGCCAAGTGGTTGGTAGCAAAACCGAGGGGTCGACACCATTTTGTTCCTTTTCCTTCTGGGGGAAGTGTTTTGGCCATTGGACCATGGCACACCATGGGAACCTCTTTTAAAGTGAAAAAGTGGTCATAGACATGGTGCACCCTGGCACCACAAAGAGTGCTATTTTCCACAAGTCTTACAGTGGAATAAGCTCGAAATGTCAGTACATAGTGTATAATATGATCCATTTCGGAAGGATGTGAGGGGGGTAGCCAAATTTTCCCTCATTTGGCAACAGTAAATTTGGAGAAGCAGTTGTTTTTTGTTTAAAGCAAGCTCCGGCCACTTAGATAAACCATGGAACTCTCTACGGCACCTTCTGTCAGCTTACATTCGTAGTCGGAGGTAGGGTACTAAGCAGTGAGGGAATGATCAGATCCTTAACGCACCCCATCAATTTGGCCCTTTGGCCCGAGGGGTACAACTGTGGATACTTCTCACTGCCCGAATTCTTGGACGGGAGGATTGTTTGGGAACAGTTGTGTGGCCTCTCAAGAAGTCCAGTTCGACTTTTTATGGGTTTCCCAACCCATGAGTTGATGCAAACCCCAAGGCCAGTTGATATACGCCGGAGTTCGCCAGGCAAAAGACATGGTCTTTCAGATGAACGCGCAGGAGGTGGCCAACATCGTTTGGGCGGTGGCGCGGCTGTCGGAGTCCGCAGACTCCGAGTGCGGCCACAAGGCGTTGAAGCTGCTGCCCAGCCTGGCGGAGAGGATCAAGGAGGCGCTGGAAGTTGGCTCCAGCCGTGCCCTACGCCCCAGCTCCGGGGTTTGTGGTAGGCTGAATACGCCTTTGTTGTTGGGTGAGGATTGAAAGCCGCACAGCTCCGCGGTCTCCAAACGGTCTTGTATGGGTCTGAATATGAAGCAGAAGCCCAACAAAAGACAACCACAAGAAGGTTGTTGAAACAATCTTCGCTGTTCTTGGCGCTCACTTTGTTTCTTTGGTTGTTATTTAAGCCATTTTCACTGTGTGTGTGTGGGGAAGAGGGTAGTCTATTTACAATGTTTAGACGGGCCGTGACTTTTCTGTTCACAGCCCAACCCTCACGGTTGTTTAGGTTTGCTTGCAGAACAAGCCCGTTCTCGGCATGTTTCTGTGGGTGCGTACACTTCAGGATCTGTTTGGTGTAACATGTCAGGGCTTGGCAACGACAAGTTCCGACGGTATGGTTTTTGGAGGTATGGAGGCTCACACACCACCACTATCAGTTTGTCTCCTAGTACGTACCTCTTATATAAGTGGAATGTAACCTCCACTCCACTCCTCCAAGCCCCTATACCTTAACCTGACCTGGTTTTGACCAACAGGAGAAACCTCTACCCATGTTTCAGGCCATTATGCCCTCATGTGGGGGGGGGTGTGAGAGGGACGATCATGTACTCGGAAGGTTTAGACAGGTCGTCCGACAGTTCCCTGGAGGTGACCGGGGAGATGAACGCTCAGAACGTGGCCAACGTCATTTGGGCCGCTGCCAGGCTTTGGGACTCGTCCCTCCTGGCCTTGCTGCCCACCCTGCTGGACAGGAGTCCAATGCCAAACAATGTAAGGACCAGGGGGTCAAGAAGAATTCCCCCCAACTCCCCCCGGGTTTTTGGGGATGCAAGTCGATCGTGTTGTAAACTTACGTGAGTTCGGCTCAACGGATCTGGAACCGCCTAGGATTGGCTTCGGTTTCTTTTTGGTTGCCTTTGCTAACAAGCCTCAGCGGGGGCACCACAAAAAGACCCACCCAAGTGGCCCCCTAAGAATCCGATGCTTTGATAATACACCCTGCACTTCCCTGGGAAATGACGCAACACAGGACAATGCAACAAAGGTTTGTTGGCAGGACCCCGATGGCAATTTCAAGCTTCAAAGTGGAGGTGTTTGGAGTTTGAAGTTTGTGTAATCCTAGGGGGTGATACAGCAGTCCCTTGAGCGACTTGGTCGGTTTCAGCTCACAATGCGATCCCCTCCAAAAGGCGAAGGTAGCCCTTGAAGACGATTTGGGCATGTGTGAACATAGGATGTGGGCCCAACTAAGGCTGGTTTTCCTTTGTGTTCTCTTTAAACGAAGAGGGTGCCGGGCCTCAGACAGCATACACACCCAGCTTCTTGTAAACAGAAACGCCCTTTGCCCCTTTCAAGTGGTCAGGAAGCCCCTTTCAAAGGGGGCCCTGGATGCGACGCCAAGGAAGCTTTTCATGACTCACTCGCGTGTGGTTCCCTGGTTAGAAGGGAGGTAAGGAGCTGGGGGTATCCCAATACTGCCTTTAAGGAGGGAGATTCGAAGCCATCAGGAGTTCTGGTTGGGGACATGGTGGTTCAGTGCGACCCCCGGAAATTCGGAAACAGCAAATCCGAACAACCCTGCATAGATTCGTTGAACAAAGGGCAAGGACCCTTCAAATGATGATGGCACTTCTTTGGTGTGTCTTCAAAACATCATCCACTTTCTTTCCTCCAACCAAACTCATTTCTTTAGAGGCATTACTTTGGGCGACTTGCTTTGGGCTCCAGGTGAACAAAAGCAGCGCAAAGGAGCCTTTTGGAATGTTTCATGGGAGCCCCCCCCCGTCTTTTTGTAAAGTTTCTCTTGGCACTCCATTCCAGTCCCCAAAACGGATTTCCATTTAAAAAGGGCCGTGGAGTCCTTTTCCATTGGGGGCTTGCGGAAGCCCAAGGGACGCCTTCAGGCTCTTGGCATCTTTCTTGGACCCCCCCTTTGGTCAATCAGCACAGGGGACCCTTTTGGACGTACTGCGGATGGACGAAACCCGTTCGCACCGTTCAGAAACCCTGGGTTCTGATGAATCTCCAACGATTCCAATTCCTTATGGGTTTCATTCCCATGGTTTCAGAACCCTGGTGCCTACGATTCTTTTGCTCGCAACCATCCATGGGTAATTTGGATCAGCGGGCCGGACGCCGCTTTGCATTTTTTCTGTAGGAGGGATTCCATTTCAACCACAGCCACAAGGGAATGACCATAAAACCATCCATGGTTTCCTAGGGGACCAAGCGCCTGGGGTCCTTGCCGCTTTTCATGGTTGTTGTTGGAAAACATTTTACATTTTTGCTTATTGTGGTTTAGTGGGAAATCCCGACTGAACTGCTAAAATTTATTTGTTTGCTCCCCTTCCAACGTCAACCAATTTTTCGTTTCAGGAGCAAGGAGGTGAAGGGCCAGATGACCACCCAAAGCATCTCCAACATCACTTGGGCTGTGGCGCGGCTCACAGCCAGGCCCGGAGCGCTAAAAAACAGCGTTGAAAAAGGATCCATGAAACCAGCTTGGGGTAGAACAGCGGTTGGTTTTCCTTTGGATTCCTTATGGTTTTCCTTTGGTTTTCCTTTGGTTTTCCTTTGGGTTTCCTTTGGGTTTCCTTTGGGTTTCTCTGGATTCTGTTTTTTTTTGGTGGTTTTCTCCGGTTTCTGTTCATTTCCGTTTTGCCAGACCACCTTTCCGTTCGCGTTTATCCGAGCCGCCAGGAACGGCCAGCTTGGGATGTACGTGCCCGTGTTCGCCACCGTGGCCGAGAAGGTGAAGCGGGTTATGGCCACCGTCCCGTGAGGCCAGCTGCTTTGGGTGGAAAACAGATGGGAGGTCTTTGCTGCTTTTTGCTTGGATGGAAGGACTTTAACTTTTTGCCAACTAATGGGTTTTCAATTAAACCACTAAAAGTTCAACTTTTAGCAGGGGAGCAGAAAGCAACCGAGTGGTGTCTTTTCATTTTCCTGGTTTGCATGTAGCAGGCTTCTTGTTCCTTTAAGTGTCATTCACATTTTTTGTGCCGGGATGTATATACGTTTGTTTGTGGCCCAGTGATTCCGCTCGGAATGCAGTGACCCCTGGCTCGCGTGAGGAAATACCAGCTCCACGAGTAGCATGGATCCAGCGAAACGAGCAGAGGACCTTGCGATCGGCGCAGATGATCGGCGTTTGCAAGGACGGGCCGAAAAACAAGGTTCTTTGATCGAGGGATCAAACACAGCGACAGATGTTGCAAATTCGTCGGGTTCCAACTTAGAGCAATGTTTGGGTGTCGCAGGAGGAAATACCAGAAAAGGAGCATTGATCCTGCGAGGGCAAGCAGTTGGCGCCTTCGACTTCGCTCGGGCTTCAGTCATACACACATCTGGTGTCGCCGCGTGCTTGCCCCCTGACTTTGGACCTTCTGAAGCCCACCTGTCACAGATGGGGGAGGCAGGATGGGTCCCGTGTACCAAGAGCAGTGGCAGGAGGACTCCTGGTGGATCGACCCAGAGGGTGGAGGCGACTTTGGCATGGCGCCAAAGTGTAGGCCGGGCGGCCAAAGCTGCAGTGGTGGTTTTCGAGAATCCCGTCATGTAAAGCCTGGCCTAGTTGGCCACCTCCAATTGGTTAACAATACTGAATAGGGTTATAAATCCACCAAACCCAGCTTAGGAGGTTTATCATTCGGTTTATATGCAAATTCGGCGGCCAAGTGTTGCGGGAAGAGACCCTGACCGATACCAAAGACCTCCCAGTACAAAAGGGCCCCACTTGCCCTTCTTTGGGTTTGTGCCGAAATTAACGAGGATGCGCGGCTCGTGCTCACCATTCAACTGCGGACAACCACTGATACCTGTTGAAGTCAACTTTTGGTTCGGGGGTTTCTTTAGTGTATTGCACCCAAAATTTATCCGTTGCGGGTTGGTCACTTTAGACCCTGATCATGCAGTTGCCAGATGTCTTCATTTTGTCAAAACACCAGAGCAGAGGCTTCTCTTTTCAATTTTCACCATCAGGCAACCACTGGTCTCAACCGTTAGCACGTTCAACCAATCTTGGTAGGTTGCTTTATTTTTGACCACTGCAAGGTAATTAGACTGAAACCTTGGTTGTTTGTTCTTGGGAAACCAACCACTGGGCTTAAGTCTACCTTGGGTAGTCAAGAGATGAAAACCTGATCATTCGACCCTCCTTCCGACACAAGTGCACAGGAAGGTTTTGGAAAGCTGATGCCCACGTACATGATGGTCGCAAAGAGGGTATGTTTCCAAGATTCGCTGAAATCAAGAATCTAACAATGACATGTTTGGTTAAGAGCAAATGATGAGGTATATTGACACACTTTCACTTAGAACATCGTTTGGTGAGTCCATGCTCTAAAAGAAACCTGGTTAGAACATATTTGAGTGTGCGATGTTTTTTTTTTGGCTTTTTTTTTCTGGGTATTTCCTTGTTAGAATATCCAAGTAAGAACATCAACAATGGCCAAATATATATTTAGTTACTTTTTTGGGCATCAGTCCAAAGCCACCGAAGAGGCGCAAGTTGGTGAAGCATTTGTTGCATGCTGGCAGGTAAAGCAAGTACTAAAATTTGGTCCTGCCAATATTTATGTGGTTGGTTCTGTCTGAAAATGGGTTGAAGGCCCCTTTTTGGATGGCACCTGTTATCAGAAACACATATTGTTCTATGTCAGAGGTATATAAGGGGTACATAAGTTGGGCATCTTCCACAACCATGCGTTGAAATGGGTTTTTGAAGAAACACCTTGGGAGGCTTGCGAGACTTCGCTGGTTCAGTGCACTGAGACGTCCGGGGCTGCAGCGGGAAGAAAGCGAGCGGGAAAAGCGAACGCACCCGCCCGCGCAGTTAATAGAGTAAGAGACAATCATGAGTTTTTCTTACGCGGGGTTTCTCCAGCTTGGTCCACCCTATTACTCACTTCCTGAGTTCCTGGACTTTAAACTTTTTGGGAAGACCATCTTGGTGGCAAATACAAAGTTCCGACTTTTTTTGACCAATCCACTCAGAAACTGACATTTACTTTTTTGTGCCTGAATAAGTAGAATAACAATTGGGTGGTGGAGCGGTCGGCTCTTGGGGGAAGGGTGCAACGGCGGTTACTGTTGGGCCGCTAGGCTTGCTTTGGGTGGCTCTCAACAGCCAACCAGCGAAGACGTGTCCTCTTTGCCCCTTGGAATTGCGTTTGGGGATACTACTTGTTCTTGTTGCTTTCGGCAAACAAAAGTGACAAGCCCCCCCGCCCACCCCCCACCCCCCCGATTTTACTAGTTCCTGTTCATATGGTTGCTTGTTTGGGGGGAGTGCCGGCGCGTGGGTGCCCCTTTGGCCCCGTGATGTTTGCCTTTTCAAGCCAGGCGGAGCGCGCGGCCGGCGCCCCAGCGTCTCTTTCGGTGTCGTTTTGGGATATGACCTGCCAGGCTATTTTGGGTTCCAGACCCCATTGGCAGTCCTTTTTTGTGGAAGGTGCTTTTGGTGACTTCCTTTTCAAAGGGAAGATCAGGATCGGCACTCTGGATGCTTCACCAATAAACCCCGACCCTTTTGGGTCTGTCTATTTTTTGGGGGTACCCGTGTTTTTCTCTTTGATTCGGTAGCAACGCAAGCAGCACAAAAATGCAGTTGTAGAAAAAAGAAAGAGATGCAAGTCGCCGAGGTCGTAACTTCGCTGACACACCCATGTACTAGGTGGCCATTTGGTCACGGATCTTTGGACTTGTTTTTTTTTGTTGAACACAAAACGTGACTTAAACTGTTTACAGAGTACCCTCCAAAATGACACACCCTGATTGAGGACAGTTTGTTGCCCTCATGCCAGGGTTGAGCAGGTCAACCAACTGTAACAACGCGGGGAATCAGCGGCCGCTCTTTGAACAACTTGGTGTTTGGTTTCCCTTCCAAGGGGAGGGTCTCAGCTCCCCTTGCCACGAACGGGGCTCCGATCCCCCATGGCTGGCACCCGTCCTTTGAGGACCCGCCGGCCGCGATTGGTCCGCCCACTGGGGGCGTCGTGCCCTTTGACGAGGCGGGAAGATGAAGTTTGGCGAAGCGAGCACGCCAAACCTGTTTTTTTTTCTTATAATATATATATATATAGGTGGTACCCCGCCTGGAATACTCAGGTATATATATATTATATTACATATATATATTATTTAATTTATTGGATGTTACTCTACTTTAGTGTATGTGTTCTTGTTTTCATGGTATTTCCCCACCCGACAGGAAGGGGTTGTTAGATTTTATGTTGGAATCCGCGTTTGCGATGCTTCTACACCACGCGCCCACCCAGTATCCGCCAGAGCAGCTCGCCAGTGGATCCTGCCGAGTATCCCGCCAGAGCTGCTTGCCAGTGGATCCCGCCCAGTATCCCGCCAGAGCGGCTCGCCAGTGGATCTCGTCGAGTCTCCCGCCAGAGCGGCTCGCCAGTGGATCCCGCCGAGTATCCCGCCAGAGCGGCTCGCGAGTGGATCCCGCCGAGTATCCTGCCAGAGCAGCTGGCCAGTAGTATCTCGCCAGGGCTGCTCGCCAGTGGATCCCGCCGAGTATCCTGCCAGAGCGGCTCGCCGAGTATCCCGCATCCCGCCGAGTATCCCACCAGCAGCCCGCCAGAGCAGCCCGCCAGTGGATCGCGCCGAGCATCCTGCTGAGTATCCCAGAGTAGCTCGCCAGTGGATCCCGCCTAGTATCCCACCAGAGCAGCCCGGCAGTGGATCCCGCCGAGTATCCCGCTGAGTATCCCAGAGTAGCTCGCCAGTGGACCCGCCGAGTATCCCGCTGAGTATCCCTTGCCGGGGAGTGGCTCGCCAGTAGTCGTCAGTGGATGACGCCAGCATCCCGCCAGAGCAGCTCGCCAGTCTGGTTTTGCTTAACGTCCCGGGCCCGCCCGGCGCACAGCTGGGTTTACATGTCATGCTGGTGCCTTCGTGTTTTGAGTGTACCCTGAGGCTCGGAAAGGGTGATGCTTTTGTGTTGCTTTGGGTTGTGAATAAGCAACTTTGTTTAATCCCCGTCGGGTTTCTTTTCGGAAGGGGCTTGGCCTCGTGAGTGTGGAGGGTGGGGATTGCTCGAAGCGAAGTAATTCTTGTTGTTTTTTTCAAGGCTGACTAGATAGGAGACAGACTCTGAACATATAATATATCTTTTGGTGTACCCTGGTGTTTGACCAAGAAAGGTCTAGGGGGTGAGTCTTTTTGAACCCCCAACCCCAGGCTTGTTCCCTGCGAGTATCCGTTAGACCATCCCCCCTCCCCCGGTTCTAATGACTTCAGCAAGCTTTTGAGCCCTTATGGGTGTGGCATAGTTAAAGAGGGAAACCAAGGCTCCAATTGATTATTTTGGTCCAACCCGCCCCTTGGAAGACACCAACATCTCCTTAAAAGTCTAGGGATTTAACTCCTAGGTGGCCTTTTTGGGTTGGTTTGTCTAGAAAATCGATGGTTTCCGCTGGTTTAGACTGGTTGTTCATTCCATTTGCCGGCGGGAAACCCATCCATTTTTCCCAAATGTCACATCTATTGACTCCTTGTCCCATATTTCTTGGGGCAATAAACCAAATTGTTTGGGTAGTATGAGGGGCCAGGTCCTTAAAGTCCTAGATCCCCCAGTAGTGGCCTTCTCTCCCCTTTTTTGGGGGAGGGTTCCCCTACTAAAATAGACTACAGAAAAAAAAGAAAAAGAAGAAAAAAAAACGTACCCTTCTGCTAACCTTTCTACTGGAGGACCTAGAGTCTGTGGATTGACTGCTTTCCCCTTCCTTTCAGGTTCCCATTGCCTGGGGTTCCGATCTATCGCAGGAGGCCAACGGTCACTTGGCGATCCAGCTGCGGGGCCTGCCATACAAGGCCACGGTGGAGGAGCCGTCAAGTTGTGAAAAGACGACCTGGGCAAAGAAAACGGAGGGTGGGTGGGGGGTCTCAAACTGGCCGTGGCTCGAAAACATGGGCACCAGAATGGCACCAATGGATTGGACAATGGAAGAAAATACTATCACCTAACCCTGGCTATATCTTTTTTTTTTGAGAGCCACGCCCAAGTAGTATACCATTGCCCCTGTTAGATGGCGGGATTAAAAAGGGGGGACCAAAGGAAAATACTTGCTGGGTCGGTAGGCAAGGAATGAGACATGGAATGACCCCAAGGCAAAGCATCCCCTGTGGTTTCCTTTCAGGGAATCCTTTCCGGTTCATTCCCTATCTAATTGCACCAGCAAGAATGCCCTTGTTGGATGGCAACTTAAAGGGGCACCAAAGGACAACAAACCATTTTAGTGGCCCATGTTAAGAAACATCTGCATGGCCGACAGTATCGCCTAGGTATGCCAGCCAACCTTGTCCCAAAGCAGGCGCTCTCAAAAACACCTCCCTGGCGACCATTGGCCGTGTTTTGGGGGCGCGCGGCCATGTCTTTTGTTCTTTTTGCGGGGGATGCGGGGGGGGGTGGTAAGATGTTGTTGTGCTCCGATGGGTTGCCTGGGCGGGCATGTGAAAGCCGTTTTGTGGCCGTTTTTTTTTTTTTTGCGGTTGGTAATCTTTGCCAGCCGTCCTTCTGCCTATCAATTTGGCCCTCTTTTAGTGGCCCGCCGTCCTGACGGACGCCCATTCGGTGCTTGCGCCTTTTCGGGCGTGCGGATTTCTCGGGTTGACATCAGGGAGCAATTGGCGGTTCTGAAGCGTTCTGCTTTCAATGTTATATCTAGGTCGTTTTCAGGTATGGGGTTTGGAGGTATGGAGGTTTCTACTTATACAAGAGGAGTGCTCAAGCTTGGATTGGTGGTAAATATGCCCTCCTCCACAACCCATACCTGAATATGCTCTTTTGATTTGCGCAAAAGTGGTCCACCTTCTGATTTGCGGAAAAGTGGTCCACCTTCTTCGGATTCCGCCGCTTCCGAGGAGATCCGTCAATTCCTGGGGTCCCATGTGGAGACCTTGCACGCCTGAGCCCAAACCGTGTGCCGGGTCCTTTTTGGTTTCCTCTGGCTGCAGGTTGGGATGATCTCTTGGAAGAAGGGGAGGGGGGAATTGGAAATTGGATTTGTGGGGAATTGGGGAGGGGAGTTGGATACTATGAGTCGAAGTGGGCAGGTGCCGACCTTGGCAGGAGGACTGTAGTCTTCTGACACCCTTTGATCGTCAGCTTCCATGATTGTTAGGTCCCTTTACTGGGGTTCCTGGATTCAGATTGGTCAATTGTTGTAATTTGCTTCCAGAATCGGCGAACAGACCTCTCACAGTCAAACAGTTGGCAATGGATGCGATCCACGTTTCCATTGCAAGTTGGGCCTGACTCTGGCCACAATCTCCTGCACTTGCCGGCAGGACTTTTCAATGACTCACTGTGTGAATAGGATGCCCCTATTGCACACCCTCCCGCTTGCTTCCCCAAATGCAACCCTGCTTCCCTTAGCAAACGACGACATGGGTTTGTCTCTACATGCAGGACCATTTTTTGAAGGGATGCTTTCTTTGAGGACATACGCTTAGGCAGTTGGTGTGTCTAAAATTTGCTTGGGGCCCCAATTTTTGATGGTTTTAATTGCAAAGCGTTGCCAGCCATCTGCCAATGTCCAGCTAGTTTTAGAAGTTTGAAATTACTTTGGTGGGGTGTTGCTTCAAGAGGAAACCTAGAGAATCTTGTTATTGTTTATTTATTTATTATTATTTTTTTGGGGAGGGAACCAGAGTCCGGAAACTCTTCAAGCACGAGCCTGCAATGAGCCTTCTGATATGGGCGTTTGCCCCTTCAAAACCCACAAAAGAAGAGTACCCACAAAAAAAGCGGACCCATATGGGTGTGTCCTTCTCGGAGGGTAGATTCTGTCCGGAGATACCTCGTTGTTCAGGCGGAGAATCCTGTCCATCTCGTGGTCCGGGACTTGGCAGTGGATCGGTACCTTCCTTTTCCTGGCTGAAAAATGCGGATCACGGAACCATGGGAGGACATGCTGGGCCAAAACACGTTAGCCAGCTGGTAGCCCTAGCTGCAAGGGTTTGCAGGAGTTGGGGGTGAACTGCGGGTCGCGCACCACTGGAAGCTAAGTACCTTTTGGGGCTTGAAAGAAGCAGCTGCAACCTTTGGGGGGCACTGTAACAGACCAACGGTCTTCGACTAGAAAAATGCCTTTGCTTTTGGCTCGTGTGGTTCAATGTTTTTGCATTTGGGTTCTGTGTTTTTTTTCGGCCTACCTGGGAGTGGTCCATGTTATTTGTATTCACTGGTCAATATCCGTTGAAGGCCGGCAAATGACCATAGGAAACGTTTCCCATGTGGACATATCATCTTTTTTAGTGGTTTTCTCCAATGGTCATCCCATGTTTACGGGACTTTAATGCCCAGTTGTCTCTGTGTACTGTCAAAATGCTCTCGACCAAGTATGTCCAGTTGGACCCCTCCGGGTTGGCAACTCATTTTGACACTGCCTCCTCTTTGTCAGGTTTGGTCGTCTTTTGAGTCGGCTCCCTTCTAGCCCCGGGAATCCAAATGGAGAGCGGCCAGTTTTGTTTGTCCATATCCCATTTTGGAGCAGGCCCTTGCTTAGGCCCTTGTCCCATCACCCCCGCCAGACAATCAGAAGCCACAATGAAGGTTAGGGATAGTCCCAGCCCGCTCTTCTTTAATTCTTTACTTACATGGTTTTGTGCCATTTACGGGTTGGTTTTAGGAGGAAACTCTCCCACACATGCTATGTTAGTGGGAGAGAGGGGAGATATGAGGTTTTGATTCCTCACCCGGTCGCTGTGCTCGAGCTGATCGAGTGGCCGAGTTGAACCGGGACGGCCGTCCCTCGGGCTTCGCCCGGGTGGTGTTTCAGTCCACGGAGGCGAAAGGGCGTCAAAGGGCGTCGCTGGGCTTGGGGGGCCTTCTGATCGGTTTGGGGCCGTTTTTTTTTTGTTCTCCAGGATTATTCTAGGGAAGGCTGAACTTGGTTGCCCCAAGGTTGGGGCCAGGTCAGGTTTGTTTGGGGTTGGTATAGTTCTGCCGTATTTGAGGCACAGGTTTGCCTGTTTAGCCGGCCTTTTTGGTGTACCGCGCGATTGGCCGGGAGCTCGCAGGGAACAAACATGGTGGCCCACGTTTGGGGTAGGCTTCGTTTGGGGAGGCATCGGCTTGGTCAAGTTGTTGGACCGCGCCTTTCTGTCAGGGAACAAGCCAAGGGCGTTCCGAAGAATACACCCAGTCATGTTGTTTCCCTTATATAATAGTAGGCAACCAAGGGAACCACCCTTTGAAAGGAAAATGGACAATGGTGAAGGGTTTCCTACCAGGAAAGATAGTAAAGTACGGCAGAGCCGGGGGTGGGGGGCGGGGTTAAACATATAAGAGCTGTAATTTGGGGCATTATTTCAGATTCCATTCTTGCAGATGGCTAGCTCAATTGGTTCCGGGGCTACGGAAGTGCCTTCCTTCTCTTCCTTTGACAAAAGGTGGAAACTGTAACTGGTTCCATTGGGAAGTTGTGACCTGAATGGAAATCAGGAATCCCCACTAGCTCCATTTTCCATTTCAACTTTTGCCCTCTAATCCAACAACGATGTCCATGGAGCCGGAAATGGTTACCAGAGGCTTCGACCGAAATGATGCTGAATCGAGTTGATAGATTTTCTCTTTTTTGAGAAGGCCATTCAGCAATCAACGCAAAATAAACGAGTTTCGTTGGCCATTCCACTTGGGAAGAGATGTAGATCCTACTGGTATGGTTGAACATTCACGTGTTGCCTGGCCTTCTGTCCCTTTGGTTTTACTAACATCAAGCTTCAGAATGAGAGTTTCGCGGTTTCGGTTTCCGCACGCTCACTTGAAATGGGTTTGCTCCATTTCTAGGATGATACCAAAAATAATACTGGGTCCATTGAAGTGAGCAGCTGGGTATAGCGTAACAATTCGCTATGGTTTATGTCAATCAAACCACCTTTCTTGTTGTTTTTTGTTTGTCACCCAACTGGCCACACCAGAATCTTTATTTGGAGGTGGCTTCTGACTGCATTTGTCTAAGAGTAATTGTTCATGCCCCTTGATTGCCATGCATTGTATCACCCTAAGACGCTTTCCACTGCCCCCAAACCACTGTTTTTTGTGGGAACTTCATATGGTGGCTATAGTGGTTGTAAACCCAGAGGGTAATTATTTTGAGGGTAGTGGAAACCATAGGTTCAGGGTTCCCTCTCAGGGCTGAGTATATGAGCTTCGGTTTGCTTTTCGGTTTCCCTTCAACCAACCTAGCAAAAAGGCTACCCGCAAACATATACGAGCACCCACGTGGTTTTCTTTGCCGTGGGATTTCACAGTCCTGTTCAGAGGCTCCATGATGCATTCCCTGTGAGCCATTCCAAACCGACGGGCTTCCAACTGCAAACTTACCCACGGGCCCGCTGGTTGTGGTAAACGCGATTCTGGTTTTCTCCCAGGATCAGCACAACCGGGTCCGCAGAAAGAATGGATTCGAAGAGCAAACATTGGCACTGTTGCCCTTTTTTTTCCGGAGGACCCCAGCCAGACAACCTCCCAAAATAGACCACCTCCTTGGGGGAACCACCCCGAATAAGAACTGTACAACGAATTTAAGTCTGAAGTTAATATTACGAAGCATGGCGAGAGAGTCAATTCCTTCCATTCTCTCGCCTCTTCCTTGCCTCACCTCTCACTCTCTTTTATCTTCATATCATTCCATCTGCCACCTATTAATCTCTGCACATGCCCAACTTGTGGAACCGACCGCAGGCGGCGCGTGCAGCGCGGGACGATTTGCACCTGCGGCGGATGGAGGAGAGGTACGTGGAGGTGGGCGCTTCGGGGGACACGTTTAGACTTTGGAGTTTTAGAGCTTGGCGAGATTTATGACTGCTCGGGATACAAGTACCACCTCTAGTGGTGTCCTTTGCTTGCTTCTCAGGAATGAGGTAGAATGACCCAAGCTGACTTGTGTAATTGGTGGTTTCGTTGAAGATCAACGGTTCATGCGCGAAAACCTGGAGTTAGTCTTAGAGACAGCAAGTTGGAGGATTTGTCCTAAAGAACCACCAAAAAACGGTGCCCTGTTTACTTCTGTTTCATTTCCCGCTTAGCTGACCTCCGGACCACATATAAGTAGGCAAGGGGAAACCGGGTGCCTTGAAGGATTGATACATTTTGGTAAAGCGACAAAAACTGCTTGGGTCGGATCGAACACTTTCGTGCCACGCCTACCTGGGGCGAGACAACTGGCCGTTTGGCTCCTTCCGATTGGGCCCATTTTTGTTTTTTGAACCTTCAAAGTGGACTCCTTGCGTTTTTCCAATGGACGTGCGCAGGAGAGTTTGACTATCTCAAAAAGGCCTGTCCACTTCCATAAATTCTTCGAAAGAGTGTAATTACCATGCCCAAACGGCGCCACTTTGTTGAAACAGTGCTTTGGTACTTCTCCGCAACTCCTCTTGGCAGCGGAGTTTGATCTCACCACAAGGCGGGCGAATGTGAGACGCCATAAAGATGGGCCGGATGCAGGGGTGTGCTGCAGGGAACCCTCGAAATGGGCGGTTGCCCTTTCACTGAAAACACCACCCCAAAAGGCAAAGGCAAGGCCCAAAAAGAAACACACCCAAGTGTGGGTTAAAACAACGGGGTTTGCTGTAAAGGAGTCCGAACGAGATGTTTCTGATGGGACAACCCTGGGCACCCTCTGTCCAACAATCATGTCTCCCAAAACTGCGTGCATCCTCTGCAAACAGGGTACCCTCAAGCCAGAAGACACGCTCAAACTGGAGAATTGAGAGCTTTTCGGAAATTCGACCCTCTTTCCGAAACATTGCCAGTAAACTCACCTTGCTGCCCTTTTACTCTTTTGCCATTTTTGTCCCTTCCACGTCGGATCCATTTGGCCAAAGGAGCCCGGTCGTCCAACACCCCCTGTGTTAAGAACCCAATTTGAGCAAGCTTCCATTCTTGGGCTACCGCAAGGAAAACTTGAACGCAGGGCTGTTCCCTTTGTGGAAATCAGCAACCCCTGGGTTTAAGTCGTTTTGGGGTAGTCTAAAATGAAATCTTGAGAAACAACAAAGGGAGAGAGATTGAGGATTCCTGGACGAGCAAAAGGAAAATCGCCAGGTCTTCCGAAACCCCATGTTTGATCACCGAAGAAAGAAGCAACGGGGAGCAGAAACAGACTGACAAACCCACAGAATACGCCGGACCAAGAAAGGCAAATCATCTCTCTCTATCTGGGGCAAACCGCAGGTTTTGGTCCATGTTTTCACTTACCAGGGCAACCCATTTTGTTACCGGTTTTTGAGCCACAGCCATCTCTCTCTCTCTCTCTTTATTTCTCTCAGAGAACGCGCTCGCCAGGTCTTTCTGTACATGGAGCGGCCCGCCAAGGGCAAGAACCGGCGCCTGGAGGAGCCCAATCATTTTCCCCCACAACCACCTCCAGAAATCCGCTTTGGTTTTGAAGGGACGCCTCATTTCGAGACACCCCCACCCCCCCCCCCAAAAAAACAACTAAATAAATCAGTGTCTGTCTATTTGTTTGCTTGGTTTTCAACATCTCCTTTTGGCCTCAGTTTAAGTGAGTTTCCTTCGGATGGGGGGATGTTTCAGCGGGGACATATTTATTGATTCCGGTGGTTTGGGCCGGCTATGAGGTGAAATCGCCTGTAATCCTTTGGCACGTTTCAGTTGCACCTGAAGCAGACGGCTTGAGTCGAGCCTTCTGAGTGGCCAAGGATTCGATTGAACAATGATACTTGATCATGCGTGGATGGGAACCAGCCGCTAAACCTGTATCACAGAAAGTTGGGTTTGGGGCCTTTCTGTGATGCTTTATGGGGACTCTCCGTCGCGCGGTCAATGGTCCCATCTTTTGGATAGCAAATCCAGTTAGGAGCGACATGGGTCACGGTTTTAACTGCAGTTGACTCCAAGCAAACCACCTTTTTTGACTTGTGCTTATACTCTTATACCATCCACAACTAAGCAGCTCGCTCATGTCGAGGACGCACCCACATGTACACCCAAATGGTGGCCTCTTGGTTTCCCCTTTAACAATCAGCGGACGATGGCGGTTTTCCAACACCCTCTGCACTTGCACGGTGGTGAAGTATTTAAAGCTAAACCCCACCAAAAATGGCAAAGCCCAATTTAAGATACCCCCCCACACATTGACTTTATCGCAAAGGAGCTTCCGAATTTTCAGGTAGTCCTGCTCCTTTTCACGCATCGCTCAAACGGTCTGTGTGTGTGTGTGTGTCCCCTCCTGTTTCTAAGTCGCCACCGTGACGCAGTGAAACTTCAGCACCATTGATGCTATTCTAGTTGTGTGTGCCATGACGTCGGCCATTTCAACACTGGTACAGTGAAATCTCGGCGCCACCAATGATTTTGCAGATGTGAATGCCATGCAATCAACCATGTCAGAGTCAGCCGCCCGCGAAAGGTCATTCAGTATTCGGAGCGGAGATTGGGGTCTTGGCGGCTCTGATGAGTCCCAATGGCTGATACCAAGTCAATGATGTTTTGACAAAACTCAACATTTAATCACACGAATGCAGGCAGCGAAGTCAGTGAGTGCCCCCTTCTTCCGTTTCAGGGATCCCTGCTTGGCTAAACATGTTCCTTCTTCCTAGTGATCATGGTCTCACCAGGGAAAACCAGATACCCACGGCTCTCACAGAGAGTACGGTGTCGAGTGTGCGTGTGCGTGTGCGTGTGCGTGTGCGTGTGTGTCTGTGTGTCTGTGTGTCTGTGTGTCTGTGTGTCTGTGTGTCTGTGTGTGTGTGTGTGCGCTTCTTTTTTTTTCTGCAACAGCGGGCCCCTTCCTGAGGTTGTGATTTAGCGCGGTGCAGGAAGGCCAAAAGCCGAACTTGGGAATTCAATGTCTTTGAAACAATCCCACCGAAATACTCGTGGGAAGCTATCCGCGAAAAGGGACCTCTCTGGAGACAATCCATACTGAGCGGACAAAAGAAGCTATGCGGTTGTTTTGGGTGGCCCAGTTCCTAGGTTGACAAGTCTCGGCTTCCCATGTTGTAGTATTGTCAGCTGCTCAAAATGCGGAATATTCCATAAATCAGGGACCCCGAAGAGGAGATTCCTCGAACACTGGTAGCTTTCAGGCTTGATGTGAATCTGCAGGAGTGTGGGTACTCGCACTTCCCAGGCTTGCTGACTGCACACTCTTTGGGAAGACCATGTTGACACTAAGGTTCAGCCTTGTTTGGCCAGCATGGACAACTTTGGTTTCACATGAATACAATCAGTGACTTCGGAACTCTGAGCACGGAGCTAATCCGAAACCTAAGCTTTGGATGGACCCACTTGTCGTTGGCCAATCCAGTCAGGAAGTGAGTCACACATGGACACAGGAAGTGAGTCACACACATGGACTTCCTTTTGGAACCCCTGGATGGGAAGTTGTTTCAAACCACCAGGCGGGAGGTCCGCGCATCCAAACTCGTGAGGAGGGCGGCGTGGAGCGGGGCGTGGTGTCGGCGGAGGCAGCCGGTGTCACGGCGGAGGCAGTGGCCCGAGCCTCAGCAGACGATCTCGGCCAGGGCGAGTTGGTTGGGTAGACTTAGGATACATTTTACATTTTGCCAGGACTCAAATTGAAGCAAACAATAAAATGTACATTCTATAACTGGGCCCAACTCTAATCATGGTTGGTTGCGTCCTTTTTTGAGGGTACCTGGCCCCTCAATATGCCCTAGTTGGTGGTTTGGATGGTGGTTTGGGGATTTGATTTCCTGGTTCATGTTTTGCTAAGTACCTGGGCCAAGTGCCTTCTTCCCCAGCAAAGTGGCAGTTTTCCTGCTGCTCCTTTGGGTAAGCATAAAAAGGGCACCCTCCTGTCCAAGGAGGTCCATTTTTTGCGTTCCTGACTTTTGAGGGTCCGCTCCTGTTCAGGTACTGTTTAAATGGTGGCTTGGATTGGTGGTTTGGGACTTGAACTCCAGTTCCTTTTGAAGCCAAATGGGGAAGCTAGCCCGAATGTCCATCTACTTTTTGTTGGCCCAGATGGTGGTCTGGGGCAGCTTTCAGGGAGGGTTCCGGAGGGTTCCAGGTTTTTTGGGGTGGTAAACTGGAACAAAAGGAACCCCTGGAGCCCTTTCTTGAGACGCCCTGTTTTGTGACAAACCCGAATCCATTGTGGAAATCCCTCTGACAAGCTACGATTTTCGCTTCGCTTTGGACCTCGAGGTGAACGAATGCCGCGCGGAGATGAGGAAGCCAGGCAAGCAGCGCGGCGGCCCAGCCTCGGATTCTGGTTTGCCAAAACAAATCCGGTCAGGTAGCACTGAAGCTTTGGTTGGACCCTCAAACTACCGACAAAAACGGGCCATTGCAACCCAACATTTGTTGGTGATTTCCCCCCCTTTTTTATGGGTAGCTTGAGGGGCCTGGTAGTTGATGTGGATTGCTTGGAGTTGAGACCTGGTTAGATTACCTTGGTAACCCTCGAATAAAACTGTACTCTTGCTGGTGCTCAGTGGGAATGCTCCAGGGTGGTTGGAATGAACCTAGGGATTCCCTGAAAGGAAACCATAGGGGATGCTTTGTCTTGGGGTCCTTCCATTTCCCATTCCCCTATCGAACCAAAGAGTTTACAATGGTTTTGTGGTTGATGGTTGGTCTACTTGCAATATAGCAGGGGCATCCACCCTAGGGCCATGAACTGAGTCGGGCACTCAGTTCCCCAGGAGTGCGATTGTCAGGTCCAGGTGGGCTGTGTGGAGGCGCAATTGTCTGCCCCGGTGATAGGAAGGTCAACCTCTTGATTTAGGTATTTCTCAACATTTGGGAACTCACTATGAAAAGTGTGCCTTTATGAGGGTGCCTCCTTTTTGGGGGGCTTTGCAGGGACAAGAGGGATAAACACTTGTTGTTTGTTTGGGGGGGGGCTATTTTGATGCTTAGAGCCGTTTCAAAAGGTTCAATGGAGACTATGACACACACACACATAGCCAAGGGTGAAATGTGCGAAGCATGACTGCGCAGCACTTTGTTCCATGCTTCTAGCCATGCGCAGAGCGGCGATGTGTGAACATATTTTCCGTGAGCTGTTTCCAAAAGATGACCGTTCCCCTTTGGCGTGCTTTGGTATAATAGGTTCGTTGAGCTTCCTTCGGTTTCCATTGTTTTCCCTGTTCCAGCATGGTAGACATTCCACTCGCGTGGCAGCCGGCATTTGGAACAGATCGACGTCATAGCCTTGCTGGTGAAAACAAGGAAACTTACCTCCTACAGACCTGGGTCTGGCGTGCGTGGTATGAAGGCGGCGGGTGCGGCAAAACAACGCTGATTCTGCATATTTTGCGGCCGTTGCTGGCAGCACCTTTTGGTGCCGACGCAGTGCAGCTTGCAGCTCCGTCCAACAAGGCGGCGTGACTTCTCGGAGGCAAAACCTTACACAATTGGGCGGCACGTTGCGCCACAGACAGCTTGAAGACACACACTCTGTGAGTTTGGACAGACCTGTCCCGGAGACGGTCACTCCCCGAGCTTCGATGTTCGATGCCCGCGTGCTGTTGAAACTACCTGCACCCTCAAACTATCCATACAGAAGGGAAATCACTCCCTAATTTGGGGGCAATGGCCAATTTTTATGGGTAGTCTGAGGGTCCCGGTACCTGATTCGGAGGCTAAGGTTGCATGCCACGTTAGTCAAACTGGAAAAAACAACGGGTGTTCCGAACAAATTGATTGAAGCTGATCCCTCCCCGTCCTTCCGTTGCCATTGGTGGTCGATGCTTCATTGGCTGGCTAGGCATGATGAGCATGGCTTTTCACATCTGTATGGGTCTGTGGTTTTTTAATGGTTTTATGTTCACCTTAGTTTAAAGGGAAGCAAGAAAGGAACACCACCGCTTTGTAGGCTCCCCATGACACATAGCCATTTCAGCCCACATGAGCCGAGGCAATGGGCGCTTAAGCACCAGCCACGTCACGATTCCAGCAGATCATCGCATCCACCCGGGCGTAAAACATGCTAGGCAAGAAGGTGAAACAGAACAAGAAAGACACCAACTAAACAGTGATCACTTCTTGCAGGGGGTCGAATCTGTTTGCCGTTTGGCAAGAAACAACCAGGGGGTTCTTCTGTTCATCCCAATGGCCCAACCCCTCCCCCCGCGGGCGTATCAAACCGGCAATCCGCCGGGACTCCATCGCCCAATCGAGGCGTATGCTGTTGAGCATGCTCGGGGTGGGCCTCTCTGCAGGCGGCATTGCTCTGGCCGGCAGAGCGAGGATTTGCTATGCTTCCTTGTTGGGTTTGCAGGGAAATGGCCTTGACCGATAAGATGAGTTTCTCTGGTGAATCCAGCAGTGCATGCTCTTTTTTGAGGGTGAATCCCTCTAAATTCAATAGCAAAAAAGGTGCCCTTGTTCCCCGTGGCCACTGGGGATCAGGGAAAGGCGAGTTTGTTTGGTTGTTCTGTGCTGGGTTTGAAGGGAAGGGCCTGAGTAAAGAAGTATTCTTCTGGCAAAACAAATCTAAAGGTGACACAGCCTTGGCCATCTTGCAGAGCAGGGATGGTGCCATACGAGACGAGCAAATGACACGAGCCGTGGCGAGGTCTTGATTGAACCCAGGGCTTGGAATCGCCCTCAAATCGGGCATGTTTGTTTCCCGTGCTCATCGAGAGAGCAACACGCATTTGTCGAAAGGGGAAAGGGTTGGATGCGCCAAGCAGAGCCCCTTTCGGGATGGTCTCAAAGCAAAATCATATGGATTCCAATCTGCGGACAGGGGTCCATTCAACTAATAGGACTGACTTGAGCTTGGGCTTCCAACGTGAAGGTTAAGGGTGGGGGGGGTCGGCGCTCGTTTTCAGTGTTCCAGGGAAACTTGAGGGTTGGGCCGACGGGCGACCCAATCCACGGGTCACATTCGCAAATCCGCCTGGCCTTTGGCTCGATCGTTGACAGTGTGCTTGAACCAAAGCCAGAGGTTCTTCATGCCACGGTCTTGGGACATCGGGTTTTGAGGTTGCCAATGATAGTTCCTGAGTGACAAAGTCACAATAGAGAAGAAGAACCGGCCGCCATTGTCCACGCTCGGACGTGGTATTCAGTGGAACCCAGGTACACTCGGTAGCACAGTCTTCAAGGGGCCTGAACTCCAAAGGATTGGCTCCTTGGCCTTATTCTCACCGATATGACGCCGTCGCCTGACGGAGCCTTTTTCGGTTTTGCGCTAGAGGGGCCGATTTGTTTTACCCGGCCGATCAGGTGTTTGGAGATTCCTGCTTGAGCCATGGCGCAACACATTGTGGTGCGTTGCTTCTCATGCACCTCGGCTTACAATCGCGAGAGCCACAGAAGCATGCACAGGGTTTAGGCGTCCTTGAAACCCGCAGGCCCAGAGAAAACTGGTTGCAACACCTGATTTTGGCCCGAACGATTTGGGAGGCTTTACCAGATTGATTCCACATGAACTTCTTCCGGGGTCTCTTGAATTCTTGGGTTGCCTCAGATTTTGGGCTGGTGCCAGACTTCATTCGGCTGGGGCGGCCCTGGGATCCTGCATGCAACGTACGTTTTCACGCCGCTGTCGCGCGGTGGAGAAATCGGCTTTCTCAAGACTTCAGAAAGCTTTTTGGACCCCAGTGCACGGGAGAATACCAACCTCTCCAATCGGTCTGTCAAGCGGCACCTAGCCGAGACCTGACTCTTCCAGCCACAGCATGCGAGCATGAGCCCGAAGTCAATGGCATGTAACCCATAGATCCCCTGGTATGAACTGGTATGAACCTAGCTTCATCAGCTCTCAGCATTTGTGGCTTTCGGGGAAAGCCAGTGGCGGGAAACTGAACAGAACGGTTATGTGGGTCCATTCGAGCTGACGCGCAAAGCATGTTGGAAGCTGCGGTAGGTGGATCGTCTCAAATGGCCCATCTAAATAATACCCATCTTGGTGGGCCCCGATTTCTAACAATCATGCTAAATGGGTTTTACGCTTTAGGTCCCCTCAAGTGCCCCGAAAAATGTTTCATGAAGTGCAACATCTCGCTGTGTGGGGTACGCGGAAGGGGGGGAGGTTGGGGGGTGCACGCTCCGTGGCTCAGGTCGCACCCACCAAGTGGTCCAGGAGAACAAGAAGCAGAAGTTCGCTTGTCGGGGCACCCGGTTGGAGCGCGCAGTCGAAGTGAACATCCGTCAACCCCAAAACTCCACTGTCAGCTTCCATGGGTTCTATCGGGCCTCTGAGCCGTTCCTCTTTCAGGCATCTCAAGAACATGATAGCGTGGGTAATGTTGGACTCTCTTTGATGTAACCCCCCCCCCCCCCCGCAAAAGTGGAACCAGTCGGCGGGACTCTCTTTATTTGGTCAGATCCTGGGGGTCCGGGAGGGGCAGTACTTACTTTAGTATTGCCAGGGGTCGTTTTTTCAGCAACCCCCAAAACCAGTTGGACACCAAAGGGGGCCCCAAAACAGTCGCATCAAAGAGGATCTGGGCCTCTTGTGGGCACCCCCCTTTGTGTGGCTGCTTGCGCGCACTTTTTTGTAAAGAAGTTATCTCAAATTTGATGGTTTGGGAACAACCAGCAAAATCGATTTCCTAGATCTCAGGCCTTTAACCTTTGAGCTGGGGAGAGCTTAGGATGAGTCCCCTTCTTTAAAAGTAAAAGGCTGAGGCTTTGGTTTCAGTTTTTATCAACCCCGAAACCACCTGGGCACTAAAGAGGACCCCAAAACAATCGCATTAAAGAGGATCTAGGCCTCTTATGGGCACCCCCGTTTGTGTGACTGCTTGCCCGCACTTTTTGTAAAGAAGTTGTCTTAAATTTGATGGTTTCGGGACCACTTCAAGAAAACAATTTCCCAGTATTTGCCAGGATTTGGTTGCCCGTTTTTTCCCCGACTTGTTTGCCAAGTTTCTTGCCCATATTTTTCCCAGCGTTGTTTCCGGCACAAAACTGTCCACAATAGAGAACCCCTAAAACAGTCAAACGATTCTGAACTAGAAAAATATCCACAATAGAGAGTACTATTAATAAAGGGGGTCCAACATTAAATGCTTCCTTTTGGTTTCCTCAGGACCCCAAGTTCGACTGCTCTTACGAGCGATGCTCTTTGTGACTTGCGCATAGAAGGCAGCTGCTATGGAATCACAGGTTGAATTTCACATCCCTGCTTGTTTGGACCCTTTCTTTGGCGAGCTGTTAAAAGCACTTAGTCAACTTCGGATTGCGGATGAGACACATCAGGTGTTTGGAGTTCGGAATTGACACATCCGACATTTTATCTATGGCAAGGGATCAACAAGCCACTAAATCACCATGAACCAGCGAGCAACTGAGCAAATTGGCTGGTCTCCCTTTGCGCCATCCATTTCAGCACCCACCCGCTCTGTGGCTCCCCTCGATTCTCGATTGGGGCCAAATCGGGACTGTAGCTGGTTCAAGGGCAGTTTCGGGTAGGTTGTTGCGAGGTGTGGAGTTTATGTACCATTGAAGCATATACATTCTTTTATATACATTTTTTCCCGTACTGACTGCCCTAAACCCTTGTCATGAGTGGTGCAAACAACCCAGCTGAGTTTGCCTCAAAAAAGGAACCGCTGTTTGGTTTTCAAGGGAAACTAAGAACAGATCAAAAAGCCGCAGGTGGATTTTTGACCATGCTGGTTCTCAGCAGGGAATCACCTGGAGTTTCGGGAATCAACTCTTTAAAAGTCCCTTCAAAAACACTACGAGGACGGTTCAGTTTGGTTCCAACTCCTTCCTGACCGAGTTACAATCAGCATTTGGGAAAGTGAAGCGCAGAATCCCTCAGCTTCGTTGTTTTAGTAAAACATATTTGTTTGTTGGGTAGAACTTCCCTATGTATTTCTTTTGTTCACCATATTGGTAGTTGTTGGGTAGAATCCTTCCGTAGGTTTTGTGTTCGACTCAGAAACCTCACGTCGCCTTTCGCGCGCCAGGCAAGCTCTGTGGGGCCAGCCAGCCGTGGCCTCGGCAAAGATGGCCATTTCAAGCCCTTTGGTTCAGTTTTTCTTTTTTCTGTGAGGGTGCCTGGACCCAAAAGAACAACCCTTGAAAAGGAGGACATCACCTTTTACCAGCCAGTTCTGGCTGGTTTTTGGGGTGTCTCAAAGGAGAACTATAGCAAATCCATGATTCGGGCTCCCATTATTCAGGCAGGGGCTGCTTGAACAAGTTCATCAGCTGGTTTGCGCTCACCGCAATGCCAAACCCGGCCAACATCCTTTGCGGGCAAAGCCCGGCGCGTATGAGGGCTGTAGGCTGCCTGGTGATGCACTGCCAGAATGATTGCATCATTCAGCATGGTGCTGGTGCCTGGAGATCGTGGCATCATTCTGGGTGATGCAGGTGATGCTGGCGATGCGGAGGACCTGCAAAGTGCTGCAGAGAGACTTGCAAGATCAAAAGTCTCAGCCCGACCTTGACAAGAAATGGGTTTTTTTCAAAATAGGGGAACCCCCAGAAATGGGTGTAACAGGAACAGGAACAAGGTCTTGCTCCGCATTCAGAGGGGACCCACATGAAGCTCCCTTCTGTGGGCACTCTCGGGGACCCCAAAGCTGGCTGGTTTCCTTTTGGTTTCACTTTGACACCAACCAAAACGGGCACTCTCCAAAAAGCTAGAAGTTTCTACCCTTTGCACCTTCTGCCCTTTACATACCCCAAGACACATATACCCCGGGTTTAAACTCCGCGCAGGGCTTAGAGTTTCCTCTTTGGAACATCGTATTTTCCCACCAAACAGGGGCTTCTGACGTTCTTTGGAGGGCTTGGTTTGGACCCCATGTTCTTTCTCATGGGACAGGTATAAGCTGCATAGCGCATGTCACATGTCATACGTGTATTACGTGACACAAGCTGGGGGTTTACCCGCCCTGTGTCGCGGCTGGTGTTTAGACATCTCCCATGCACAGCCCCGCAAGAAGACAAGTCTCCATTGGAATGCTCTTTCGGTTTGTCATGCACCAGGGCAGTAGATGGCAGAAGTTTCTTTCGGGCCCAACGGCATCTGGCTTCCCCCCGTCATGTTTTCTTACAGAGCCTTATGTAATGTCCAAATGGGATTAGTAAAGGGGGGACCCCTCCCCCCCTCAACGATGGGGGTATCTAGAATAGTATCTTGAGATCCAGGTGAAGTGAGTTTCCATTTGATTTGGTAGAGTTGAGTTTCCATTTGATTTAGTATTGCTGGAGCTTCCTTTTGAGATTTGGAACTGGGTTTCGAACTGGG